AGGTCGCCTGCAGGACTATGGACTACGGCGCACATCTGATTAGCAGTGGGAGTAAGAAGGCCGGCTTGCAGAGCTGAAGGAGCGACATAGTCAACTACGTTCGCATTCGACGCGTGATGGTTGAACTGGAGGTGATACTGTTGTGATGGAAGTATGGGATGATTTGCGAGCTTCGCATCGCCGTGTTCGAGTGGTGCCTGTTGCGTGAGAAAGGGGTCTGCGATGACGTGGGAAAACTTCTTTCGAAAATCCCCGATCAGCTCAGCTCCAGGCTTTTGCGCCGTCCTGCTGGTGGTTAGATTGGAGGATGATATGTAACCCCGTTCCTATCCCAGAGAAAAACAAACCTTTTGTCAAACATTTTCCTCACTTCCGAAGCAACCACCAACAGTTCGTCGTACACGTGTTCCGACGACGAAGGGCCTCACAAACAACACGACAGACACAGTGATTATAAAGGAGCGGTGGCAATTTTTATTAACCGTTAGAATTTAATCCACCCGGCAGATGTCAAGTCTGGAGATAAAATGAGCGACTTCCTCCGATCGAACGACGAGCGAAAGGCGAAAGCATCCCCTCGAGTGATGAAACGGCGGGAGAAAGGAGGGAACACAGCTGGAATATAGATGGTTGGAACGTGGAAACTTGGACAGCACAGGCCTTTTATCTGGGCCCCGTCAGGTCAGGCAGGCTCACAGACAAAAGGGCAAACACCAGGACCACTGGACATGCTGGGTCTAAAAAAGAAGGTACTTAGTAGAACTACTACGTACTATGAGAGGCGGACAGTACCTGGGGATCAGCGGTGGGAGGGGGAAAGGAGACGAGGAGACACTAACTCGGTTGGTATTATTTATTATTAGTATCCGTAGACATGTATTTTAACTGAGTTTATGATTTATGATTAATCCATTCCCGCTTTGCAATAATTATAATCTGCAAGAGCGAATATCGATACTACCGCGGAGTTCATCTAAGAAGTCGTGCCGAGAGCGTCGTGTGAGTGGAAGAAGCGTGAATAACCGGTGGGGCCTCTGGTCTAGCCTCGTGGACAACAGCATCAAAAAAGGTAGCTTGATTGGAACGGAAGTTGCAGCCGAGAGAGGAAGCGCAAGAACTGGAGCCCAGGAGGGTGAAAACGAAAAAAGAGGAAAGGGAAAATAATAGTCTGTTCCTTGATCCCACTTAAGTTATGCAAGGGGTCTTTGCCCTTTGGAGAAGATGATGCCTTCGAGTGTCGCCGCTGAAGATAGATGTATTAGTATTGGGGAAGAAGTCCAAATTTGCTTGCATTTGCCACGGAGACCCTCTTATGTATGGCGAGTTTCCTCTATTGAGAGTACTGTCCGATGTTGACACTCGTCCCCCGAGATCTACATAATTTTTGATGTGTCGCATCAGATGTCTAGATCTTTGCCGCTTCCGATTCCACTGTTGCTGCACATTCCTTAAGACTCAAAAGGGCTCCGCTTATGGAAAATTTACTACCACTAGCATTTTATTCTCCCCCAACAATGCGGATTTGATCTGCCCCTGTATTCAAGATGAGTGTAGTTTGTCCGTGGCACAAATATACACTCCGCGCATGGCCAAGGTCAACTCAACGCCCCTGGCTGTCAGCAAGATTCTGCAGAGGAATCATGTTATACTCGGCCAGGGACAGTCGGTTGAACTGCTTCAGGGTACTACCCTTGTCTCTTGAAGCAACGAGAAAATGTATTTACGTGAGTTGTCCTATCTATCTTGTATGACTGAACAACAAACACCAACCCAAACCCCTTAGAGTAGCCACATCCAACCAACCGTAGTATTCTCCAGCTCATCCCATTCAATCGTTTGCTGTGTGGTATTCGAGTTTCGCGGGATCCCACCACTTGTCATATACAGATACAAGAGACTCAACAGTACGGGGTACTGGCGGTGGGATGGCGCGTAGATCCCTGTCGTATGACGTCAAGATATTTCGTGGAGGACGGGAAGGTTTCATTATGTGGCACGAGCAGCCGTGGTTCACTAGCTACGCGCAGCTTGGACCCGAAAGAACGCCGAAAGAAAATGAGATCCGATACAGGATCCTGTCTATCTGCGCCACCTCCGCGTTATCATCTGCACTTTTCATCTTGGTCGAGACTCTGGATTGCAGTATCCAGGGTACCTCTCTCTGTCTTTCTCTAGTCCTACCTGAGGTACTTGCAGCCATCATATGAGCATGATGGCCCAGGACGACAGTTCGGATCAGAGTCAGGAGATACAAGCAGATACTCAGCTATTTCCACACACTTGAAACTTCTCTCGCCGTTGAACAGATCATGTTTTTCCTTTGCAGTTTCGCACTGCTGTGACGTCAACCAGCGCCTTCAATCCGGAGTTCTGAATTCAGCGACAATGGATGATTCAGATATCGCTGGAGTCCAAGTGGCCGAAAGAAGACCCAGCGAATCAGAGGCTGCGGAATTTTCTTCAGGTTTCCTTGCTGCGCAATTCTTTTTGTGTCTTCCTCGAGGACGAACTCATGTGGCTTGAGTAGGACTGCAGACTTCCTTGAGACAGGCGCAGCATAGTTTCCTGTTTATATTTGTGGCTTATTTACGTTACCCTTTGCTCATGAGGCTCCTTGACAGAAAATCATGAGCTTGATGCCTTAAGGTTTTTCATCTTGAGACTGCCGCAATAAATCCACGAAAACGGGGCTGTCAATTACCTTAGTCGATAACTCGTCAATCCACACACACGCCCATGAAACGGCTGCTGGTTGGTGAGCCAAGAAGCTTGGCCCCTCTGATCAGACACTAGCGCCATGCCGGTTGTTACATCCGGCCAATCATGGCTATTGTTGCGTTAACTATTCAGCAATGTAACAACATTCTGTGGAACAGCAGCTGTCAATGTGCCTCAGAATCATGGTTACTACCCATTTCTCTGTACCAGAAATAATTTTTAAATATTTTTCCTTGGGTAAGGTGGTTTGTCCAGGTTGCTGGTTGTTACTGACTGGGGTTAAAGCTCTCCTCCTTGGTTCTGAGCTTGACTGCTCTTTAGACTTCCTTCAACTCCGTTCTCAGGGTTCAGTTACATTAAGAGTCATATGTTGTCCTGGGGCGGGAGGAGGCGCTTTGGTCCAGAACAACAGAGTACGTGGTAGGAAGCATTCTCCAGCACCTCAAATAGTCCTCCGGCTTTTCCAGCAGGTTTCCTTGGGATGTCTCAAATCTTTAAAAGAGAGTGACCAACCTGTTCGATATGTGAGACTTGGTGGTTTTCAAACACTCTTGTACAGCTACAACCACACAGCTACAGCTACAGCTACAGCTTCAGTACCATTACAAGCTTATATATATCAGCCTAAGCTATTCAATTAGTCTTCTGCCTCACCCTAGCTGTGCTCCCATCACACCGTCTAAACCTTCTTCATCTCTGCCAGACCAGCTGTCCATAGCTCAATCGCTCAGCTGCACAGCTGCACAGCTCGAGTATAAACTGTCACCTGCATCATGACGACCACCAGCCTTCTTACCGAGCAGACGGTCGTCGGTGGAGCCAATGGCAATCTTCTGGACTGGGCCAGCCTCAGTCCAACCGCCCTTGCCTTGCCGCCAGCGGATTCTGCCACTTATGAACCTGTCCTTCTCAGTGATGAGGATCTCCATGTTCTTGATCCCGCTTTTCTTTCCAAACGCACAGACACCAATGACGATAATAATAAATCCGCATATAACCAGCGTCCGCAGCTAAAGCCAGCATCCACCAATGAGATCGCTCCAAATTTCCACTCTGCTCGTCCATCCCGCTCATCCATCACCAGCCTTTCTTCTATAACTTCTACTTCTACTTCCGCCACTACAGAATCAGACATCACTTCGTCCAAAAAATCCTCCAAACCAAGCAAACGCAACTCAAAATCAAAAGTATATGACAAGAACGACCCGCGTCGCGAAAAATATCTCGAGCGCAACCGGCGCGCAGCCAGCAAATGCCGTCGCCAGAAGAAAGAGCGCAACCAGCAACTGGAGAACCTGTATCGCAAACAGTCTGCAGAGCAAGAGCGGCTTCTCTCGGAGCGCGACCGGATGCGCTCAGAACTGCTCTCTCTGAAGGATGAACTGTTGAAACACGCACAATGCGAAGACCCGCCGCTCAAGTTCTACATTGCTCAAATGGTCGAGGAGGCCGGTGCGGCTGTTGCGCCAGCTAGACCAATGAGTACCTATTCTCCGGTGTACTCTGAGCAGCAGGCGCAGCCCATGATGTTTAACGATGACGATGTCTTGCGACAACAGTCCCCGACAACGAAGATGTCCATGGTTTCAGACGCACCGTGGACCGCTTCGGGTGGTGACTTTGTCGATTTCGTTCAATTGTGATCAGTTACAGTACCCTGGCAGTAAGTTGTGTTTCATGGAGTTTGATGCTGGCGTGCATCGGATATGAATCAGTTTTGGAGTTAAAACTGTCAAGTCACATGGTGGCTGCTATACTGTCTATAAACAGAAATATATGGCACTGCATAGCGAAGCAGCTCTCAGTCACTATGCCATTCCGCAGAGCAAGCGCATGCATCATCAGCTATCGTCAGCCATCATTAGCTGTAGCTTATCATTGCTGAGTTAATTGACCAATCATGAGCTTCACTTGAAAGGATCACGTGACTGAAGACGTCATCGAGACGATCGAATGCCTGAGGCCTGGCCGAGGTGTGGCGAGGTCCTGGGGAACATCTTCCTGCAGCCGTGGATTCGATGGCTCCAAACCGGCCGAAACTGCAATGATTATGGCTGATCGGATCGGCCAATGCCGCAAACCCACCTCAGAAATTGTTGGCAGGAAATGGATATATATAACAATGTCATTCAGATATGAAGACACTCGACCACTGCCAGCCAACCTAGGTGGTCGAAGAGTAACTGACCCTTTGCCTCCTTTCCCCTCCAAGGCAAACCGGGGCTATAGGGCTCGTTCTCTTGTCACTCGTTTACATATCTGTCTGCTTGCTCGCAGCCCCCATGACACGTTCCCTAGGAACCACGTCGACAGCTCAAGGACGACCACAAAAACAAGATGCGAGGATACTGCATCTAGACGACCGGTCGCAATGGCTCGCGTGGAAAACCGCCGAGATGCTCTTCACCCTCCTCCTTAGCAAGCAGCTGCGCCGGCGCTGGCTGCTAGAGCATGAGCATGTGCAGTCGACCCCGGTCTCGCAGAGACTGCAGCCGGTCGCGCTTCTCGAACCGGTCTCCACCCCGGCGGGCTGGTCCAAATCGAGAGGGACGAGCGCTGCTGAAATGGAGGCCCTTAAGTACCACGTGCGGCTACTGCGCGCCAGTGCAGAAAAAGGCAAGGAGCTAGTTGCGGAGATGGAGCGGAGGATCCAGCGGGGCGATCCGACGAGCTTCTGCCATTCCTGCGTCGCAGACGATGATCGCGAGGTATTTCTCACCAAGTGTGGGCATCGGGTCTGCCTCACCTGTGTGAGGTACAGTACCAATGACCAGGGGCAGTACGAGTGTTGCATTTGTTTTGTGCCGACCAGTTTTGTATCTGGGAGGCGGACGCTTGGGCCACGGGGACGGTGATATTTCCGCGTGCCAGAGCCTGCAGACTACCTCCTTGACTACTGTTTCGCTCTTTATTAAAGTGGTCGTTATCAGAACGACCATGTAAACTTCTCAAATACAAAAACAGATCTAATTGATAAATCTACAATCCTGGAGGCTCCCCGGCTGACCTTTTGCAACGATTCATGCCAAGGCCAATACTTCCAGGAATAATTAGTCAGGATCTATCTGTTTATTTTTGGGATGATGGTTATCCGACTCGAATGTCCAACTTGGGATACCCAGGAATTGTGACGTCATTGAATACATAATAGTATGGTAGACGACTTGACCCACATGAGGCAAATAGCGTCCACAGACGTATTAGTAGTTCTAGAAGGGGTTGAATATGTTTCTCTTTGCAATGCGCAGGTACTTTGTCCAGGTACATGTAACTCGTACCCGATAGAGGATAGAAAGTAGATCAAATGACACTATCAAGAATGTCATATTGACAACTGGGCCCCTGCAGGGAAGCTAGGTTAAAGTTATCGGTGATCTACCGCACTTGCCAAGGATATAGTGACGTCGAAAATCATCACATTGACCATCTCATCCCCCACATCAAGTGGCAAGATGCAGCCAGACAATGTACTTCCCCAGAAACCTGATGATTCATGAACTCAGCCATTGCCTGCTCCATCCCTGATCAGGCCGTATCACATGCAATGACGTCTTGCTCTCTACATCGTCGATGGTCGATTGCATCCGGGGGGACATATAAGAAGAGTGCGTTTGCAGTCGTCGTCTTTTCATTGCAGAACGGATCGTCAAATCAAGAAGCATTTCACAGGAAGTCAATTCAAACGCAACTCTTACATTCCAAACACAAACACTACTACTATCAAGATGTCTGACACCGGCCGCAAGGATTTCTCCACCAGTATGTTCTTCAACCCATAAGCAACAGATCGGTTCTGACTCCGCTACAGAGGCTAAGGAGGAGATCACTCCTGATTCCCAAAAGTCCACTTTGGACAAGATGAAGGAGACTGTCACCGACGCTACCGACCGTCTCACGGGCAGTGCGCAGGGCGACCAGCAGAAGTCGTACACGCAGCAGGCCTACGATTCCATGCGTGGCGAGAAGGACGACCAAGTCCATGGTAGCAGCACCCAGACAATGTACGTCCCCGCATTTTAAGGAAATCTAAAACTGATCAGGTGCTAACTTTCGGGAAACAGGGGCCAGAAGGCAAAGGATGCTATGGGATTGGGTGATCATTAAGCTACGAGAATGAGAAATGACCAACTGTATATTAGTACCAAGGATTATGACTGTTTACCTTTATCTTATGAATATCAATTGTATGCATATGATCTATACTATTTACAGATATTAGAGCCGATCATGCTAGGAGCATTGTATCTCTGACAGTTACTCTTCGACTGACGTGGTAATTCAACGAAATGTCGAAACATAGGCACAGAAAGCTGCATACAGACAACATATAAAATGTTAGACAAAATTCTTTAATTAAATGTCATCAATTACTTCAATTTCCAATGCTTCGTTGCCGAGCATTCAACTACGGTACTAGCTGCCAAGGACAGCTAGTTAGTCCACAGAACGATCTGATATACAGGTACCACCATGCGATCAATGTCTGCGGTATAACCAATGAAAGCGAAATGATGCTATTTACGATCCTCATGGATGTATTTGTTTACCAATATGTTAAGGAAATATATAGGAGACTCATTGCTCCATCTGATAACGACGTCATGCTGATGACGTCCTCGGTGGTTTCAACTTCTCCACACGGTTGCATCTAGACTCGCCACTGAGCCAGGTTTTGGCTTCAGATGCGTCGAATTACACCAACATGATGATAGTACGCATCGCATCTTAGGGATTCTGCGCCTATATAGAGCTAACGGTAGTGCCTAACCGAATCAACCAAGATCGACCGACAACTCACCACATTTCCACAAATCAAGATCTATTATATAGAAAATAATAAAATGTCAGAGGCTCAGCAACAGAACCAGCGTTTCAAGCTCGAAAACCTCTTCAGCGTCAAGGGCCGAGGTATGTTGTTCCTATCATCGACATGATATGGGTACTCACCAGCACAGTTGCCCTCGTCACTGGCGGTGGTTCCGGAATCGGCCTCATGATCACGCAGGCACTGGCTGTCAACGGTGCCAAAGTATACATCACCGGTCGGACGGGAGAAAAGCTCGACCGTGTTGCAGAATTGTACTCGCACAACATTCCCGGACAGATCATTCCCATCACCGCCGATGTCACCAGCAAGCAATCCATCCAGAAGCTTGTCGACGAGATCTCGTCCAAGGAAAAAGCACTGCACATCCTCGTCAACAATGCCGGCATCTCTGGCCAGAAGCAGGACACTGACAGCCAGAGCGCCGAGGAACTGCACCAGAAGCTCTTCAAGCACGAGTCGAACTCCTTCGAAGAGTGGGATGACATCTTCCGCACCAATGTAACCCAGCTCTATTTCACCACCACTGCTTTCCTGCCCTTGTTGAACAAGGGAACCGACATTGAGCATGGCTGGTCCAGCACCGTCGTCAACATTACCTCCATTTCGGGCATCATGAAGATATCACAGCATCACTTCCACTACAATGCTAGCAAAGGGGCCGCCATCCATGTCTCAAGAATGCTGGCGCATGAGATTGCCTCCTCCAACCTGAAGATTCGGGTCAACAACATCGCGCCAGGTGTGTTTCCCTCCGAAATGACTGCCAAAGAAAGTGATGAGAAGCAGAAGAGTTCCCTTCCCAAGGAGAAGTACGAGGGCATGGTTCCTGCTGGAAGACCGGGCAAGGATGAAGACATGGGCAGCGCTATTCTGTTCGCCGCCTGCAACCAGTACCTGAACGGGCAGACTCTCGTGGTTGATGGTGGCTACGTTCTTGCTGTTGGAACTGTTTAACATTGTGCCATTGTATGATAAGATAATGAGATATGACCCGAATGCATAGAAGCGTTTCCACTGTCTTTGAGAACTTGCTGGTCCGTACTCATCTGCCACGGTCATGGTGGGTGACAAACAACAATCGTATTCCTTACTATCAATTGTATCATTCTCACCGGTTACACTACCTAGCAGACTACCACCCTGTATTAGCCTTGCGGATTCATTTGAGACATCGAGAGCGTTCATTCCGTCTTTCCTTCATAAAGTCCAGCCTCGACAACCTACTAGCAGGGTTTCGAATTGGTTTGTATGAGCGCTTTTCTTCCATTTCTAGCTTCTTTATATTTTTTCCTATCATATTGGGGTCATTCACGGCGAGATCCCTCATGACTATGATCGGCATGAAAAAACAGTTATTTGAACGTCAAAAAAGGGATAACAAGGTAGAAACAATTTCATGCTAAGTAAAAACACAGATCAGTGTATGCGAGATAAAATGCATCCAAATGCAAACGTTGTATCCATCGTAAATCCTCCAGCTCCTCCAATGTCCATTGCACCCAGCCTATTCTTGAATCATATATCGAGGGTATTATTTGAGTAACTTCGCGACGAATCCTCTTCGGTAATGGTTAGCAGAATGTCCGACGAAGAAGCTGAGGTACATACATACTCAATGGATTTGTTCAACGGCTGCCTCTTGATCGTCTATTGTCATGATGGGAGTACGCCTGATGGTGTTCTCGGATCCCTTGTGAACCGGGTTTTGCTCTCATTGATGGTCGAGGTCTCGCGTAGTCAGAGTCACTCGCTTTCTGCTGTGCTCTTTTGTTTTTCGCGAGGAAGAGAGGAATAAGGAGACACATTTTGACTCGATATGATCACGTTTGATATTTGAGAAGAGGTGAGAGGACTGTGGATTGTAGGTGTCTGATGCATGGTAGGCAACGGAATTGACCTCCTTATATAGCTTCCTGGTGAGGCTGTCTGCCATAAAAATAGCTGAACGCCGTGTCACAGCCATGGCCATCTCACTGCAAGACCAAATCTCAGCCTCGTATTGAATGTATAACTGAAAAGCAAGCATCTCGTACCAACTAAGCTTTCGAAGCAATCTTGGCTTGGGCTGTGCCAGGCGATCAGCGCTAAAGCTGCGGGGCTGGGGCCGCTTGGGGCAGAACGATGTTTCTGGGGCCGAATCTGATGTTTCAGCCTTTCAAGGCCTTTTCTTAGCTTTGGCATTGTGTGACAGTGCTTGCCGATCGGTACTCTCTGGCGGCACTTGTGGCCCAGTCTTTGCTAAGCGGGTGGCTGTGCAATTATATTTGCAATTATCAGCAGTCGTGAAGCTTATTCTATATCATTGCTATTCTTCAATGGTGTTGATTGGTGATAGAAAAGGAGAAGGTTTCAAAATGGGGGCGAGTAATCTGCCTTGCCATTATAAGCGAAGGTGAAATGTATGCAACAACACTGTCTGGGAGAGGTCAAGCGCAAAGAGCATATACAGGTACTTCCTTTGAACAAAAAATTGGTTTGCTCAGTTTAGCCCCCTCATCCTATGTTCGGCATCTTCAGTCGCACTGATCGCCGGGATGGATACGGCGTCATACTGTCACATCGATACCGACCTATAGTTGCTTTCAAGACATTGACAGCATGGCAGAATTACTTCTACCGGTCGGTAGCAATCGACAGCGCCCAGAACCGTTTTGTTACGAAGAAATGCCATGATATTGGTCCCAGAAAACACTGCAGGTCCTAATTACTCTAGATGCGCGAAGCAACTATAGGAGAAGAAAACATACGAGACGGGCATACCCAAGCAATAGACCATCACTATGCATCGTATCAACAGAGCAAGAAAAATGCACAACGGGCACAAGCAATCATAAAATACATTGAAGAAGGGCAATACCGCCCGACGCAAGGATCACATCCAAGCCTGACACCGGCGTTGTGCTCCCTACGAAAGATCAGCAATGCTCGACGGCAGGAATCGCACCGACATACCTAGACTCGGCACCGATCCATCTGAATTGACTTGACTCAAACAAAGCTGGGTATAGGAACCCTGGACAGTTTGCAATTGAGACGCTGCATCGGGGCATAGCGCCGAAGCACAGTCGGCGATGGACGGCGCATTCCCGTTACTCGAGGTAAAGCTGCCTGATTGGCAGATGCAGTTGATGTCGGATGGCTTGCTGCTAGTACTGGCACCCTTGCCGCATTTTCCTTGGGCAGAATTTGTAAAGAAGTCGTTGAAGCAGGGCTGCATGCATGAGGGAAGACTCTTGACCCATTTGTTGTAGGATGTGGATGAGCTAGCCAGAACGGTAGCACTGAATGTGAGGAGGAGGAGAAAGAAGAGAGATCGCATGCTGACAGAGAGTGTGAGATGATGAAGGGCAAAATTATTCCTATACTGATGAGAATGGAAGACTGGTAGATAGATTCGGTCACTAGTTGTTTAAGCGTGATGGCTGACGATTCTCATCAGCATCACACTGACACAAAACACAGAGTTTGTTCCCCTGAGCCGCATGATCCAAGAGGAGCGCGGACCCTGAGCCCGGCCCAGGACGGCTGTTGCTGATTGGCGGATATATCAGCCAAGACCCGACGGTGAAGAATTATTGGTCTGTGGTTATTGGATAAGGGGTCCGGACGGCTTTTAGATCCAAGCGGGGGTGGTGGCTATTAATGACGAAATCAGTCAGAATTCGGAACGCGGGGAGAATCGATTGTTGAAGACGTCTTGAAACTACAGAGGATCTGGCTGCCATGAATTCGCAGATTCCTATTAGAAAAATTTTCGTTATAGTCAGCCCTTGATCAGGATGATTTTCTTCATGGGAGCAGTGCCGATTGTATTCCATTTGGTCCAGAGCATATACGTAAATGCTAACTCAACGAGCAACAAGCACCTTTTCTAGGGAGAGATGGAAGATGCAATATGAAAGCCCAATCCTCTGTTGGTCGAGGTTTGGAATTCGCCAATCATGCAATAACATTATGAGGTAATGTCGTTTTGTTAGTAACCGCCGTACGTGACACTGGAAAGTCAATTATTGGGTTTGAAGGGAGAGACTATTGTTTGACAAGGCAATTAACCGGTTGTCGTGGAGATTCTCCTCAGCTGATTACTCAAGCTTATACCAGAGAGGCATCGACAAGGTCTTTACGTGTAGCTGGTTACACCAGCTAATCAACAGGAAACTTGCTTGAAATGACGACTTCAAGTCCTGGTGGATCTGAACTCCACAGCAACACATCATGCGCTATAAAAAGAAAGATCCGCCCAGATCAGGTGTCGATCAGTCTCGTGGCCCCTGAGACTGTGAATATGACGGCTCATATCGGCGACATCTGTTGAAATTCAATAAACAAACACAACCATTCTCCCTCATCATCCTCCATCGCTCACATCGTGATGCATTACCGATGGGTACTCTCATCGCAAATACTGGCACTAACATGCCTTGCAGCCCAAGCAAGTCAAATACAAAATAATGGACGTCAAATCGAGCCTTGTGCTCAAGTCTCCGATTGGATTGCCCAGGCAAAGACGACCAAAGGAATCCCGGGAAACCTGGTCTATGGATGTCTGACTTCGATGCCGTTCGATGCCGAGGATGCCGTCAAGTTTGTCGACGAATATCGCAAGTATCTGCAATTCCAATCGACGATCGAGAGCTTGAAGAGTGTGTGCCGTGACCATTGCAGACGAACGTCGCTGACTCTGGCAGATCCCCCGGACCAATATTCCATGCCTTTGACAGATTTGCTGGGTGGTCTGGACCATATCAGACACAAGGCTCAGGGTCGCGGCTACTCCAGCCATTGGGATTTCGAATTAGATCTGCGACAACACATCAACTCAGCACATGACGCCCACCTGGCTCTCCAGCTCTGCTCTACAGTGCTCTTTCGCTTCTCCAACTCGGTTCCCCTGGTCTCGCTGTCTTCGGACGGCCTGGAGCTGCCGCAGGTATACACACTCGGTTAGTTTCTCGCGACGGTGAAGCGACGCTTGCTGACTCGATAGATGACGCCCAACTCTTGACCCGAGGAGTCCAGTCTGTCTCGCCAGTAGTGTCTATAGACGGCCAGGACGCTGCTCTGTATCTTGAAGCGTTTTCCTCCCAGGCAGCTCTACATGACCCGGACGCTCAGTATGATCTACACTTCATTCAGGTACACGGAAATCTAACCAACTATACCCAGGTATAACACAAATTTCCCGTCTCTAGCCAGTCAAATCGCCCTAGGAACGCCCCGCAACAACGGACTATGGTCACGGAATTTAGGGGAGAAGTGGACTGGCGACCGGCTCACACTCACCTTTGCCAACGGCTCTTCCACTGAGAGTCACAGAACAGCCGATCTGATACCACTGGAATTCCCATACCGCAATGGCACCGCACTGTTCAACGCCCGCTGTCGTAAAGACCCCGTTCCAGCGACGGCCGTCGCCGCATCCGACAGCGGGGGCTACCCTAATACAACCTGGTCTAGCTACGGCGGATTAATAGCGGGATATTTCTCAGAGGAAGAGGCACTTCAGGACGTTGGCGTGCTAGCCGTTACCACCTTCTCGGTTAATTCCGTGACCCTGCAGCAGGTCAGTGTGGACTTTTTGCGAAATGCGACCGAAGCTGGCAAGAAGAGGATTTTTCTGGACCTGTCCGGCAATCCTGGGGGAAGCTTGACTGCCGGCGTGGACCTCTTTCGTATCTTCTTTCCGGATGTGGTGCCATACACGGCGACTCGGCTGCGGGCTCACACCGGTGCAGAATTCCTGAGCAAAGCTTTCTCCGGACTGGCGCAGTTGCATCGCAAGTTGCAGTTCGAGCTATGGGAGGGAAACCCGTTTTCCTGGCAGGCGGCAGTGACGCCAAACCAGGATGACAATTTCAAATCGCTGGAGGCCTGGTATGGACCGTATGAGATTGACGGGGCGCCATTGTCCAATCTCTATGCCAATTTCAACTTCACCAGCATCTCCACGACGTACTCTCCGATCACCGGATACGGTCCGATTCCATTAGACCCTTCACAAAGATTATTTGCCCCGGAGGCCATCATCATTGTAAGTCGTTCTTGCCTAAGACGAGGCAAACGCTAATAGAGCAGATCACGGATGGCAATTGTGTCTCGACATGTGCCTACTTTGTCGATCGAATGCAGCGGCAAGGCGTTCGAACGGTCGCATTCGGCGGAAGACCTCAGTATGGACCTATGCAGGCCATCGGCGGCACTCGGGGCGGCCAGAATCTGGCCTACGGTGGGATCTACTCCTATGTCGAAACGGCGCATGGTTTGATCCGGGAGTCTCTGCAGAATGGCTCGTCTCCTCTGATGTCAATGGAAGAATGGGCGCAATTCAACAAATCGATCCCCGTCGACCCGGACGAATTCCCCTTCGTCTTCGGAGGAGGAGTCAACCTGCGCAACGAGTACGCGCCTGGCGACGACAAAACGCCTCAGCAGTTCACCTACAAGGCGGCGGACTGTCGGCTGTTCTACACAGCAGAGAGCTGGTTCTCGCAGGAAGCGGTGTGGCGAGCTGCAGCAATGGCCTTATCCGGAGGTAATAGCAGCTGTGTCCAGGGGTCCATGTCCAACGCGAGGAGGTAGTAGAATGCCGTATATTAGTGTATATGTATGTGCAAGAATAGCGATCACAACCTCCGATATGCCCAACTCCCATATCTCACATCTCCCGCCATGAATACCCTATAAATGACGCCACCTCCTCCGCGGCCGGTCTCCCCGACCGCAGCGAAATAATGTACAAGGCCGCATCGATGCCGGTGGTGATGGTCCCGGACGTGACAATACGCACCTGCGACTCGTTCATCCCGGCATCGACATAGTATACAGTGCCCGTTGGACTCTCCGGCACGACCTCCGTCCCTTTCGCTCCTGGTGTCCGACTCTTATACTCGTCGCATAGCTTTCGCAAAGCTCCAAGCCCCAACCGGTGTGATGTTGCTGTGAGTCCATCTAGAACTCCTGTCGCCGCCAGAAGATACGACCCGCTGCAAACAGAAAAAAGAACCCTCTCGCCCATGTGCCCGGGACGTTTGGGACCGAGTTTCGCAAATGCAGATATCAACTCTAACAACTCGTGGAGATGGCCATCTGCCGAGATGTACGGGAGGATATTGTTCGGTCGCGCCCCGGGAACAATAAGCAGATCAAACTCCGTTAGTCTGTCCTTGGCTTCCGCGATGGACAAGTCCCGTTTGATGGTTACATTTTCCTGGGAGGTGGTGAATTCGTCACGGGCGGCTATGAGTGTGGAAAAGCCGCCCTGGAAGAGCACGCCGATCGGGCCGTTGGTGTCGAGAGTATTGACAGAGGGGTAGACGAGGACGAGGGCGGTTGGCATAGTATAGTTGTTATTGTACGGTGCGAGACATGTGTCTGAAGCGGGCGAGTGGGTATGAATGATCCCACTTGCAGTTGCAGATCGAGAGAAACGGTGGAGAGTCTCACGTGTCGTCGCGCTGTGCTCGTGTCGGTGTTGGGGAACTCGGGGCTGGCGCGGAATCTCTCCGTCAACAAATGCCATTGACTTTTACGACAAGTTGGTGTCGCGTGTGGTTTTTCAACAAGGTTGGATCCAAATCGTTAGTCTGCTGAATATCCTTGTCCTGATTGACTCCTCTTTATATAATACAGAAATGTCAACCAGAGGAATGCAACCTCGAAGATGGATGATGTCATGAATCTCGTCAAGCCAAGGGAGAAAATGAGGAGAACCGTATATCAATCGACTCTCTTATTATTCTCATATACCTAGACATTACTGACTGTGACTGCTATCTACAGAGTAAATGACCCCTTCAAAGGAAGATCGCGACTCGACCGTCCAACATACAGCTGATACGTTCCCCGCTGCAAGGACCACTGCTGGGCCCCAACATCCCATGTGCTCAGATCACGTCGATTCAAGACGAAGTGCACCCGTGCAGTCTCACCTGATGAGACACTGACCTTCTCGAATCCACGCAGTTGCCGAATGGGACCATTGGGGATGCCGACGTAGAGCTGTGCCACCTCGGCACCGGCGAGAGGTCCAATGTTCTTGACCTCCGCAGAAACGGTGACAATTTCATCCCAGAGATGAGGGTTTCCACCTTGCTGGATAGTAGCGGACGGAGGATATTGAGGAGATTTCTTAGGACTGCTTATGCGCAGGCCGGAATACTCAAAGCTTGTGTACGACAGTCCGAAGCCAAACTCGAACTGTGGGGTGATGTTGGCCTTGTCAAAGGCGCGGTAGTCAATGTACACTCCTTCGTCAAAGTCCGACTGTGGGAACAGTCCGTATGGGGTTTCTGGCAGGGACGGATGCAACAGAGCACCGTAGTCCTCGGCTTTCTTAGCCACCGTGTACGGCAGTTTCCCGGACGGATTGGCCCGGCCGTAGAGCAACTCTACCAATGCCCTCCCACTGTCCTGACCTGGTAGATGAGCGAAGATGACAGCCGTCACATTCTCATGGTTAATCCACTCGCCGACCACTCGGATCCCGGCGTTGTGGATGGTGACAATAGTCTTGGCGCATTTCCCAGCGACGTTCTTCACCAGGGTATCGCTCGAGTTGTCAGCCAGTCCAGGACGGTCCCACCCTTCTGTGGCGTAGGCGTTAATGAAGACCAGGCACGCGTCAGAGGTTGGATCAACGGCCGGATCCTGTGATGAAAGATCATACAACACGGAGGTGCCATCCTCGTAGGCCTGGCGCTGGATGGCATCTATGGGAGCGTCGACATACGCAGCGTTATTTGCCCCAGAACCGCCTGCAACCCACAGGGTGTGGTTTTCCTGAATGCTAGGGCTGTATGTCATCCAGTTAAAGTTTTGCTTCAGCGAATCCGGTCCTTTGGCATCGTATCCAAACACAGAGAGCAACTGAGGTGACTTTAGTGGTAGTGCGCTGTTGGTGTTTTTGACGAGGACATGGCCCTCAATAGCGCCTTGGAGTAATGTCTGCTTGAAGGAGGCATCCCTTCCTATTACCCGCTGATGAGGTGCATATATGTCGATGGGCATGCCGACTCCAGGAGATGGAAAGTCGGAATCCTGGTTCATTTGATACCACGAAGCGATGATCCTGTTTTTGTCAGTCTGGGTTGGAGAATTCAGCAGGGCCAGACTACCTTGTGGCCATGTCATCAAGTCTCGACGCGTCCATCGTTCCGTTGGAAATAGCCGTCGTGAGATTGGCTCCCCATGTTTCGGTTTCAGGCATCACCATGTCCAGGCCAGCGTTCGCACCGGCGATGCCAGCATGTTGAGCGCCCCAGTCGGTCATCACATATCCTGATCGGTTCAGCTTTAGCTGCAGATCGGAATGAAGACAACGTACCTTGGAATCCGAGCTCGGTCTTCAGGAGACCATTCAGAGTCTTACTGTTTTGACAGCCGTAGGAATTGTTGACGCGATTGTATGAGCACATGATGGAAGCACTGCCGGCCAAAACGGCATCCTGGAAGGGCCAAAGGTACAGCTCGTGCATGGTCTTGTCATCAATGTTGGAAGAGACTGCCGCGACATTCACGCCGTCGTCGGTTTCCGGGTTTCGGTTTGTCTCTTGTTCATTCACAATGTAATGCTATTATGAAGAGTGAAGGGTCAGTTGCTGACCCGGGGATTTGTTGAGCTGACTGACCTTGGTGCAAGCTGCAACCCCAACTGACTGTGACCCATCGACGGTCTCATAGACAAGGGCGCCGCTCAGATACGGATCATTCGAGAAACCCTCCCAGTTGCGTCCGCCTTCAGCCACACGACCCAGGGGACCAACGACGGGCCCAAGCATGACATTGACTCCTTTTTTACGGAACTCTGATGCCATATGGATTGCCCTTTGCTTAGCTAGACCTTTGTTCCAGCTGCGGACGGTCAGTATTATCCGGCCGATTGGACAGGAACCTTACCTGGCACCAACATGTAGTCCGCTAGGCCAGCTGCTCACGTAGTCGGTTCCCCTCTACTGACATTAGTCATTTCCTGCTGCTGCTGCCTGTGTGCACTCACAAGACCATTGCCAGCGTCAGATACACACAACCCTGGAAAGTGGAGTCGCGGAATAGCCGCTATGTTACCAGAACAGCCATTATTGGCGTCGGTCCCCGCAGTGAGGTTGACTTTCTCCTCTGGGGTGAGCTGGGCGACAAAGTTCTTCGCCTTTGCATAAGCGGCAGCCCAGGAGCCAGTTCCAGTTCCCTCGGCTGGTTTAAGGTCAGTGCTAGGTCTATGCAAGGGAGAGCGACATACGCGATGGATATACAGGAGGTGACTGTCCATAAAAGTAGGTGTCACTGGTGATATTCTGCTCCGTTGGAGCAGACAAGCACACAGACGCAGTGGCCAGGAGACCTGCGAGACCTGCGAGTCCTAGGGCTGAGTGCATTTCGACATTTCGACCTTGCCTTGTTGCCTGCTAAGGTGAAAGTCCCCAGGAGTATTGCCCCTCCTTATAGTCGTGCATTCTCTCATTCTACCCCTCACGTCGACTCAGTCAGGTATGTAACACGACCGTGCCACTCACTCTACGTGCCGATTCCCAAGCCGTGCATGGCTCGGACAATTACCGGCGAAATTCAAGATCTGTAGAACAAGCTTGATGGCGCTTGGCTGCCATCTTGACTTAGGCTGACATCCCCACCTACCGATTGTTGTCGCCTTCCCCGCAAACCCCAGATCTCCACAATTCCCCAAAGTAGCGATAGCCCGCATTCGAGCATCGATAACCCCAATAGCAACATGCGATCGACAGATCATTTCCTTGCTTCTCTTAGTTCCTGCTGATAAATCACACCTAGCATTGACGGACGGAACAATTCCACCCGAGATTGACCGTCAGTGTACACTGCACTGGCGAGGAAAACTCGAGAAATTTGATGGATCGACGCAACCTCCCGGTAAAACTTCGGCTGAGGGCTTGCCTTCAATGGCAAACTGCAGGATTCGACAGTTGCTGTATTTCCTGACTGTGGTGATATGGGCCAAAGCGAAGCATGCCTGTACTTGATGACCAGGAGTAGTGTGCCACCAGACTACCCCTCCAGAGAAGAATCGACTCGTCTTGATCCGTAATCACACATTCTGGGGTTACGATGGCTCGCTCATGGTGCTGTCAGTGATCAGCCTAAACATATCGGCACGGTAACCGAAGAATTGGGCACGTCCTCCCGAAAAAAAGGCAACAGTTTACGGATACGTCGGCTACAAAGACAGCCGCTGTCTTGACAGATTGGGGGCTTTCAATGGCCTCGGCGAACTCGCCATAAAGTCTCTGCCGATACTTGATTGGAATACCCTTTTCCCCGCATCCTTTCTAGTCTGGGTATTCTCGAGTCGACGGATATAGCGGATGTTCTCCGTGAAAAGCAGTTGGTCTCGCTCTTTTCCATCTTACAGCGGACCATCGGGAATAAGGGCAACCAAGGAAATCATTTATATACATGCAATCATAACAGGCTATAGTACAAACCGCAAAGCATTACTAGTTGTGAGGTACACCACCAGTGCTACAGCTCCATCTTGATTCGATCACCGCCTACACCCCGGGCCTTCAATTAACCCTCCATATGGGCCATAAAAGACTCAGGACCGCAATGTAGAACTTGGTGCGGGGATCGTCCAAATGCAAGTCAGCCGAGTGGTCGAGTTACTGCAGGTCAACCCGGCCCCGGCGGTGGTAGTCGACGCCAGGCTGATCCTGATCGGACGGCGTGCTGGTGAAGAGCGTCACCTGCATGGTGGGAAGCTTCTCCTCCAGCGCCTGGACGTGATATTTGAAGGCGCGGGCCTGGCTACTGCGGGATCCGTGGATGAAGTGGACCCTGCGCTGGTTGGAAGGGGAGTTGGTGATGGTATTGAGGATGGATATCAGTGGAGTAACGCCGACACCGGCCGATCGGAGCACAATAGGATGGGCGGCTTCGGTACTGGACAGGAAGAAGTCGCAACACGGGTGAGAACCTTCAACGACGTCGCCTTGGTGACATCGTGCAGGACGTTGGATACGTATCCGGGGTGTCTCTTGGCGCCGGGAGCCCAGGGGTTAAGGCCGGATTCCTTCTTGACGCCGATACGGTAGTAATCCGAGCGAGGGGCATCACTGAGAGAATTCTGTCGGGCCTGGGGATACTTCAATCTCGGCACATCAACACGCACGGAGATGTACTGGCCTGGCTTATAGCTAGGTAGCGGCTTGCCATCGACTGGCCTGAGGTAGAACGAGGTTATCTCATCCGACTCGCGGACCTTCCTGGCCACGCGGAACTGGCACCAGTTGGTCCAGCCTTGGCTCTCCTTGTACAGTGTGCCTTTGCGGGCAATCATGATGTTCGCCAGCGCCCAGTATGCTGCGGCTCACGCGTCGAAGATGTCATCAGTGCAGGCATCGCCGAGAACCTCCTCCATGGCTTCCAGCAGGTAGTTCCCACCGATCTTGTAATTGTCCGGCTAGATGTAGAGAGACGCATGCTTGGTAGCCGTTGACCTGGTTGGCCGTGTTGAACACGTTGTTGAGTTCCGGATGCTCGGTCAGCATGTTCCGGTAGAACGTGGTGGTGATAGCAGCGCCATGTTCCTGTAGGATAGGGACATTGGCCCTTATGAGCTCAATCTGCTTAAGAGTGAGAGGGGTTGCAGAAGAAGGGGCAGCTTCCTTGAGGGATGGTTGCTGCTTCCGAGCATTGAATGTCCTGTAGATGAAATAGCTGACCATTGCGGCGATTGCGACTTGCGATGCGATTGCAACACAACGATCCATGAGGGATCGTTGCGACGGATATTCGACGGAGTATTGAGCGAAAATGACTGCTCGAACAGACCAACTGATTTACATTTTCAATCGATGAGCAGCCGAGTGAAAACTATTGTAAGATCTTCCCTAGCAGAGGCATTGAGCAGTGGCGTTGGACAGTTTGATGTATTCAAAAGTGACACTATGACGTGTCTAACAGATCACTTAGCCACTTCGCTGCTATCTCAGGGTTATGCTGATGATGAACGGAACAATGATCTACTGGATATCAATCGATCAATCACCTTAACGGTACTGACGTGCCGCCACTGTGAGAGATCGTCGTCTCACTATATTTTGACGTCGTGGTAGCCATCATGCAACGGACTATCAAGGCACGTCACCTTCCAAGCTCGCTCGATGCTTGTTAGTTCCATCAAATTGAAATAACCACTAGACTTGAGTCACTGAGCGACAAGGCTTTTTCTTGCGTTTTCCTCATAAGACCAGGCCATCGGGATGACTCCATCTGCCAGCTGTACCTTAAAAGTGCAAGCCTGACCAACGGGACGACAAAGTTTTGGGCTGACCTGGAGGCAGATTGGTGGATCTTGTTTTCATTCCAGGAGATCAGGTTCTACAGCGTCGGAAAGGGTAGCTTCAACAAGGTCTTCACCGAGGCATCGGACGAGTGGAAAACAGTGGATATTCCGCCGCAGGCATCCACTATGTAATTGACAACATCCGATCAGATATTTGCGCAAGGTAGTTTCATGCCCAATTTCTCAGGCTGCAACTCTAACCATTATACGTAGCCTTTCGCGGAAGGGTTCATCATTACCCAACGGGAAATGTGGCGTAGTCATTACATATCCCAATTCTGGATGAAGATCCGCTGCAAGTGGTCTGACACTGTGGTCGACAGTTTGCTAACTTTCAGGACTGCTGTTGTCTCCAACACTGCTCTCGTACTGCTCCGGGTCTCTCAAGCGATCCCTTAATACCTCGAGGATACCCTTCTCTTCAAGCCCCAGCGTGAACCCATCCGGAATCACCACCTGGTTTGGCGTGATGATGATAGAATTCTCCCACAGTAACCCAACCACACGACTGATCCGTCGTTCTCGAGACGCCTGCGGCACCTCCGACGTCTTCTCAATATCCGGTGGACCCTTCTTCCGGCCGACGTCCCGCGGCGTCCACCAGAACATGGGAAACTGACGCTGGATATTGTTGACCACCAACGCGCATCCCAGCATCAGCAATGACCCGATGAGAACCAGCGGGACGAAGAACCAGCCCATCGCGCCGATGGTGGGATCCACGGCAGCCAGCAGTGCCGTGGCTCCCCCCGGTGGATGGACAGTATTCGTCAGGCCCATGACCAACGACGCCAGAGCGGTGCAGACGGCCCCGGCGATCCAGCGGAGGCTCTCAAAGTCTGACCGGAGCATGAACAGCTTGGTGACTCCAACTCCGACCACGGCTGCGAACACATGTCCCAGGATGGAACTGCGCGGTTGAGCCAGCGGGGATTGGATTGTTTGGTAGTCCAGGATCGCCGTTGCGCCCTAGAACGTCAGCACGAGTTGCGGATACGCTAAGGATCGGGAAACACATACCAGGCTAGCAACTACGAGCGGAGGATGATGCGATTGGATAGTCTGGCTGGCCTTGAAGACACCCATCACCAGAATTAGTCCGGTAAACGCGCCGACAAATGCCCATGCGCAGACCAGCAGATTGCCTACTTCCGGTTGCGGGATTCGGCGGTATCCTAGGAACCGCGAGATGGGCCATGGTAGGCGATGCACCTGGGATTCGGGGAGATATCGATTGATGTATCGATCAATGTCGAAATCAATCTCTTGGGCGCTAGGAAGCTTCATTCTATGGACCATTCATTGCAATGGAGACTCGGCAGTTTGGGATATTAAATGACGATGGAAGAAGAGACGAAAATGATATATGGAAGAGCGCAAACATGAGGTAGAAGAAAAACCATAATAAAAAAGTGTAGAGATGCTATACCTTAATAGTGACTCAGGTTTTTAGTTAATCCACGGTGGGGCGCAATTATGTCATACCTTGGGTATACTTTTCGAAATGGAAAATTGGCTCGCGGAAGAGGATAGCCGACCCTTCCTAGTGGCACCGCCACGCAGAAATCAAAGGCAAATGATAAAAGAAAGCCAAGAAAGCCAAGCTGTGTGCCTGGCTCATATATTCCGGCTTGTAATTTGATCGAGTGGATTTTGCTGAGTAAGAGTTGCAGTGTCGCATCACTACCATGAGCGAACGATATAGAGGTCCGCCCCATCTATGGCGGTGTCTAAGAGAACCAGGTGTCTCGAAGCCAAGTGAGCCACTGCCTCCTGGAATTTGGTCCTGACTTACCAGTAACTTGGACTTTACTGCCTGGGACTTATTGGAAATAGACTCGAGCAACTCCGAAGGTGCGAGAGTATGGAAACATCCGTGATCAATATCCGCGACTGTTTGGTCGCCATTTGCGATGGAGACCTGATGCAGCGCGAGCTCCCATCTCCGTAGTAACTCGTCGGCGGTATCGATCGAGATAAAGTGCTTGTCAAAAAGCCGCTTCCAAGCCGACACCATCCCGAGTGATCGCACAGGTAAGTCTTAACGCTTGAGAAATCGCGGATTGCCCCCAGAGAAGAGGGAGACGTAGTTTGCCTTAGTAGGCTCAAGGAAGGGCGAAATATCCAAGCGGATCGCGCTCTTGCAGATTTCATGCAGAGACGGACTGATTCGAGCCACGTTTTCAACCTGGAATTGGTCACAGGTGGTGATGGAGCCAGAATCCTCTTGGATCCGGCAGACTAGCTCCAGCACCCTATCTTGGGGATTCACTCGGATCCACAACGGATAGGCAGCAAGGGTTGGAGCAAGCAAGTCTTCGATTCCAGGTAGATCCACTTGACGACCATTACTGAATAGCTCCAGAATTACATCCCTGCAATCAAGCATGTTGCTGATTGTGGGAGCCAAAGCGATATTGAGACGCGCAGAGATGGGCTTGGTGCTACTGGGAGTAGTTAACCAAGCTGGGACGGCTATCGGTTCTACAACATGCGGCAGACTGCCGGTCACGAATGCGTTGCACAGCTGGTTAGTACGAGTCCAGATCACCTGGGCTTCGGACACGGCCAGCATGCGTGTCCAGGTCGCTTCTTCGCCGCCAACGAGGTCAAGATTTTCCTCTGTCATTTTCTGCTCAAATATGACTTCAAACTGGCGGAAGGATCTGTGCCCCAGCCGAGATGCTCTGGTTTCCATATAAACTGTGATTCAGTCGCGAACATCTCCCTGCGCAGGCGGCAGGTGATTGATCTATCGGTACTCGAGGCGTAGGCTTGTCTTTCGCTTTTACTCTCCCCATCCTTCACTCAAGAAACCAGCTTCATAGGATGGTCTTGAACAGCAGTCATTAGGGATTCAGAGGAACGGAGTTAGTCCAATCACAGTACATCAACATTTTCTGGTCCTTAAAAAGTCTGAGACCTCTTAACTCACTTCGGACTACGAGAAAGTTGCTCTTTATCATGGAGCCATTAAAACAAGAGTGTTGAATCCGCATCCAGTGCCAACTGGATAATAAGCGTCTGTTCAACAGGTTTTGAGAAATTTCTGGGGAAAAAGCCATTGATCTCAACGGATTGAAGTAACATATAATAAGGAAGTCTTAGGAAATAAATGATTCTCGCATGTCCTATCTAATATGGAATCTCTCCGGCTATGCAGCGGCGTTTGTCATTATATGTCAGGCGGACAACACCCAGAAATTATAAACCTATGCCAACACCACAGAGTCGCGAACGGCATAATCAGAATAAATAGAATAACCATTGCCCACTCCAGCTTGAGTGATTCGCCGATATCTAAGGAACCGCAAGAGGGAGGGTAGCGCAGACATTCAGTAGAAAGAAATATAGTCAAAGGTGTGGATGTGCTAAACCAATTCAAGTTTCGCCTCAGGGTCCTTGAAGAAGTCTTCTAGTATTTAATAAAAAGTGGAGTGTAATTACGTCGTAATATTGGGCGTAGGAAAAGTAAGATTGACTGGCAGAGGAGAATATGTGGTGAGATTCTTCACAAGGTAAATGACAAAACAAGCTCCTTGTAGTGTGCTATTTGGGGAGCCTAGTGCATAGCCTCAGTACTAGACAGTCTAGGCCCAGTCAATGATCCCACAGTCCAGTCAGAAACACCCCCATTTGTGGGTCATGGCTGAGCAACTCATCCTCACGTGACTTATACGAGCGCAGCCACAATGAGATGACTGATGGATATTTCAGCTGAAGTCATGAATCATGAGCCATCATAATCATCCAGACATGTCTTGAACGAACCTTCTCTAATACAACCTTGAATTCACCAGCACAGTCTGTCATTCTGGGTGACTGGAACATGTTCAGCGACGGGTCTGCTCGCGCCACAAAGTCAAAGGCAAAATGTCACACATGCCGACGGCAACGGATCATCTGTGATGGTGGGAAGCCGTCTTGTATGCGATGCATATCTCGAGGTGTGGAATGTCTGGGATACTCGGCTACACCAATTCGCTGGGTGGCGCCTACATCCGCTGTTTCACCGGAGACACCAAGACCCTCGGAAAATAACCATGTCAAGGGCCAGGAAAGAAGAAGACGAGGACGACCGAAGCTATTCCTCATGCAGGGAGCGCCTCAGTCCTCCAATGCCCGGCCAGATCCACATCGAACCGAAAGTTTCAAATCGAGAAAAGGTACGCATGTGTGCAAGCGTCGTCAGATAGAGTCGTAACTAGAGAGCTCTAACTTGATTGCTGCGACTGCCAGCTGGCGTGCTCGTCTCTCGCTCGAGATCAAATCTAGAAAATCCAAGAATTCCTTGGTCGATTTTTCCGTGTGACTACGAGACGCATAAGATGGTCCTAGAGTTCTCCCATTACTGTATGTGAAGGGCCGCAAGGACAGACTCCATGATCTGAGAGCTGACTTTGTACAGTCAACGACCACGTCTGCCCGGAATTGGTCATTGTAGATTCGCCTCTGAACCCACACCGGATCGATCTCGACATACTCCCCTATGTCCCCGATTTCTTACTCAGTCTCCTGATTTCTGCCTCTGCAATACACCAAGTAATCCAGTCGCAGCCCAATTTGCATCTGATCACAGTCAATCGATCACGGGCCTTGCGCGCTAAAGTCAACCCTGGCGAATTGGAGCCTCTCCAATCGTTTCACCATCCGTTAAGCTCTTTCATCTACAAGCACCGATCGCAGTCGTTACGAGGGTTGAATCAATATTTGTCTGAAGCAGGAGCAGAAGGGCACGACCTGGTCTTCCATACTGTGATTGTGATGCTCATGTCGGAGGTATGCAACAATCCTGTGGTATGAAAGTGTGCATCTAACAGCAGGGTATGGCATTAGATTCAAAGATCGGCGTTCTACAACTGGAAAATCCATTTTGAAGGTCTGAAGAACATCATCGCATGTCAAGGTGGATTTGAAATGCTAGTATCCACCAGACTTGGAAATCTTCGACATGCTTTAGGTCACTTCATGCTGTAAGTCATCTTTCCCGTCGATTGACATGATACTGATGGATGCTTCAGAATCGATGTAATGAGCTCGGTCTTCGTGGCCGCCTCATCCTTGCCACTTGACACTCCGGTGCAGCTAAGATATATCGACTGGCTGCCAGAGATACATGCCCATGGACTGGAAAAAGGATTCCCGTGCCCCGATGAGCTATTGGCATGTATCATCCATACGAACAACCTCAGATTCATCCTTCACCACCATCCCCATGATGACATAGCGCACGTGAACAGTGCTATTCTGGACCTGGTTCGCAGCATCATTACATTCTCTCCAACGGCCTGGGCCGGGCGAGCTCTCGAATCCTACAATGAGACACTGGAAGAGCGTGTGGACAGGCAGCGACCGCGGAAGCGATTGAACCTTGTTCCACAGCCCATTGAAGGCGAGGGCTGGGCGGATCTTGCCGCTGCTTTCCAGTCAGCTACCTTGCTCTACTGCCTCAGGGCCTTAGTCCTCAATCACGGAAAAGAAAACATCTTTCAAGAGATGTTGGGCAACATTTATGAGGGGCTCATCCCGGATGTCCAGTGCCTTGCCAGCGTAACCCTGAGCAACCTTCTCTGTATGCTTCATCCTTTGATGGACCAACCGCTCCAAAAGGGCAAGTCGATGGGCCGCTTCATGTTCTGGCCCGTGTTGATGGCGGGGCTGGAGAGTACCTGTAGCTCTGAGGCGTTGTCCGAAAGACCGTTCATTGTGAGCTCTCTGCAGGAGCTTTGTCGATGTCTCGGCGACATGAGCGCCCTTGATGCGGCAGTGTTCCTCCAGTCGGCATGGAACCTAGACGAGGGAAGCCATTCCGGGAACATGCAAAGAGTGCGTACTTGGGACGAGCTTTTTGAGGGGATGGGCGTGCATGGTGTCTTCTTTTTCTGAGCGAGATATAAGCCAGAGGGCATTGAGTACATAGAAACACAGAGGAAGGCACATATTCAAATGCATCTATAGAGATCAATTAGAGATCAATTTATGAACAGGCGGCAGGGTATACCTGTGAGCCGGTAGCCAGTCTTGCGTGATAACTGCCCCGTAGAGATGACGTAGTAGTAGCAGACAGTTAATCGGACGTAACAAGCTTTATACCTCGCACCTACGTAGTTGCTGAGCTGAGGAGATTGAAGATATCTTCGGCTCTATTTGAATTGTTAGATATGCCCAACAATTGTTAACCTTTGTGTGGGGTGGCCGTCGCACAGATATTTGTAGAGATATCTATACATCAATCTACTTCAATATGCCAAGGGAAACCCCAACTTGCCAATGCGGGCATCAGCAACGGTAGTAATTCTATTCTAGTTTATATTAAATAAAGTCTCTGAGACACTCAGTGTCTAATGACGTCGTGCCATGCCAGGGCTGAGGCCAAGCTCCCTGGTTCTTATCTCCTGTCTTTATCTCTGCTTATCTTTGTTTCCATCACTAACCCGAATGCTCGACTCCGCGGAAATGAGCCACCGAATCGCCAATGAAGCCCTGGAACTCTTATCAAGCAGGATGCCATGGAAGTCAAGCCTTTGGGATACATCGACCAGTCAGAAGATGTACAGATATCGGTTCGTTCTTGGCGGTGGCCTCGGAGATCCAAGATATGGCCCGATCAACGGGATGGAGTAGATAAGGCCGGAAACGAGATGTTCCAGTTCTACATATCTCTTACGTTCTGGAGCATGAATGGTCATTGCCCAAGACGTCGTGGCGTCTGTCTTCCCATGGCTCTAGGCATGGGAATCGCTGCCTGGTTGTACTGCCGCGACAAACGACTGTATTTTCCAGGATATTGCCGGCATGCAGTCATTCACTTGCGATTTTGACGTTATCCCTGTCTGCTCTTCTGAAATATTGCTTCTTCGCATGCTTTGAATCTTTTGCAGCTGGCTTGGCTGATCTTTTTATCGTTTTTCGAGCTGCTTGGCAGACCGCTCCGGCTCGATGCTTTCATACCGCATCTCCTAGGAGTTGAGGATAAGCACTTTCCCTTGATTTTCTGTTGCTAAGTCTTTTAATATCTCCGTGGAAGATGGAAACCGCATTTATCCATGAAATGGCTGCGATACTGGTGCTCCGGTCAAGCATTATATAGTTTCTGGCCACCTCGGGTTGCAAACCATCCCTGACTTCATCTTAATTGAAGCACAATTTGCAGAGACAGCTCTTGAAGTTGATGCAAGATGGAAATGTTGAAACTGGTATTTGCCAGCCCCGAGATCAACCCGGTCAACCACAAAGCAAGGTCGATTCCATTGTTGAATCCCATTGATCGCTATGGTCGTGTCTTCTTCTTCTCCTGGCTAGGATTCATGGTGGCATTCCTCTCCTGGTATGCATTTCCTCCGCTGGTAAGTGGTCTCGAGCTTCATAATAGTTGGCCCCTCTAACAGGCACAGTTGAGCGTCACGATCAAGAAGGACCTGCATATGACGCAAGACCAGGTCGGCAACTCCAATATCGTGGCTCTACTGGGAACGTAAGTACCCTTGCGCCGTCAGTCAGATCGTTTGCTAAATAGACAGCCTTCTCATGCGGTTCATTGCCGGCCCCCTGTGCGATCGGTTCGGTCCGCGATACGTCTTTGTCGGATGTCTCCTCTGCGGTGCCATCCCCACCGTCATGGCCGGACTAGTCACCTCTCCCCAAGGACTAATTGCCTTGCGTTTCTTCATCGGGATTCTCGGAGCGACCTTTGTGCCGTGCCAGGTCTGGTGCACTGGCTTCTTTGACAAAAACGTGGTAGGGACAGCAAACGCTCTGGCTGGAGGATTCGGCAACGCCGGCGGTGGTATCACATAGTATGTTCTTTTCCAGTCGAACTCCTTGTGTGCAAAGCTCATATCATCAGCTTCGTTATGCCTGCCATCTACGACTCCCTCGTTCACTCGCAAGGACTGACTCCCCACCGTGCCTGGCGTGTCGCATACGTGGTCCCGTTCATCATTATCGTCACACTCGCCCTGTCGATGCTTTTCCTCTGTGAGGATACCCCGACGGGTAAATGGTCGGAGCGACACAGCAACAATCCCATTCTTCAGAGCAATATCGTCGACCTCCACCGGACCAGCGGATCCGGCACCCCGTCCAGCACCAACGTCTCCACCGTGCCGGAGAAGAAAGGTGCCTCCACGCCGCAGATCGTCGACACCGAAGCGCAACAGGTGATTGATATCAGCCTTGCAAACAACGAAATGATTCAGAAACCCACGCTTAGAGAAGCACTCCGTGTGATCTTCTCCCTGCCAACGCTGGCGCTTGCTCTGCCGTATGCCTGCTCCTTCGGCGCCGAACTCGCCATCAACTCCATTCTCGGCGCGTATTATCTGAAGAACTTTCCCAGCCTAGGTCAGACCAAGTCCGGCCGGTGGGCTGCCATGTTCGGGCTGGTCAATGTCGTCTTTCGCCCGGCGGGCGGGTTCATAGCTGATCTCATCTATCGGTATACCAAGTCGGTGTGGGGCAAGAAAGTTTGGCTGGTCTGTCTAGGGGTGTGTACGGGAGCAATGGCGCTGGCTGTCGGACAGTTAAACCCAAAGAGTGAGGGACTGATGTTTGGACTGGTGGTGTTGATGGCGTTTTTCATCGCGGCCAGTAACGGGGCAAATTTCGCCATTGTGCCTCATGTGCATCCAACCGCCAATGGTGAGTTCAGGGCACGCTATTCTGTCAATCGTATGCTAATGGATTCAGGAATCGTCTCGGGCATTGTCGGGGGAATGGGTAACTTTGGTGGAATCGTCTTTGCGATTATCTTCCGCTACAACGGCACACACTACGATCGTGCCTTGTGGATTATTGGGGCGATAGTTGCAGGGGTCAATCTTTGTGTTTCTTGGATTAGACCTGTGCCTCGGACATAGATTAGTTTTCCACAATGGGATATTGATCGATCATCATTCATCATCGTTCTTCGCCTGTCTCACTTCCTCCTGCACTTCGCTGGTCAGCGTCACAGCCAGCACAGACGGAATGACAACAACCAGCGCCCCCATACACAGTCCCCAGTCCATGGCAAACTGCGTCATGGCCGGCTTGGCCATCGCATTCAACCGCCAGGCCATTGCACCCCCGGTCGCCTGGAACGTCTTGTACGCACCGACCAGAATGGCCGCTACGGCGGGCGAATTCGACCGAGCTCCCATAAGCCAGTAGCAGAATCCCTGCCAAAAGGCATCGTACGCTCCGTAGAAGATATACAAGAAGATCGGACCAGTTGCTAGCGAGCTCTGCGTGTAGTCGATGTCCTGCTTGTGGCCATGTGCCCTGCGCCGGTCATACCATTTCTGGAACGCATACCCCCCGCCCCAGATGGCCATCCCCGTCACGAAGAGGAAGAGCCAGCCCACTCTGGCCCGGTTCTGGCGGTTCACCCGCGGCATATCGAGAATCAGTCCGATGATAAGGCCGCCCAGCATCTGTGCCATCCAGTACAGCGCCCCGTTGAGGGACCGCGTGCGGATGTTGAAGGTCATCCCGTTGACGATGTTCTGCTGGTACGAGTAGAAGACGTTGGCGCAGAAGAACATGGGAATCATGCAGAGAACGCGCCAGTCGGTCAGTGTCTGGACCGTCAGTTTGGCGGTTCGGTGCCAGTTCGTCTCCGTCTCGGGCGTGGGCTGCAGTCCTTGCACGCGGACGGAAGCCGGCGGGCAGATCAGGGCACCTAGCAGCCAGCCGATGACCATGATTATCAGCAGGGCGATGTAGGTTCCGTCCGTGACCGTTCCGCTGTGCGAGTGGTAGTTGAGACCGAAGCTGGCGAGGGAGCCCACGCCGCCGCCTAGGTTGAAGATGATCCAGAATGCGGCAATGGCCCGGCCTTTTTGGGATTCAGGTACGTACGTCGTCATGATCGCGCCTTGAGCCACCCAAAGAAAGGACGCTCCGATACCGAGAATGGCGCCGGCGGCGATGACAAACGCTCCGTTGGCGGTATCTAACAGCGTCAGTATGTAGGGGTGAATGGGAAGGAACGTTCTCATACGGCTGAAGCATAGTAGACTGCCCGAGTACAAGGAGTAAGTCCATCCTCCGATCAGCAAGCATACTCGAGGTCCGACTCGATCAAAGATTGGTCCAACGACAAATAAAGCCGTAGCAGCAGTCGCAGCCAGCAAGGCTACTGTGGCGTTCGCGGCAACTGTAGGGTCAACCTGTCCGGAGCCTCCCAAGCCAGAGAGAGCGTTGTACATCTGAAGATTAGTGAGTGACTTGAGCAGTTGGAGGAAGACCTACCCCTGGGCAACAGAAGCAGATGAAGCTAATGAGGGTGATCTGGAACCACGAGTGCGTGTAGATCCGATATGGAAGCGATCGCTGCCGGGAGACTTCTCCAGCCTCCACGGCAGCATCATCTTGATGAATTTCGTCGTGCCCCATATTGGCTGTCGGTCAGTCAGACCACTCGATTGTAGAAGAGAATAGAGGAGGGACAGTGGTTTTATCTCGCCATCGTGAGGCCTGTGTGACTCTTGTCCCTTGCTGCCAAAATGCGGAGAAACTAGACTAATGGTCCGCCATGGCGGGCCTATCTCTTGACCGAAGCGTAGTTTGTTCGTATAGAAGGCGTCTAACTCATAAAAGATATTCTGTTGTAGATCCGTCCGCTCCGACAACCCACTACTGGTCAGATTTGATATCAGCATTCTCCACAGGCGAGTTCTATACAACCCCAGATTGGCACTCCTAAACGAGACAATGTAACGTTGTCAAGTAACCCCCACGCGACACGGGGCTAACCGAGGATATAGAATATAGAGTCACTGAATCTACTGCAGGGACTTTTATCTGGCCTGTCAGACTCGTTTTCCGAGAAGCATGGCAACATGGATCTAGCCGGCCTGTCGCAGCTTCAGACCGAAGCCGTCAACCCCCGGACGGCGCGGATCGACCAGATCTCGACCCTGGAGATGTGCCGATTGATCAACGAAGAGGATCACCGTGTCGCGCCTAGTGTCACACTATGCCTCCCCGAAATTGCCGCTGCCATTGATGCGCTAACTCCGCGCGTGCGAAATTGCGGACGAGTTATCTACGTGGGTGCAGGGACCAGTGGAAGGTCAGTTACCACAGTACCACCAAAAAATAGCTCTCCGAAAGGATGTGTAATCAATCCAGGTGACCAGACTCGGCATCCTCGATGCATCCGAGATTCCTCCGACATTTGCTGCTCCGCCATCGCAGTTTGTCGGGCTGATCGCGGGCGGCGATGCTGCCATTCGACGAGCACAAGAAGGAGCCGAAGATAGTGTCGCTGCGGGCGAGGCAGACATGGAAGCTCTGAACCTCAACCCGGACCTGGACAGCGTAATTGGCATAGCTGCGTCCGGTCGTACGCCGTATGTTCTCGGATGTTTGGCATTCGCGAAGAAGATCGGCTGCCTCACTATCGGTGTGGTCTGCGCTTCGCCGTCGGCAATGGGGACATCGGGAACCGTCGACTTCCTGATTGCTCCGCTGCCGGGGCCGGAGGTTGTCACAGGCAGCACCCGGCTGAAGGCGGGAACGGCTACCAAGCTGGTGCTGAATATGCTTAGCACTGGCACCATGATCCGGACGGGCAAGACTTATGGAAATCTGGTATGTGTTTGTGGGAAGCTGGAAGAGTGTGGTTGACCGAATCAGATGGTAGATCTTGTAGCCTCCAATCTGAAGCTGGAACAACGATCGCGCAATATCCTGCGAAGGCTGAGTGCACGCTGCGCCGGTATGACGGACGCGGAGCTGGACGCTTTGCTCGCAAGATGTAAAGGAAAGGTGAAATTAGCTCTTCTCGTGGCCGAGACGGGACACCCGATTGGACAGTGCGCGGAGAGGTTGGCATCTGCTGGGGGTGTGCTCGCTAATGCTTTAGAGACATCTTTGGCCAAGGATGTACAGTCCCCTGCCAAAGACAGGCAATATGTGCTCTGCATTGACGGCGGAGGGACCAAGTGCGCGGCCGTCATCGCGGACCTGACAGGCACCGTCGTTGGGCGAGGGACAACAGGTCCATGTAATCTGTACGCTTTTACCTATTTCCTTTGCGAATCACAGCTGACAGCGACAGGACTGACGGCAACGGCATGGAGGAGGTAGTTCAGACGCTTATGGCTGCTACAAAGGAAGCTTTGGCCACCATTCCTTCCTCAGAGTGCCATCTCCAGTCGCTTTTCAAGTCAGTCTGGATTGGTTTGGCGGGCATTGACCGGAAGAACTTCCGGGAGTCGCTCTTACCAAAGCTCTGCTTGCTCTTTGGATTGACTGAGAAGGAAATCCGACTGACAAATGACGTGGATCTGCTGGCGGCCGCTGCAACTCCCCACCCAGACTGTTCATCTGCAGTAGTTGTGATTGCTGGCACCGGGAGCGTCGCCATGCGATACAATCGAAGTGAGGATGGCAATGAGTACTCCCGAGTCGCTCGATCCGGCGGCTGGGGACACATCTTGGGTGATGAAGGAGGGGGATATGCCATCGGGCTGGAGGCCATCAAATACACCTTGGCCGTTCTCGAGGAGATAAGACTCGGAATACGCATTAAGCCCCTGGGACGTTTGGAGCAGGCGGTTCTTGAACAACTGGGATGTGCCACCTGCGGGCCAAAGCAGATTGATCTCGTCAGTGAAATCCTGGTTCAGCAGCACAAGCAGACGATCAAATCTCGTATTGCAGGTGTTGCCCAAGTGGTGCTCAGCATGAACGGACAGTATGACACTGCCTCGACCATTGTCGGTCGACAAATTGACTATTTGGCAAATCGAACTGTAGGACGTCTGTTGGATCCTGCTTGTGCTGGATACGTCCCTACGGAACGTACCGGTCTGATCCTTTCTGGCAGCATTCTCAACAATCAGCCTTACCAGGATCAATTTCTGGATGTCCTCAAGAAAGAGGCCCGGTTCGCCTATATCGAGAGGGTATCTGATGCGGGCCTCCTGGGCGTAAAACATCTGATATCGTCTTGATTAGTATTAAGTGCAGAGGTTTAGTACCCATCAAGTATAGATATCTTCAGGAACGAGGGTTCGTCTCGATGACTAGATCCTCAGCGATTCTCAAATTTGTCTCTTTTCTTATCCTGTTGTTTGTACAAACTATGGGAACAGGCAACATAATAACTAGTTCACAGCTAGGGACCCAAGGTTACGATTAGTGAAAAGTTATACCCAAAGATAGCTGAATCATTTCGCTGCTCTTGTCGTGTCCGGATCTCGACCGAATCTCACCCAGAAGCCTCCATTTTCCACTTGAATCATCATCTTGTACCTCAAGTACCTCATCCAGTCTGTCAAGTATAAGTATCGACGCACTCATGCTTTTACATGCTCCTTCTCCGAAATTGATTGACACGAAGGCGTTGAGCTCTTGACAGGCGCCGTTTTCCCCCTAGTCAATCCTTGATATACTTGGATCATCTGCTGAACGCCTCCATCGACAATAGGGTAAACGATCGCCACTAACATTGTGCCCCAAAGCCAGATGATAGCAACCACTACCCAGGCCACGAAGAACTAGGACGATCAGCCTCAGCTTTTGAAGGTTTGACTGGATACTCACCGTTTTACCAAAGACATATTTGGCCCCGTACATGGGAAGTGGCCAGAGAACCCAATGGCCCAAGAATGTAGCTACCGACCAGAACGCGGCGATGCGACCCCATCGTTTCAATTCTTTCGCGCTGAATGCTGGAGCATTCGGCCGGTGGCTGTGCACTGTTGTGAGGTCACCTTCGAGTTCCTCCAGAGCCAGCTTCTCCTTCTTGAACTCCGCCCAATCGTAATTCTGTGGTCGTAGGAGGGTGAGGATGGCCGAGTAAACGATGGGTGAAAAGGCAGAGGCAACTGTGCCGTAGACGCAGGGCAGGATCTGGCCCGTTGTGGATACTGTAACGGCTCCATAAAAGTGTTTGGCCGTTCCCAGCCAGACACCTAGACCGGTTGCCAGACCAAGCACGGGGGCAAGGATGGCCGCTGCTTTGCTCTGTTGGCGCCATAGGATGGTAAAGGCCATTGGGAAGATGCCAGGACAGGTGACCACGCCTTTGCGGTCAGTTATGGACCCAGGACTGGGAAGAATTCTTACCGAGCATATACAGAGTCCATCCCAGGTCTATGCCGACGTAGTGCAGCATGGTACTAAAGCCGGCGGAGAAGGCCGCGAAGAAGATGACTCCAAAATGACTGGAACGGATGATGTCGCGGTCGGAAGCCTTTCGGTTGAAATACTCGCGATAGACATCAAAGCTCAGGATCGAGCTGACGGCAATGACTTGCGCCGACAGTGTCGACGTTACAGCCATGAAGGTGATGAGAAGGATGGCAGCCGCGCCTCCTTTCCCTGCAATCGCCATGGCTGCATAAGGCAGGACGAGTCCATTGCTGACCTCGGTTGATGTCATGCGCTGGTACCGGGTTAGTTCTGTTCCCGGTGATGTTGGAGGCTACGTACGCGTGGGTATGTTGGGAAGATGGGCTGATTTTCTAGACCAAGTGCGACAGAACTCATGATGGTTCCTAGAGCCCATGGGATGGCAAAGTATGCAATGCCGCCGATTGTATATCCGGGCACGACTGCCGAAGGAGCCGCCGAGAACGCTTTGATGAAGAAGCTCGTGTCCATCTAATGGGTTAGCAAGGAGTATCTCATTGGCCGCAGCACTTACAATGACCAAGCCGAAATTGGAACAAATGTGCAGAATGCCGAATAGAATACCCTAATATCGTCAGAACTGCGGTAGACATTCCTTGTGAGATAACGCACGCCTTTAGAGGTCATCGTCAGGTAAGTGGCAGCATGATTTCCAGCAACTGGATGCCGCTGAGAAGCCGACTTGACCAGCTCGTACAGGTTGCCGATGGAGCCAACCTCGTCGACCGTAAACGCTTTGATTGAGAAATAACACGCGATGATGAGTATGACGGCCGTATGAAAATAGTCGGTCAGGAACCTGCATCTCATTCTCAGATGCCATTCTTGTATGCTTGACTCGGCTGCTTACGTTGCTTTAATGCCACCGACAAAGGTGTAGACCGTCACGCCGACAGGCAAGAGAAACGTCGCTGCGACGATATGTACACCAGTTCTACTCAAGTCAGACTGCTCCCGTTTTCAGTTTGGTGACTTACAGGGCTGCAATGACTGCCGCTGCACCTAAGAGCATATTGGCACAAGCGAAAATGTTGTTGATCAAACAAAGCGTCATGAAGACAACATGAGCGATTCGCCCTGTTTGTGTCATCATTTTGTTATTGATGCTCTGCGAACAGTCTTACCATATCGGATCCGAACAACTTCCAGAGATGTATGGGCTTCAGGAATCTTCCTTTTGCAGGAGATTCCCAGCAGGGCGAAGAAGACGATCATCGGACTACAGCCGGCAGCGAACCAAAAGGGACCCGATACGCCATAATCGTAGCCCACGAACGCAGAGCCCAACATGGCCGTTGACCATAGCCATGACTATACAGAGAGTTATTATTGGGATGCCGTGCAGCACTTGGAGAGCATATCCTACCGATATAACCGCAGACGCTGTCAATCCAGTCCGAACGGTTCGATTTGCAGTCATAAACCTGCAATGAGTTAGTATCTAGTATTCCGCAGCATCGGAGGAAAATACATTTCTGTCTTCTTGTTATCTTCACCTGCCGTTCTCTTGAGGATCTTGGTGATGAGCATCATCACTGGGTCTGTTAGCTGTCATCCACGCGGCAGGGACATCGACATACCCAAAGCAATGACCAATCCCAAAACTACGACTATCACGTAGCCCACGACTTGCGGCAGAGGAGGTTGAACCACTACCTGGCCATCTCGAGCTTGATGGTTCGCCATGACTGGTACGATATAACTGATGTACAAAAAACACTATTCCTATGGTGCATGAATGAATGCGACTTCGTTATATATAGGTACTGAATACTGCATCGGTACGCGTGCCGTCCTGCGGCCCACTAGCATGGCTACGGTCGTTCGGTTCTATGATGAGATGATGAGTACAGGTTATGGTGTGCTAGATTACCACTCAAGCATCGTTGATCAGCCCTTGTCGTCAGGTCCTGTATAGAGTCGAGGATCCTGCCCAAGGACCCGGCGATCTGGTCAACGGTTCACAAGGTTCACAAGTTTGACAACTCTAGAAATTGAGTCGATTTGGCCAATAAGAGGATCCCCTCATATAAGAGGCATATACTATGGCGCGTGGGAATTGCGCGATAAGAACCGTGGTTGACGAAGGAGACATCCTCGCCCAATCATGACACAGGCAGATCACTAAATGCAACGAGTTGCCAACAACCAACATTTTAAGATGATCTGATAAAGTCTAATGTGGCTCTCCAGGTTCTTCATCTGGTTGTTCGTGGTGTTCCCCCTCATCCCACTACAGCACGCCATCGCGGCCCACATTGATGCTATAGAGACTCCAAAAATGGGCCATCAACCAGGCATGGTTCCGTATGATACGGGGGGATCTACCCCATACATAAATAATTGGGCTTCCGATTAAATTTTCGGTGGATATTGAAGCTTGATTGACTTATTCATCTCGGTTCTCAGCGTCTTCATGAGAAATATCCATTGAAAAGAAGGAACGGCACATACCGAACTTTTAGCTATTGCTTCCTACCCTTCTCCAGGTCATTTGGGCCTCTACCAATCATGACGGTGGCCAGCGATACCTTTGTCACCTCCGGACCACGAAAGTCGCTCATCCTCAATGCGTTCGTTGAGATGTGTATGTATCCAACTCTCGCTGCAAGACTTTTCTGATGAATCGCAGGCAGTGGCCATCAATCTCCAGGGCTGTGGCGCCACCCAGAAGATGAATCACACCGGTTCAACGACGTAGACCACTGGATCGAGCTTGCACAGTTGTTGGAATCAGCCAAGTTTCATGGCATCTTCATCGCGGATGTCCTAGGCGGCTACGACGTGTACAAAGGACCCAGGAACCTCGCTCCGGCCATTGCTTCTGGAGCGCAATGGCCCGTCAATGAACCGCTCGCCGTGATCTCGGCAATGGCAGCTGCGACGAGAAATATCGGGTTTGGGGTGACGGTGACGACGACCTATGAGCAGCCATATCACTTGGCTCGCCGGCTATCGACGGTTGATCATTTGTCCAAGGGACGGTATGTGAGTTCCAATCTGACGTAAACGGTGCTAACGTGAGTTGCGCAGATTGGGTTGGAATGTAAGCATTCTGCCACCATATAACGATAATCATCGAGCTAATAAAGAACTGTAGGTGGTCACCGGCTATCTGGACTCAGCAGCTCGGAACCTAGGCCATGCCCAGCAACCACAGGTAGGTGACGTCCAATCTCGCACCGCTAGCCTGGTCTAACGATATCAGCACGACGACCGATATGCTGTTGCGGAAGAATACGTGAGAGTAACTTACAAACTCTGGGAGTCGTCCTGGCGCGACGATGCTGTTGTTCTCGATCGCGAACGCGGAATCTACACCGATCCCAGCCGGGTCCGAGAAATCAACCATGAGGGCAAATACTTCAATGTCCCCGGTCCACATCTGTGCCAGCCGAGCCCACAGCGAACGCCCGTCATCCTTCAAGCTGGCACCTCCAAGGCAGGAAAGACGTTCGCCGCACAACATGCGGAGGCGATCTTTGTGGCCGGGCACAGTCCTGCAGTGGTTGCGAAGAATATCGCAGAGATCCGTGCGATGGCGCAGGCAGACTTCGGACGCGATCCAAAGAGCATCAAGTTCCTAGCACTTTTGTGCCCGGTGTTGGGCCGTACGGAGGAAGAGGCACGTGAGAAATTCCAGTACTATCGCAGCCTGGGCTCGATCGATGGCGCATTGGCGCTCTTTGGCGGGTGGACGGGAATCAACCTGGACACGTACGGTGATGACGAAGAACTTCGGCATGTCGAGAGCAACGCAATTCGGTTGGTTACCATCCCATCAAACCGGAAATGATGCTAACTAGCCCCGTAGCTCCGCCGTCGAGGGCTGGTCCAAGTCAACACCCGAAGTCGCGAAATGGACCAAGTCAACGGTTGGCCAACATATCACAGTGGGAGGCCTGGGTGCCACGCCAGTGGGAACGCCGGCTCAAGTAGCGGATGAGATGGAACGCTGGGTGAGAGAAGCCGATGTTGATGGATTCAACCTGGTAAGTTTGCCTACAGATGGTCAATCACACGGAGGTTGACAAGTGCCAAGGCCTACGCTATCAAGCCAGGATCTTTCAAGGACATTATCGATCTGTTGATTCCCGAACTTCGTCGACGGGGACTGTTTTGGGAGGACTATGCGGTCGAGAGGGGAACGTATCGGGAGAATCTGTATGGCAAGCCGGGGCAGACAGGTCCCCCAGAGGATCATCCTGCGGCCAAGTACCGTTGGCATGCGGGAGTAGACGCTGCAGATCATACGATTCCCGAAAACTAGTACAAGGGACGTAGAGCGACGTGTTTCCATCTCGATAGTTTCGGGAAATATGCCCAGCAGGACAGTCGTCTGCATCTACACTTTATCTTTAGTAGAGAGGTTCAAAATGTTTACGTGGAACCAACTGGAAAACTCAAACGATTGATTGTCGTATCACTCCATTGAAACCGCTGGATGCACAAATGAGCTTTTAACTCCTTCTCTGAAGCTCGAGCGCAACATGAACAACAGTATGGCAACAGACTCGGTCAATTCTACGTATATCCTTGGCAGACTCGTGTTCTAGAAACCGGGAAGCAAAATGAGATTTTTGGTCGACTTTTATTGTCGACTGACGAGGTTGCATTAGTACCCGGAATATCCTGCAAGATATGGGCATCTTCCAATGGCAGTATAGAGAGGCAGCACGGGAAGGCGTTCTATCATTTAGCGTCCACAATCCTCGTGTTCCTGGCCGCTAATTGGGGTCTAGTGAGGGGCACAAAATATGAAGCCGTCTTGGCAAACATTTGGCGTCGAATCATTTGGAGGTTGATTCATTTGCTTGACGATTCTTGTTGTTGACATTGGCTGCTTGGCCCATGCCTTGAGGAGGAAACCATTCATGCTAAGCAATTGTGTGTCTTTTCTATGTCATATTCGAGGGTCATAGCTCTATTCGAGCACAACAGCACAAACTTGATTAAAACCTTGCATATTTCCCCGCCTGCAGACAAGCAAGAAGACCATGTAGGCTCAGATCTCTGAACCCTCGTGCCTCCGCAGATTCATCTTATTGGAGTCGGCTACAGCGTCTACGGATGTGTCGGCTCTTTCCGCAAGGTCTGTTGAGATCTCCTTTCTCAACATCGGGTCACGACAGTATCTCCGGCTATACTGTCCATTCGATTGGACCTCGTTTAAATAATGGGCGATACAACTCAATGCATGTCTCCAGAGCACGTGGGACGAGACTGAAGGCCAGGGATGATGATGTGGAAAACGAGGACTAGTATAAAATGGCCTTCCTCAGCCGTTCGACAGGATGTTTCGTGAAAAGTGGCATCTTCTGACCAGCCATCTCTGCTTTGACTCCTCTGCAGAATGCATCTCAGTGCTTTTCTTGGTCTTCTGGCCTTTGCGGCGGCCGCCTCGGCCATTCCTGCACAGCCAGCCAGTGCGCACTCGTCACCATCGATCCAGAATCTCAAGTCCAAGATCAAGAATGTGGTTATCCTGGTGATGGAGAACCGCTCCTTTGACAACGTCCTGGGTGGTCAGAAGCTCAAGGGCCTTGAAAACCCCGTCAACACCGGCCCCTACTGCAACCCCTACAACCTCACCGACCCTAGCCAGGGCGTTGCCTGTTCTGCCGCCAAGGACTTTGACTCCATCACTAATGACCCCGACCACGCCATCTATGGCAACAACATCGAGTTCTATGGCACCTTCAACCCAGACAACAATCTGATTGCTGAGGGCAAGCTAGTTGCCCACAACCAAGGCTTTGTTCACGAGCAAGTTCGCAAGTATGGCGCTAAGGTGAACAAGACCACCCTCGCCGCTCAGGTCATGAACTACTACACCGAGGAGCAGGTTCCAGTTCTGACCTCCCTGGTGCGAAACTATCTGACCTTCAACCACTGGCACTCGGATATTCCCGGCGTAAGTACACCCATCCCTAATCCCTTGGAAGGACGGGTCTGACTCGTGCAGAATACCAACCCCAACCGTGCCGCCCTAGTTTCTGGTACCTCCCTCGGTCACGGTTTGAATGATGCTGCGTTTAGCAAGCATCAGTTCCCCCAGCGGTCCATCTTCCAGCAGTTGACCGAGACCGGCCACTCGTGGATCAACTACGTCGACCCTGCTGGCGGTACTGGCCCCGATGCGGGCTACTTTAACTGGACCTATGCCACCAACAACCAAGACAAGATCCAGCCCCTGGCCAAGTTCTATACCGACGCTGCGGCCGGTGCCCTGCCTGAATTGGCGTACCTCAACCCCTCGTGCTGCGGGGTGGGCACCACCTCCATGCATCCCGCTGGCTTGATCTCCGACGGTGAGGCTTTCATCAAAAAAGTGTATGATGCGTTGCGCGCCGGTCCCCAGTGGGAGCAGACTCTCTTCATCCTGACCTTTGACGAGAGCGGTGGCTTCCACGACCACGTTCCTGCTCCTCTCGCTCCTCGGCCGGATAACCTGACCTTCACCCTCAGCACCCCCAGCGGCGTGAATTATACCTTCCCCTTTGACCGTCTCGGTGGTCGCATCCCGACTCTGCTGATTTCCCCCTGGGTTGCCAAGGCACAGGTCGAGCAGAAGGGTACAAATGCTCACGGCGAGTCTGTGTCTTATTCGGCTGCCTCCATTCTGCGGACTCTGGGCTACCTCTGGGACTTTGAGCCCTTCACCCCTCGGGTCGAGCATGCGGCGTCATTTGAGCACTTGATCCGCCACAATGCTCGGAAGAACACCCCTTCTGCTCTCCCTTCTGCGGTCCCTTTCCGGAAGTAGAATGGTGTAGGCGAAGGATGAGGGGTGGATACAGTATAATCAGATTGTAGGACAGACAATAGTATAAGATAATTGTTCCGAGAAATACGAAGAAAATGGAACGATCCTATTCCTTTCTCCGATTTCGGCGATTAGCCGGACTTCCCCGGAATTGTTTCCCCACAAACATTCTTCAATCTCCGCTTAGACGCCTTCTATGGCTGAATTTCCCGACGGCAATTGGTTCTGCCAGCCAGGAAGCTTTCTACTTTGTTCAGGGGAGAGACAGATGCCAACTCCCTGTGGATTTTACTTCTCTACATACTCACATTGCCAACATTATGTCCCGGTCGCGAACGCGAACGCGATTCTCGAGTCCATAGCGTCTCAACTCATCCTGTTATAAAGCACGCATTCCATGGGTAATCAGGCCATGGCAAGTCCCGACCCGACTATTGCCAGTAAAACAGCTGCGGAGGCCGAGAGAGCTGTTATTTCTTCCTCAACAGATCGAGCATGGTACCATCAGCCTCATCTGGTGTACCTGAACTACATCATTATCTCCCTGGTTCTCTTTTCTTCGGCCAATGGGTACGATGGATCTCTCATGAATGGCCTGCAAGCCTTGGATCAGTGGAACCTCTTCATGGACTATCCGACCGGCGCCAAACTCGGATGGATCAATGCAATCAGTCTGCTAGGCTCGGGGGTGGCGTCCCCTGGTGCCGCCTGGGTCGCTAACCGGTTCGGACGCAAGCCCGGAATCTACGGGGGTTATATTTTTTTTGATACTCGGCTCGGTGCTGCAGACCGCCTCTCCGAACGCGACAGCCTTCTTGCTGGCCCGTCTATCCGTCGGCGTGGCATCTGCCCTTTTCGGGAACGCGGCACCCCTCCTGATCAATGAAATAGCGCATCCCAGCTACCGTGGCCTCGTGAACTCGCTGTTTATGACCGGATGGTATGTCGGGGGTAGCGTTTCTGGATGGGTTATATTTGCCGTCCGAACATATTCCTCCTCGTGGTCTTGGCGCCTTCCATCGCTGCTGCAGGCTCTTCTCCCAGTTGTTGCCTTGCCAGGGCTCCTCCTCGCTCCAGAGAGTCCTCGATGGCTCATATCGCAGGGTCGCGAGGACGAGGCGTACGCCATTCTGATGCGGTACCATGCAGCTGGCCGTCGCTCATCCTTGGTCGATGCCGAATTCCAGGAGATCCGCGCGACGATTCGAGCCGAGCAAGACGCTCACGGGGGCGCGAGTTACGCGGAGATGTTCAGTACACCAGGAAATCGTCATCGACTGATAATCTCCCTCAGCTTGGGGTTTTTCGCCCAGTGGGTCGGCAACGGTGTCATCTCATACTATCTCGCTCTTATCCTAGATACAGTCGGAGTGACCAGCGTCAGAGATCAGACACTCATATCGGCCTTCCTGCAGATGTGGAATCTCCTGTTTGCCGTTGTAGGTTCGCTGCTGATTGACCGATTCGGGCGACGTCCACTGTTCCTTTCATCAGCCATGATCATGCTCGTCAGTTATGTTCTCGTCACGGCGCTGTCGGGTTCTTTCGCAATGACTCGTCATGCAGCTACGGGGGGCGCGGTCATACCATTCCTCTTCATCTTTTTTGCTGGTTATGGCGTTGCTCTGTGAGTTCCCCTCTGGTCTTTTCTTCCCACCTGCTCATTCGATCCTAGAACTCCATTGCTCACGGCGTATCCGTGCGAAATCTGGTCTTTCCGTCTTCGATCCCGAGGTCTGGCCGTGACGTGGATGTCCACTGTCTGTGCCTCGTTTTTCAATATTTTCGTCAACCCAATCGCCCTGGAGGCTATTGCATGGAAGTATTACTTGATCTTTGTCGCGGTCCTGCTGCTGTTTGGTGTCACCGCGTATTTTCTGTACCCGGAAACCAAGGGCTACACGCTGGAACAAATCGCCGTTATCTTCGATGGACGGACGAACCCATTGGATGATATCGAAACAGAACCGAAATCACTTGATACCGCTGAGGATTCAAAGGGCGTTACGTTGGCGATACACCAAGAGACTACCTAGTTAGGTTACGGTCCTAGATATTTGAGATTTGTGTTCGCATCGCATATACCAATTGAAGATAACAATAATAATAATACGGCAAGTCTATAAGAAAACCAAAACATCCAGTGCTCACGCCATAGCCCCCTGAATCTGGAGCAGATGTTCAACAATAACATCAAAATCCTGGTGAACGCTATACGCATCTCTATCGCAGTACTCGACATAGCAGAAATAACCCTCCTCGTCCAGCCTGTAAAAACGTACCAGCGGGCCAATTGCAATAGCTGCGAAAAGACTTGCTGGAGGTTTTCCCTCAAAGAGACTGGACGCCTCAAGTAGATCGAGCTGAACTGCATCTTCCAAGGCCTTCCACATATCCGTGTCAGGGTCAGCAAATCCGATGCAATAGACCTTGAATAGTGGGAGGGTCTCAAATCGACCACTCAGATTAGTAACGGCAATCTGGGGAAATCTGTCTCGGTTGTCTTCGTTCGTCACGGTGAAAGACTTACCACCAATCGATACAGGGGGGAAGACAGGTTTGAGGATCAGATTCCACACTTCCCGAACGTGATCCTGGCTTGACTGTGGGCACAGATAGGATATCTGCTCCCATGCTCTTATCGTGTACCAGTCCTAGAATTATTAGTATTCTCCTTTTTTATGGTATTGCTGGATGGACTTACCATGCTCATGATTGAAACAGGTCGTGTATGAAAAGCTTTTCATATGGCAGTTGAGGAAGGCTGAAGAGGAGCTGGGTTTTAATAGAGAAATCCAGGAGTAGACGTGGTGGTAATTTATATACCTTCTCAGAGCAGGTCTACGATTTGAGCGACAGCATCTAAGACACTGAAATGTCTGAACCAAGAAAACTAGTGTAAAGAGCATTGTTCAATTCACGTTATTGATTTTCTTTGTTGATTGTAGGTGGCATTTGTTTCGAGTAGGGCATGTGCAAAAGATCACAAAGAGATGCGCGACACATCATAAGACAATAACATTGAACAAGAGAATGTTTTGGAAGTTCAAGTGGTCTTGCCAAATTATTTGGTTCCACTTCTTTCAAGAATCTGTCTTCTAACAATGAGCCGACATAATCCACCGCATAGGAAGTACACTAGAAATATAAAATATTCGTGACTGTATGGACTAAAATAACTTCAGTATCAACCAACTCCACAACTGGTGCCATCGTACGTCGTACAGTCGAGATCATGACCACAATCAAAGATAAATAATAAAGGCAATGGAGCAGTAAATCAGGACCAAAATCTTTCATGAGACCATTTAACAGGTTTCCTTTATACAAAATGCCGCAACACTACATGGAACAAAGCACACCAAGTCAATTTTGGCACGAATCTTCAACAGCCCTTCAAGAATGGCATCGTAATCATGGTGGATATTCCAGGACCCCTCCTCGTCATCAAAGCCAAATCCCAGAACTCGCCCTTTTTGTTCACACCGCAGAAGCGTACCAACGGGCCTGCAGCAATGGCCGCGTATAGATTCGGCTTGCACCGCTTGATGAGTGACACGATTCCAACCAGCTCAAATTTCACCGCATCTTTCAAAGCTCGCCAGTGAGTCCTAGAATATGGTAAGACGCTTTCCCCGGCCGCAGCGGGCAGCGACTGGCAGTAGAAATAGAATACGGGCAAATATGAATGCTCACCTCGAGGATTGACAATGCCAATGTGTGGGGATTCGCTCTCGTAGTCGAAGTACTTGTGAACAAAACCTCCACCGGGGCGATCGTCACTTTTCTCGGGAAAGTGGTATTCGAGAATTTGCTTCCAAGCGTCACGAACCTCCTCTTTGGGAGATCCCAGCCTGAGACCGGAGATCTTCTTCCAGAGCTCTTCGCTGTAGTCCTCCTGATACATGTTAGCAAATTTCACGATCCCAATTTGGGCAAACGTACCATCTTTAAATGACGGAAGGCTGTAATGGGACAGTGATATGTCTGGGTGAGGAAGGTTTGAATGATGTGAAAAGCAATATTCAGAGCGACAAGGATGAGATATATCTACCCTACCCAACAAGGAGAAACGTGCTCACTAGATGGTAGCGTCGCGCATATGAGTTGTCTAAGACACCCACAAGGCCGAGACTCAACGGCTATCCTAGCATATAAGGGCGCAACAGTCGGCAAACATACAAGGAAAAATTTTGAGACTATGTCAGACAGAGCTGATTCTGCTATACCAGTGGCATGCCGATATATGACAAGGTGTCCAGCAGCTAGCTTCCTTGCACGGCTCACTTTAATTGGCATAATTTCGCTATAGTTAAACTCATACTTAGGCTCTACACATACTCCCATAGGGAAGATTGCGTGGTGACAGCGGTAATAACTGTGCAAATACTGTTGGTCGTGATTAGGAGTTGTCTCCTATAGCGAACAGGGACGACGATAGGCGACAATTCTATAATAGATTATAAAAGCAGTAATACCCTGTTTCACGACCAATAGGATTGGCCACCCGGGAAATGGCAATTCTAGAAGAAAAGTCCTTCTAGGTCTAAACCGAGCCGAATCCACCAGCGCAGTTCCATCCATTTGCTGGGCATGCCACCTCCACACTCAGAAAACTTTCAGAAGTTTCTTCTCGGTATAGAGCCACCTCGATACCAGAACAATCACCGACCCAGCGAGGCACATGATGCCCCCAAAAATCTTCACGTCCAGCCAACCGTTGGCCGAGTTCTGCAGAATGGCTCCCCCGATGGGCGCCATGGTGAGAGCGGGGATAGAGATGGCGAGGAAGACTACGCCCAGCCGGTAGCCCATCTCCGGCGGCGGCGACACCGAGATGGGAAGCGCGCCAGAAAGCCCGATAAAGGCTCCGGACGCAAAGCCGAACATGATGGCGAAGCCGATGGCGATGGACGAGTGCTTGGCGGGGATCCAGACGGCAAACTCGGAGGTTCCGGAAACAGTACAGGCGATAATGAACATATTCCATCTTCCGATTCGATCGGCGCCATAACCGGCAACCAGGCGGCCAAAGAGACTTAGATAACCGTCAGCGTCGCCGACATCTTAAAGAGGGGGGGAAACTACCTTGCGGCGTTGAAGATGGACACCAAGTATTGAGCCATCTCCTCCGACATGTGCGCCTCCTGAAACCCCTGCACAGCGAGATAGTCTATGGGGATAAATATGCCATAGGTCAGGACGAAGATGCCCAGCAGCAACAGGACAAACGGGAACTCTGTAAAGGGTGCAGTGAAACGGCCGGTGGGCATCTTCTTGGGCACAGGCTTGGTTCTCGGGCGGACAGTGAGAATTGCAACAATCTGCAGACCAAGGATGAGAAAGGCCGCTGTCCTCAGGGCCCAGGGATACCCAGTGCTCTGGATCATGCGACTGATCATGATGGGGAAGATGACACCGCCGACTGATGAGCCTGTCACCATGATGCCCATCGCTGCTCCACGTTTCTTGGAAAACCAGGTTGAGACGCAGGTAAGCGCTTCTCAACAGTCAGCATGGCTGGCACCCTTCTCAGGGAGTAGGGTAAACTTGCCAGGCGAATATAAGCATGCAACGCCGATGGCACTACACACTCCCTGGGACAAGATGAACTGATAGTAAGTCTTGGCCAACGACGCCATCATCAGCCCAAAGACGTGAAGAAGCGTCCCGCCAATAATGAGCGGCCTCGGTCCGTAGTTGTCAAATATTATGCCGACGACAGGCCCCAAGGCGAACAGGAAGAACAGCTGGAGTGACGGAATCCAGGCAATGGTGCTGCTGGAGTAGGATTTCAGCGGTCCCGCCTCGTAATACTGCTGGAAGCTGCCAACGCCTGTAAAGGAGCATACTGTTAGTCCGTCGTCGCCCTAGGAAGGTAATGACAAAAGGGAAATACGTACTGTTGATCCAGCCCGGGCTGGAGAAGGAGCAGCACCACGCTCCCAGGACAACCAACCATGCAGCGACACCGCCATCCCGGGGGCCATCGTCTTCTAATTTTACGGTATGACTGGGACCACCTGGTTTGTCACGGGGAATCGGCTCTCTGGCATTTTCGGGGTCAGTCATTACGTCGTGCATAGAAGTGGTATTCTCCGTGGTTTCCGTCCTAGCCATGGTTAGACACAACTGCAAAAAATCAATCAACTAAATCAAGTAGCAGAAACACTAAATAGTTACAACTCTGGGATCAATCTTATACATGTAGATGCTGGGGGCGGCGGATATTATGGCGGACTTGCGGAGGATCAAGCAACACATGATTGGTGCTTTGCAGCGGACAACATTAATAATGCTCCGCCTTAGAGACTAGATATGGTTTATGTCGGAGGATCTCCCTCCCTCTCTCTGACCTGCAGCCTTCACATCCGCACGATGGGTCCCCCAAACGGATCTACAGTCATTCTCCGCCCTCATCCAGGCCGCCGACGCGACAAGCGGCAGCTTTCTTGCAATTCTTGCCGCCAGCGAAAGTGCGTTTCCCATCCTCCGCAATAAATAGACCTGACACAGTGAGTAGGCGAAAGTGTGACCGCCACAGGCCTTGTTCTTATTGTATTGTAAGCCGCACGACTGGGCGAATAAAGGATGGGGAAGCTTACATCGTACAATGTCGATTAGAAACGCCATCTCGAGCAGACGTGTACTTACGCTGACTCACGAGGGCCGTCCTCTCCGTGCGGACAACTGCACCTCAAAGATAGCAGCGCATCTGCCAGCGGGCTAGGCGGGTTGGCAACGCCGAACAGCTCGGCTTCCGTTCCATCGCCAGAGTCTGCTGATTTGGAATTAACCAAGTCTGGAACTGGCTTTAAAGATTTGACCCACTGGACGTCCGTTCTGAGCGGCGTGACAGCGGCAAAGGAAGGCCCCATCCCATCAGAGACAGCATTCGACGATGATTCATCACCACTTGAGCAGAATGTCCTCCTCTTCGAGGGTTGCAAACATGCCACTGACCAAGAATTCCTGGATGCGATGCCATCCAGGAGAGAATCCGACGCCTTGGTCGCACTCTATTTTCGGGCTCAGGAATACCGATGTAGGTGTGCAAAGGACGTGAGAGACACATGGCTGCTGACGCTGGATCTGAACAGCTGTACTACACCCGACTGAGTTCTTGAAGAGAGTAAGTCCCGTCACATACCATTAGAAAAGACTAACCACCAACTCGTTGATCAAGTATAACGCATTCTGGGAAAATCCTAGCGCTACATCTGTCTCCTGGCTCGGCCTCTTGTACAGTATCTACTGCCTCACCAGCCAAGTTCAGAGCCTCTCGAGGGCCCGGGACGACGCGTTGTCCGTCTGCTCACCTACAATCTTGTATAAGATACTGGGCTACCGAGAAAGGGTCGTCCAGTGCCTCGTCCGAGCCCAGTTCGCCAAGGGAGGTCCTGACATTATGGAAACTTTGGTTCACTACCTCTTGATTGAGAGCTACCTAAACAGGGACTCCAATGTTGGAGTTTGGCTCTTGATGGGCAACATTGTCCAGATAGGTACGTCGTCACGCTCGTCGGTGCCATCACTAAGGAAGCTGCTAAAGCTTGGACAGCGATCCGCATGGGCTACCATCGAGACCCACAGCACTTCAAGTCCCTATCCCCCTACCAGGGCGAGATGAGGCGCCGGATGTGGGCCATGATCTACTCCCTCGACATCGGCTTCTCCATGCAGATGGGCCTTCCGAGCAGCATCAAGCACTCGCTCAGCGACACCATGCCGCCTCGAAACCTACAGGACCGCGACTTTGACGGCAATTCGACTGACCTGCCTCACGAGAGGCCGATCGACGAACTGACATCGAGTACTGTAATCCTCGCCAAGCTTCATGTCGCCACCAGCATCAGCGATGTATTAGACCTGGTCTGTAGTCCTCACCCGATCTCATATGAGAACCTCGTCGCGGCAAATGCAAAACTAGACTTGACGTATGCGACCATTCCCGATCCTTGCAAGTTCCGACCCATGTGTGAATCTCTGTTGGACCCTCCAAGCGTCATATTTCAGGTCAGTGCCTGGGTTACCTCGGAACCACAGTCGAATCAATCATCTACACTACTGAAACCCTTAGCTATATACACAGCCCCAGAGAGTAGACGGAGCTGCTAACTTGCCCTTCCTCTACAGCGGATGAACTTTTACATGCATTACCAAAGAGCCCGGATCCTCGTCAACTGGAAGTTTCTCGGTACCTCAAGGGATACAACTGCCAGTAGCCAGTGCTGGAGTATCGTGATTGAGGCGGCCTTGGAGATCATGCGGCTGCAGCACCGCATGGCGGACGAGTCCGATGTCCTGGACGCGTCCCGCCCTACTGGTATGGTCGACTCGTGCTTCATAAATAATGGGTACTTTTTAGCTGCAAGTATCGTGTGCTTTCTCGTGCAGCATCGCAAGGACAGGCTGTCGGCCCAGGATCTGTTGGAAGTGCGAAGCCTGCTGGACAAGAGCCTGGCCATCTGGAGCCGCACCAACCACTTGTCGAGAGAAGCAAGCAAAGTAGTCACGGCTCTCAGGGTCGTACTCGGACAATCCGAGGAGCCCAGTACACATTTTACAACCGAAGCGACGGCATCGCCTCAAGCGGGCGCGGGTGAGATGGCGTTTTCTAGTTGCGCCTCTTTCTTTGATGACCTGCCTTTGATTATGAGCGACGTCGATTCTGCCGCGTTTCCCACGCTGCCCTCGATTCCCATGATAGAGAACTGGCCGCAGGTAGACAGGGGCATTTAGAGCTCAGCCCAAGCCGAACACTTGGAGTTCTTTGATGATGAAGACCTTTTGAGCGGTAGCTACAAGCTGAGCAGCACTTGGAGGGGTAATTATTCGAGTGCAGATCTCATCAGCGCTAAACATTATACAAAAGCTTTTGATGGAATAATCGCAAGCATCATCTCATGTGAGATTATTAATCTTGTGTCATGAAACAAAGTGTAAAGGGGCTGAAATGGCTGAAATTCAGGGGCGGCGACAATCCACCCCAGTCAGCCATACTCGTGAGGCAGGCCTTACTGCACCCTATAAATAATTTGACAGTTCAAATGCCGGAGCTGCCAAACCCAATCTAGAACCAAGCTCCTATACCGGTGTTTCATCTTTATCATCGGGATGTAACGCAATTGCCGCTCGGCAGAGAATCTGAAACAAAACATTAATAACCAGTCAGGAACATGGCAGGTGCACCCCGGATACATGGCACGGCCACATCCAGAGTTACTGTGAGGCATTCATAGTCGTATCCTCTTATTTTCTGTATAAATACAAGTACTCCCCCACTTGAGATCATTTCCTTCCAACAATAACCACGCTCTCCATTCCTACTTTCTCCCAAGACTCCTGCTCATTCATCATGTTGCGCCCCGTGGCATTCCTAGCATTGAGTGCTGTTGCTCAAGCACATACAGTTGCTTGGGTCAAAGGCATGTACTGCCTGGGAGGTCCTGACCCCTCGACAGACAACGCAAACACAAACACTGCCGTGAATCCCCTGTACAATCTCAAGAAGGAAGACTGGTGGTTCCAACACGATCGCGGCTGTGACGCAGTACCTCCAGCGGACGGCGACATTCTGGAACTCCCAGCTGGCGGAAAGTTCACGGTGGAGCTTGCACACAACCGCGCGCAGACCACGCTTTCATACGATGGAAAGTATACCTCAGAATGGCCGGACGGAAAAGAGCACCCCGAAAACTGGGCTGGTCCTGGCAACCCGCCTGACTGCATCCAGGACGATGGAGCACTGCATACCAACAACCAATCCATGGCTGCTGGCACTGCGTTTGCCATCAGCTATCAGTCTGACCTCTCGGCGGTAACCATGGAGAACCTGGCTGTGTTTACAGTTTTGGAGCAGTAAGTTAGGGTCTATACACTACTGCTGCTTGGGTTGCTAACCCGTGTACAGCACCCCGTGGAAGCGGATCGCTACCTATGAAGTACCCAAGGATCTTCCTGCCTGTCCTCCTGGTGGATGCACCTGTGCTTGGCTCTGGGTAGGTATATGAAGATTCTGCCAGGCTTTGCAAAACTGACACCAAATAGGTCCCGAACGGCTGTGGACAGCCCAACATGTAAGTGCCATAGTCTTGTTCCAGTCCGTTGACTGACACGAGGACCAGGTACATGGCTGGTTATAAATGCAACGTCACTGGGTCTACCTCCTCTAAAAGGGTCGCCCCTGCTCAAGTTCCTGTTTATTGTGCGGATGATGCCAGCAAGTGCGTCAAGGGTGCAAAGCAAATGATTGTCTTCAACCGTAAGCCAGCCATTCTGCTGAACGGTATACCCAGAATTAATATGAAATCATAGAACAAACCGGGAACAACGTTCAAGTCCCCAATGGCAAGACACCGATGTATAACACGGCGTGGGGTTGGAAAAACGGTATGTTTTCCTCTACTACCGCCTTATATGAGAACTAGTTTGCTAATGAAAAACGCTCGCAAGGTGCGCAAAATGACATTTTTGTTTGAACAAGGCCTGGGTTCGGGCAAGAAGTGATTAACGGAGCAGATGGGATGTAGATTTGAGAGGACACAGAGGGGAAAATATGTACTATACGCATGCCGGGGACGAGTGCTACTGCTTTTCTTTACGAATGCTGGGCTTTTGTGTAAAGGCAGAGTTAGCCAAACTCCGACAACCACCCACAAATTTACTCGATTATGTGAATGAGTATTACTTAAATTCAGTAAGAGCACTCATGTACTGAAGACTGTAGCTCGAGTTAGGCCCATCTTCTCCATCACGTAGTTCAGGTTGCCCTCTGAGACTCGAGTCTGGGGGTGATCAGGGCCCAGCGTCCTCTGATTCCATTCGTACGCCGATTGTAATAGAGGCACAGCATCAGAAAAGCGCCCCGCTCCGGCGTATGCCGTGGCGAGATTGTTCATCACCGGCACCGTGTCCGAACTATTCTCGCCAAAGCTCCGCCGCGAAAGCTCCAAGGCCTGCTCCAGTAGAGCCAATGCTTTGTCCCGGCCGTCTGCCGTGTCTAACCTCTGGTATGTTGTTGCCAGGTTAGTGGAGCATCGAATAGTGGTTGCGTGGGCTTCCCCCAGATTGGCCTCGGCGAGTTCGAGGGCTTCGACCTGATAATGAAGGGCTCTATCGAGCTGGCCGAGCTCGCGGTAATCCACCCCAAGCAGATCCATTGTCATGATTGTCTCGAAATGCTCCTTGCCAAGAGTCTGGGTCCGCAGCTCAAGGGCTCTTTCATGCAGCCTGGCAGCGTCTTGCAGGCGTCCATGTCGGTGGAAACTGTTAGCCAAGTTGTTCATGCTGGTCTGAGTCTCCCGGGAGCTTTCCCCATTAATCTTCAAAAATGTCTCTAATGCTTGCTCTTCTAGATCCAATGCCTCGTCAAATCGGCCGACACCTTTCAGGTCCAGCGCGAGGTTGTTCAGCGATTTGGCCGTCTCGATATCGTCAGGCCCGGAGACTTGGAGTCGAACGGCATACACTTGATGATCCCTCCGCTCTGCCTCCTGATACTCACCTAGCTGGCGCAGGGTGTACGCCAGATTGGTCTTCATAAATAGTGTCTCCTCGTGATCGAGACCTTGAGATTCCTCGAGCAGTTGGACAACATGGTTCAGTTTGTCTCGAGCTTCCTGCCACATATTCTCGTCCATCAACCTGCTGCACTCTTCCATCAAACTGTGTACTGGCGACTTTGCCTTCTTGCTCTTGAGCTTGAAAAATCTCATAGTTGCGTATTCGGCGATCTTGGTGCCCGCGTGCTCTGCGAACTTTCCGAGGTATTGTCGAAATGGGGTACTCCTAATCTACTTTTAACGGAAGTCCGCGGGGGTCAGGGGTATTTATGAAAATCGAACACCAGATCGACAAGGAGACAAATTTTTCCCTAAAGTTTGGTCAGTGCTCGTATCGATGCTTGGCAGGTTTCATCACAGGTGATAGGATCGTGCCTCGTATTTTTAGTCTCTTGGCAGAAGGCTCCCCATTCCTTCTTGAAGATGTGGATCCTGCGCAGCCCACTGGTCAGGCAGCCCGTACACAGGTGAGCCGGGGCTATCTGGCTGCCTAAGTTTATTACTGAGCTGGAGCCTAGAGCGTTCGGAATTCTGGATTCTTGTTTTGCGCTTTAGCCCTGTCGACAAATGAGGCTCGAGCGTCTACCATAGCCTGCTGCTTAGGTGACTTGAGTGTGAGATTCATTGATAATATTGGTCAAGGAGCGAGGAGACAGCCCTAGAAACCAAGCTAGAATCCGAACGACTCAAAAAGGATTATATATAAAAAATACAATCCGTCTGCACCATGTTTGTTACATTCAGTAGACTTGAAGACCACTTAAAACCTCCTCCGGGCACATGAACTGAAATGATCTTCGAATGTACTAGACAGATGGGAATCGACATCACGGTTCAACCTCGTACCAGGTCTTCGCTAGCGAGGCACAAATAGTCAAGGAATGTATAACTTCGCAGTGTATGCCCTCTGTCATGATGCTTGTAGCGTCATGATTGTAGTGTCATGAGCTTTCAATACAGTAAACCGTGTCTATGGCTGCAGCACCAAGTCTGTCCCGACACACCTATTGCACACAAACAGCTGGGTTGGATCCACCCGTTTCTTGATAGAGAGCAGTCGCTCATACTTATTTCCCCAGAACACTCTTTGCCATTTAGGCTCGTACCTAGAGATTCATGTCAGATGAATTTCCCCTGCAACTCTTTCAAAAAGGGGGGTAACAAAAGAGGCAAGGACTACTCACGGACTGGCTTCATTCACATATGTTCCCCCGTCTGGCCCAACGATCTCGGTAAAGCGCTTGCTCAACTGTACCATCTTGTGTCGCTTCTCTCCCTTCTCGCGGGCTGTTGCATTATCCGGCCAATCTACCGAGATGCTCAAAAGCGCGTGGCTATGTTTCCAGATTTCATGGACGGCAGTGTTGTCGCGTTCCTTGTCATTGACTTTACCAACTGCAAGAGAGTGGCGAATCAGTATGGGGAAAGCAGCTGCTACAAATAAAATCTCCCTTACTGAAATTGAATCCCGCCGTTTGACCATTGTCGACAATGAACTCTGCCAAATCGTCCGCTTTTTCCCGGATTATGTCTGCTGTCAATAGTCGTGACGTGTCCTGAGTGTTGGTCCCGATATGGGGGTCTTGCAGGAAGGTTTTCAGATATCCATCCCAGGTGGACGAATAGGCTCCAACCGCTCCCTTGACACCGGGAAGCTGTGTTAAACTAGAGAAGGAAGCGAAAGTCTGGTTAAAAGATTCTATGGTGCCGTTGGGTTGAAGAAAGACCGCTTGGAAGCCCTGCGTAAACGAGGCATATCCGGTATACCCTGCGTCTGTGACAGCTGGGAGGAGTTTCAGGGATTCGGAAACGAGCCGCGTGGAGCTGGAGTTGTTGGTTGCGTTGAACTGGACGAATCCGATGGTGAGGTTCTGCGGGACAGGATGCGTTTTGTAGGTCACGGACGTAACAACCTGAATATAACACGAGTCAGCGCCAAATCCTGGTTATTAGCATAAATTCACATACCCCCCAGGCACTTCCACCGCCGCCACGAACGGCCCAGAAGTACTCGGGATCTGAATACGCATTGATCACCCGGTGTCGTCCATCCGCAGAAACAATGCTCATTTCCAAAAGATCTGTGGTCCTATTAGTCAGTCCTTCACTGGCAAAACGAGGCTTCGGTCACTGACTATCAGCAGCGAGGCCATAGTAATGTGCAAATGGCGAATGACCTCCTCCAAGGACAAATCCTCCGGCGGCCCCGACGGTGCGCGCAGATCCGCCGACTATCAATACTCCCTGTCTTGCTGCAGCTTGGTACACGTCTACATGCCTCCCGTCAGTATCCCACTCTGTACCTGAGAATCAGTAGAATCATTTCACCTACCGAACCATTGCTCTCCAGCCTGCAATGTTGCAGCAGGTATACCATTGACAGCCGCCGGTGCCCCCTGTGGGACAAACGACTCGTGCCAGTCGATGCCCTTCAGATTGTGAGTCCATATTGCAAGAGCTCCTTTACCGCTTGATCGACCGAGGCTGTGTCAACTTTGTTAGTCGTGTACCACATTGATAGTCAAGGTTGTATGCTTCACTGGTCATGTCCTGTGTTCTTGATTACAAGAAATAGATCCTTCTCGCTAGCAAATTTCACAGTCTTCTGGATGTCTTCCACACTTTCTGCCCGTACAGCATAGTACGGCACTAATTAGAGCATCACATCATTAGCGACTGAGAATCGTAGAAAGTGCCTGAGCTCTCCTCCAAGTATTACCTATCCCTTGGTCGCATGGAGCGTTGACAGGCGTATCAATAAAGCACTGCCCGGTATTTCCCATCTCCCATACTGTCGCGGAATACGCTCCTGTTTGGTTCGTTCGCCAGAGGCTATCTAGCCAACTCTGCCTTGCTATGTTGCATTGGTCGGCATTGTACCTTGCGGTGTGGCACACGGCAGCAGATGGAAAGGAGCGAATCAGTCGCCCACCAACAGTGGAGTTAAAGTCGCTCCAAGCCTGATCATCTGGCCAGCAGCTATCACCATAAGTACATCGACGCCGGGGATGGGCTTGTGCATTCACTGAGGTGGTGAGGATCGCCACAGCCACGAGAGTGGTTCTAGCGTGGAAGATCATGGGTGCTCACAATTTCGATGATAATTTAGAAAACTCGAATGAAGGGGCATATGATTGAAAATGATAGAAGTTGTAGTGTTGTTATTGATGATTAGGACTCTTTAATCCAGGACCTTACAGTAATATTTATATTTCAATGGGGAGTGCTGCAAAATGGGCGAGTACGAGAGTTGCCAAATTAGGCAATAGTTGTATGATATGGTAGAAAATGCGAAATGCGAAATGCGAATACGATCACCAGAGCAAGTCCATAATCCTGGCTGCTCCACACTATGTCGATCCACATGGTCAGCTACTATGTTAACGTCAGTCCCACTGTTGAATGCTGGGAAGTACCGAGGGTGATCCCCTGGAGCAGGCAGATAGATTCCATCATATGGACAGCGGAAAGTGAATCCAGACAGAAATCCAGTATGCAGAGGTAAAATATGATAGGCTGTGGGTTCGGTACTTTAGAATGAATGAGTCATGTCACGTGCAGTATGATTAGGCTTTTTCGCACATGGCAACACCCACCACGAGAACCTTGGCTGCATTCTACGCTGATCCAACCAGTATATCCAACATACCTATAATCATATTCTGAAATGCCTAGTCTTCCAACACTAGTCTTCATACCTGGCTCCTGGCATAAACCCACATGCTATGACAAGGTGACCACAATCCTTCATGAGCAGCATGGATTAGTGTGTCTCAACTACCCTCCCATCAACGACGGGAAACCCAGTGCGACCTTCAAAGATGATATTGATGCTGCCCGCGAAGCTATATCCAGCTTGACAAACCAGGGGCGCAATGTGGTTGTCGTCACTTGGACTCCCTTAAATTTGTCAGTGATTACTGCTTGGAAAAGGATATATATAGCTTGCGAGACAGACGCTTTTCATGGCTGAGGGGCTCAGGAGTAGCATGATCAGGAGGGCAAATGCTGAAGACCACTCGCTTGAGTTCTATATGTTCTGCAAGACAAATACGCACTAGACAATCCAGATTTGAAGATATTCCATTTGCAAGCCAAATTGTTGAATTTCAAGCAGTAATGTTCTGGAGCTTTAACGTTCAATAAAGGGAGAAATCCCATGCAAGTGGGAGCAGTATATTGAATGTCATCAGTGACATCCTTATGTCTTCGCCTGCTGGTCTCATTTCGCACCCCCTCTCACTCCTCCATCCGCATCGACATGTACACCTCGCAGGATATATCCGTCCTTCTGGGCCTGCTCCCACGACTGCTGGATAAGCCGGGACCGCGCAGGATTTCTTTCCAGGATGGATGGTGTACTGCTTTGGCACGCGGATGGCAGCTTCCATAAATCCCTCGTCGTTGATATCTAGGGGGATCTTGTTGCCCTTCTCGTCCAGGGCAACTTGAACTCGTAGGCCCAGATGACGTTGGACACGGCCAAAATCAGCCCGTTCTTCGCCAGATGGATACCTGGACAGACGCGACGGCCGGCGCCAAAGGTGAAGTAGTCGCGGGGCATGATGTCACCCCGAAGCGTTCCGGGTCCCAATGCAGTGCGTTCAGGTTCGCGAGCAGGATCGTTCCCTTGGGGATGACGAAATCCCGGTACTTGACGTCGCCATCAGCCATCCGACGAGGCCCCGTCGTGGCCACTGGACACAGCCGCAGCATCTCCTAGATCACTGCCTTGATTTAGAGCATTTATGGCTCATCAGCTAGAGTGACCATCCGCTCATCCCAAGGATCCGTATGACCTCCTCGTGGGCTCGGGCTTGTGCTTCCGGGAACATGCCTAAGTACCGGATCAGGCCATTGAGCGCGCTGGCCGTGGTCTCTGATCCGGCTTCCGGCACCGCGCTTGCTAGCCAGGAAACCGTCTCCTCTTTGAGTCTGCACTCCCGGTAGTTTGACTCCACGGGGTCCCTGGCGAAGCACTGTATGGTAATCGGTATTCGTATTGGTATCAATATGATACGGTTTGTACCGCGACAGTACAGATGATAATTACCATACAAGATCCATAGCGTACGCACTAATTTCTACCTCGCATTGCTCGGACTTCGATCGCCCTCCCAATCTGGCATTTTGCCCGGTTATTTTCCCTCGCATCCTTGTTTAGGCTGGATGCGCAAAATCACGCCTTGATTTGCGTACGATCGTGTCGCCAAACTGCCATCATGGGCACCAGCAGAAACGCTGCTCCCACAGCCATCCCTGCTCCACTGAAGATTTGCAGTGCCAGAAAACCATTGTCTCCTCCGTGACCCTCGAGGACACCCGCGATAGGCGCTCCAATTAACACGCCGAGACTGGTTGCAAACCACTGCATGCCCATGCGCGTCCCAATTACTGAAGGAGTGGGCGAGACTACCGGGTGGGCGATGACCAGTGGATTAGCGGAGATGAGCACGCCAGAGAAAATACCAAAGAGCACGCAGAAGACGACAAACGAGGCAACTGAGTGGATGCCAATCCAGCCAAAGAGGAGCGTCGCGGATGCTATCACGCTGGCCAGGAGGATGTGACTGGCGCCGACTCGGTAGGTCAGTAGGGAGGACCCGATGCGGCCGAAAGCGGAACCGGCGTTGAGGACGGAGACCAGGTAGAAACTGAGGTCGGTGGAAGTGTGGAGCGCGGTAGAGGCAAAGGCAGGGACGTAGAAGAGTGGAATGAAGTAGGCCATGAACATGAGGAAGTTGGCGATCCCGTAAGCGTTGAAGCTCCATCCCTTCATGGCATGCCAGTGGATGAGTTGCCGGGGAGGACCGCGTCGGGTCTTGGTGGTAACCATCAACAGCGGGACTGCGATGCACGAGCAGACCAGCTGAATAAAGCCCAAGGTCCGTACGGTCCAGGGAAACCCGATACGTGGTTGGAGACGGATGAAGATGATAGGAAAGAGGACTCCGCCTTGGGTGGATGGATTCTCAATCAGCTCACTGGTCCAGCTGATGGGCTTAATTAGTCAAACATACCCACGCTGGCTCCTGAGGTGACCAGGCCAACTGCAATGCCCCGGCGCGTTGTGAAGCGCGTTGAGACCAACGACAAGGCAGGGACGTAGATCAAGCCACTACCAAGGCCACAGCAGAGTCCTTGGGAGAGAAACACTTGGTAATACTGAGTGGACAGACTCAGCATCATGAGCCCGAAGGTGGTCAGGAAACAGCCGGCGATCATCAGATGGTGAAGGTATCCCCGGTCGAAAAGGGGACCGGCGATGACACCAGTGGAGATAAGGAAAAAGGCATTGACAGTGCCCACCCAGGCGATGCGCGAGGGTGAGTTGGTGTGCAGCAGATCGGATTGATAGTAGCTCTGGAAGGAACCGAAAGCGGTGGAAAATCCCCAGGTGGTGAAGAAAAGAAGAAATGAGGCAAAGACGCCTGACCAGGCCGCCAATCCACCGTTGGGGGGAGCTGGAGCTGGTGCTGGAGGTTCCTCGGACTGAAGCTGCTCGGGCTGCTTCGTCTCCATGGCGAGTAGGTGTGGGGCAATAGAATAACACAGAAAATGAACGTGAAAGCAAAGATAAGACGGGCAGTATTGGGGGGCAGAAAAACTGGTTGATATGCAGGTCGGAAAGGAGATGAAGGGAATGACATATAATAGAGGAAGGGAAGCCCTTTTTGTGCCATTTTCATTTTTATCCATATCTGCTGAAAGAAATCACAGAAAAAGCAAAACAAAGGCAAAAGAACGTCTGATTTGTCATTGCGCAGCATGTAAGCACCCTTGTCAATACTGCCCTTTGTTAATGCACAACCAATACTTTCGAAAATACCGAGGTCGAACGCTAAGTAGGTCTCTAATTCCACATTTCACTCGCATAGCCACACGCACCTGCCTCTTAAACCCCGACAAAGCCCTGCCTGATCATCTGGTCATCGTCTGTACCTGGCTGGGGGCCTCTGCCAAGCATATCACCAAATACACGGACTTGCATCGCTCCACCGCCTCTCACGCCCGGATCCTGTTGATTGAATCCGAGGTCTCGATCCTAGTGAGCAGCTATGCCCGCCAGCATCGACTGATCCAGCCCGCCGTGGACGTTGTACTTGAAACCCTGGCACAGCGTACAGAAATCTATGCGCCGCGGATCCTGTTGCATACCTTCTCTGATGGAGGAACTAACACCGCGACGCAGTTATTAATTACGCTCCGGGACACTGTCTCCCACCCGTTGCCGTTGGTTGGGCTGGACAGTATGCCGCCAGCGAAGGGAACGTAATGGAAATCCTATAATGCGATGGTATTTTCTCTTCCTCCATCATCTCGCCTTATGGGCTCCGTTGCGGTTCACTTTCTCTTGATTCTGCTCTACACTTGGATTGCATGCGGAAACGAGAATCCAGTGAGTCACATGCGCCGCACCCTCCTGGACGAGGAGACAGTAGGTCCAGCGCCCTAACAAGATGACCCTGACGCAACAGGATACGTGTGCTACATGTACTCGAAGGAGGGTTGTATGACCGACTGGCGGGATATCTAGGACCATGCCCAGGAAGCCAAAGAGAAGGGTTGGAAGGTGGATGAGGTACTGTTTAAGGGTACCAGTCACTGCGCGCACATGCCAGACGATCCCGCACGGTATGCGGAAGCAGCTGATAAAGCAGGGAATGTCGCTGTGTGCAAGGTTTAGTCCAAGCTGTAGTTGATTTGCAGTATACAAGTTATATTGGGTCTTGTTCAGGGAGAATTTCTACAAACGCAAGTCTGCTCTCTCGATACATGGATATGCATCGCGAAACCTTCAAATCTTCTTGTTTGACTAGTCGAAGGCTACTACGTATTGACCGTACTGCAGATATTCAAGTTGAATGAGCAATTACTATTCGCAAGTGTATATCACGTTTCTCAATATATATATATAGAGAGAGAGGCTCTTGCGTCGTATATACGCATAGCAGGTCCATGAACCATCAACGTCGTCTTCCAGGGACTACATCTATACACACAAATAGTATGGAATCTTCTGAGGATCAAGCGAGCCCAATATTGGGCTGACTTAGGTGTTCGGAGACTGAAGGCTCATGATGTGTTGTCACCTGTCGGACCCCAGACAACGTGGAGATGAGGCTCCACAGCTGGCTTTAACTGTTGGCCTCGGGCTGTTCTGGGGATGACCAATCGTCATTCAACGGAGAATCTCTACTTTAGTTCTGTCGTTCTTCTTATATGTACTGGTTCTGCAACGGCTCTGATACATAGCACATTTGGCCAAGACAGGTAAGTATCTATAGCCTCCCTTTGGACGATTCTAGCGGAACCCGGCGAGTATGCCTGTAATGCCATGAAGGGTCGGTCAGGTCGGAGCGGATCGCGTAGTTTTCTTCTGCATCCTCCAGAACCGCCAAATCAAGCGTCGCCACGGCCATTCCTTCGGCGGAAGTACCTAAACGAACCAGAGGACCCGCATACGGAATATTGATCTGCGAGAGTCCGCAATAGTTTCTCCCTGGAGGCCCGCCTGCATTGGCAAAGACGACAGCGCAGGTATTCTCAAACGTTCGCGCAGTCAGAAGGCTGTCGAGGAACAAGGAGGGCGCAGAAGGATTCTGCTGACGGCCTGCCTCAGACGCACCACTGCGAGTCCACAGAGTGGGCACAATGATGATCTTCGCTCCCTGGGACACCAGTTCTCTCCAGGCTTCGGGGAAGGCTAGGTCCCAGCACACCAGCAAGCCTACAGGACCTACCGGGGTCGAGATGACTCGGTGTGGACTGTCCCCGGACGATCGAAGGTACGCTCGTTCGGTGGGCCCCCAGAGATTCTTTTTCACGTAGGAGCCTAGAATCTCACCCGAGTTGGAGATGAAAAAGGTTACATTTTCTAGGCTCGGTGTTGGCTTGTCGGTGCCAGTGGCCCCTGCTGCAGCTGTGGAGGAGGCAGATGCAGGTCGAACTATGGATCCAGGAACGATACATATGTTACACTCTTTTGCGAGGGCCTGATAACGATGCAGATAGGTCTCCCAGTCATCGCACAGGGAAGCAAAACGAGGATCGGTGGGGATCCAGTTGGTCAGATGGAATTCAGGCAGTACAGCCAATTGACAGGCCTGCGCAGCAGCCTCACGGATAAATTTCACAGCCCGGGCGAAGTTGTCGGCAGGTTTGAGGGGCTAGAAGAAGAGTGTATTAGGAAGATGTACTCCATCCGAGATTTAACGCAGAATGTGGGTACTTCTTTCTTTCTGGGTTTGATGAAACCGGTTTAGGAAGATGCACAGAATATACACTTACCTTGACATAGAGCTGGATGACGGCAATCTTGCAGAATGGTGGCATGACGATCGATACAACGATGGTGGAGTTGAATGGACTTGAGGGGCATCGGAGTCTCAAGCGCGGGAAGCTATCGTTTTATTATTTTCCAAGGCATCGTCATTGGTTGTTAAGGTAGAGACGTGTTGGATCATGCTAAGATTAGCTCGGTATAATAACAAACCCAGACTCGGAGACGCCGAGAGTACCTCGGTTGGCCCGCTGTGCAAACTTGCGGAGGTGGCATCCGGACGGCAGATCTTCGCACACTAAGGCTGATATGGCAGCGTTCAAACCCGTAAAGATACAACGTTGGTAAGGTATCTTACGGCCAGTGTGTATTGTATTATCATCAAACGGTCATTGCAACTAGCTGTATGAATACAATTTAGATCTATACCTCAGACCTATGCGCAATGTCCAGGATGCATTAGTCAATGTGAACTGGACCGGAAGAGATGCTTGTCTGAGCAAGGCATCCGTGAAGGTGCCGTGTCAGGGTCTTGTCAATTCGAAAAATAGTGTCATGCTTGCAGTCTCAATGAGCGTTTCCTGTCAACGAATCCGGTAAGCTGACGAAGGCATCAACCTCTCCAGCACCCACCATAGGCATGTTATCATTTCTGATCCTATTCCCTTGTATCTGAACATTCGGCTCCAATAGAAGAGCCTTGACTAATTGCTGACTATGGTCACATTGCCGAAGTACTCGTAGTAGAACACACTGTTGAAGAATCTTCTGTTTGGGTGATTCAGGTTGGAGCTCCGTTACGATCGTTTTGTTGCCAGAAGGTCGACATCATACCAGTTGCCTATGGCCATGGTTTCGACACCTCTAAGATCTGGGGCGGCAGATGGTCTCCGTAGCGTCTGTAAGTGCCTTCAGGAAAGATCGAATAATACAGTGGAACTAGTACATTTCTGCTGTGTCGGACCATATCTGACATCAACTTATCCTGTGTTCTTGTCACCTCAGCTAGAAAGTACAAATATATGCTGCTTAACCAGCTTATGGTCTACCACACACAGACAAACTATTTAATCAAGACTTTGCTGTTCTGAGGAGTCTGAGTCCTCTGCTGAAAGCATGGCCATGACTTCCCTCCGGCTCACTTTATCCTATCTATTAAGCCCATCAGTCCCCAAGGTGGTGGAGAAACGTCCTGCCAATGTGTCTGAGCCTCCTCAGAAGCAACTCGTATTTCCTGCCTCTAAAATTCCTGTGTGGATGCAGTGGGACCCCCCATTTCAACTACATGTATCTCAGTGACTTATTTTGGCCTGTACAGCCATCCCATCCTGCAAGTCACATATATCCTCTTCACCGTGCTCGGTGCCGCTATGGTCTTTTGAGTTGCACTAGATCCCCGGATGGATGGTGCACGTGCTGGTCCATGGAGGTCAGTCTTTTGCCATGCCATTTTTGGCTCTACAGCATCTCGACATTGCTGACTTTCTTCGTCGAGTAGCTGTGTTTTTCCTCCTGGCCACGAGTGGCTTAGCTCCCATCTTCCACATTGCTTGGGCCGAGGGCCTAATTCGCATTCCTTTGGGCAGTCTTACCGTGACCTGCTCGTCCTATGCCATTGGTACGGCGATGTACGGATCTAACCCATAACTAAATAGGTTTAACCATGCTCAATCTGGATGGATTAGATCAAATATAGTGCGTGTAAAGGATTAAGGTATAAAGGTGCGATCCGGTTGATCAGATCCATTAGGATCTGATTATAATGGCCTTTTGGTGTAGTTGATGGTAGGTGGGTGGACGCTTGCCTTGACAGTGCGGATCAATCCATATCCATTCCACAACCAGCCTAATAGAGAGCACTTTCGGTGCTGAAATCTAAGAAGTACTGTTCTCCTAATCGTTCACTGTGGGTCCCCCGCTTCCGCGCACCCGCGCCTCCGCTGCCAAGGGACCCTACGTTGCCGAGATTCTGTCTCTCAAGATACCTACTTTGCGCTGGAAACGACACAATCTTGTGGAAAGCCTACCCAGAGGCAAGCTCATCACGGACTAAGCATTTTTACCAGGGATAAAAGGTACCAGGAGTCAGTTTGCGTCTGATTTTTCAAAGGCACAAGTTGTGCTGTAGTCAGTCGAAGCAGCGGCGTGGACGGACATCACAAGGCACACAACCAACTCCGTTTGAAGTCTAGTTGAAATCTGACCAGGGTTTTAGGTCCAGGGTAGGCTTATGCTTGCGGTACAAACACCTACACTGGAGGTCGGATAGACTAGAACAGAGGGCTAGGTTGGTAAGCTGAGATGCTGATGACCTGAGTAGTAAGTGCGTAGGCCTTGTGACGTAACACCAGGCAACAGGGAAAATTTGGAAATGGACCTATCAGCAAGATACCAGCCAGATTCTTAGCGTTGCGACGTTCCGCGTCATCTGCCCTAGATGTCCACAAGCACTATCCAATGAGACGCGCTGCACGGTTATTTCAGGCGCTTCAATACTTGAGGGGTCACTTGGCAGCCGAGACCCTGCCGACCCACCACCCAGAAAACCAGGCTACAATGAAAGGGGTGGGGGTGGGAACCCGTGGTACCTTAAATAGGACCCTCGTGGTCAACAATATATGGCAATCTATGGGCAACTTTGCCCAATCTTGGCACAAGAGTAGGGTGACTCTTTGTTGGAATCTCCCTAAAATTTTCGAATCAATCTAGTGTATTGAGGTTATTTGACAACCATCTCTCTTCAACTTGAAACTGCTTGGAGGAATGGCATCAAAGTAAGTGTTATTGTTCGAATTTGAAGCGCAATCTACCCCCAGAAGAGGTAGATCAAGAGGGGACAATATCAAATGAAGAACAGAAGCGAAAGGCCATTCACAGATACTCACTAAAAGTTTTCAAAGCACAATTCATGATGGATTCCACGACATTGCTATCATACAGGGAACAGTCGACGCCGTTCCGGCAGTCCTCCGTCTCCTAGATACCGCAGTCAAATGGCTGGTATCATGTGACAGAATTGGGCAATGGGGAGCAACACCGTTTTCTGAGAATCCACAACGCGCCGAACGACTCAGAGAATTTGCAACAACCGGCCATGGCCTTTGGCTTGCTATCAAGGTTACTGACGACTCGCCCATGCTGGGCCAAAATCGACTCTCCAACCTAGACCCCCAAGCTATGAACGGAGAAGCTCCGGGGATCATCATAGGAGCGCTTGCCATTGGAGACAGGATGCCTTATGTTCCACCTGTCTCTGAGCCTGAGCTTTACGTGCGATTATTAGTCACGGATCGACGGTGGGCTGGCAACAAGATTGGCAAACGCCTTTTGGAACATGCACGTGATCTTGCCAACAGGGCTGGAGTCTCATTACTACGGGTGGATTGCTATGCAGGTGGCGACGGCAAATTGATCCAATATTATGAGTCTCAAGGGTTTAAGCGATCTGAAAGTTTGAATCTGGAAGGTGACTGGCCTTGTCAGGTGCTTGCTCAGCGGTTAGATCAGGTGGAAGGAGAAGAGAGAAGTTGACTCTTTCTTTGCCGGAGCATAATTAGTGGCTTCGAAATGAACTTCGCCTCCCCTTGGCACGACCTAGGGATGACATGAAAGATAAGATGGTGTATGTTTGACATTTCTTGCGTGCTTATATCGCAGTGGGCAAGCCACCTCCAAACTCTTGGCAGTGGACCGGAATGCCTCGTTCCTGTCCTAATGGATCATTTCAAGTGGGCGGTCGTTACAGAGCTAGCAATCCTGAAAGGAGGAGGTGCCGTCGTTGTTCCACATGTCGATAGCACTAATACCGCAATTCCTCTCATAATACGTGTACCCGTTGCTCAGTGTGAAGCGAACACCACAGGGACTCTCGCCGCTAGCAGTGTATTCCTTCGTCTTGCATGGATTGTAGCCTCCAATCCAGGCGACTGTTTTCGATTAGCTTATATCTGCCATATAAGGAAATGAGCAGCTCAGGAACGCACCGTTCAACAAGGGCTGTCCGGCCGAATTTTCAATTTGACCGAGGTCGATGGTGGCAAGTACGGTGTTCCCAGCGAGGGCCAACCCAAGGAGCAAGGATTCGGGGAAACGCATTCCGTGTATAGAACAGCTAGAGCTTCTATAAGGCAGTGGAGGTAGAGTAGTTGAGTACAAGCTAGGAAGCGACAGAATAGAGTGTGTAAGAACTTTCCATTTTGTACTTTTTTGTATTTCAGAAGATGTGCACTTTACTATCGTAGGGCTGCCATAGATTTTTGATGCTGATTAATATATGCTTCCTGTCGAATCAAGCGCCAAGGAGGAATATTCTCACATCAGAATACTAATCAAAAAATAATGAAACTAATCAAGTAATAATGAAATTAATCAATTAAACAAGAATAGAGAGGAATCCATGGATCCTGATGGCACCTCTCGATAGAGCAAAACACAAGCCTGTCTGAGACAATTTTAATTCTGGATTATACGATAAGTGAGACAATAGGTCCAGGCAGCTGACTATACCAAATGAACCAGGAGCCATACCACTCAGTCAAGGAAGTTGGGCCATTATCTGCTAGCATTCTGTAGAGTTGAAAGGGGACGCAATATATACGCTTTGGATGGTCCTGATTACATTCGAGCCAGGAACTGGCGATGATCGTAATCATTCCGATGCTATAGCTTCGTTGGGCGGAGGGGAGGGATATATATAGACACTGGGAGCCCCCGCTACTCTGGTCACGCTGCAATCTATTATTCCATGAGAATTATCTTGTCCTCTCCATCAAGTCCAAGCACTATATCCTTCCACGACGCGTCGCTCGATTGTCCTGCTTCTGACGGCCGCCAGTGCTAGAAGCATCATCAACCCTCATCCGAATACTAGCAACGCCAATGCTGAAATGTCGGTGCTAGATGATCCTGGCTACATCGCAACCTGGGAGTCTGTGACTGGGAAGATCCCTGCCAATGCCCCTGCCGCCATGGAGCACGACAAAAGGGTGATTGGACCTATTCAGGGCTTCAACAACTACGTCGCTTTGTACTACCGAAAACGCCGTTATGTCGTCACTTTAGTATTTGTGTCGAATATCCATGGCGGCCTTGCAGATGGGTTTGTGGACACGCCTGAAATCGCCTCAGCGATTGCAACGAGCGCCAGAGACGCCATGGCCGCGGCAACCAGGTCGTGGGCATCAACCTCCTGGGGCTTCTACTCGACTATTCGAAACGGCAACGGCTTCACCGTAGTGGCAAAGAACATCTTACCCAGAGGAAGTTTTGAAGACGCCCAACGAGCAGCCGCGCTCTCGCTGATCGTTATGGTTTCAACGCCCCCATCTTCTGGGCCTATCCTCAGAACAACAAGCGGGACGAGAGCGATTCTAGCCTTCGTGACTTTCACATCTTGGCCGAATTCACGCCTTCTGTGACTCTTGCCGACTATCTCTTCAATACATTCCACAATGTCAACCACACGGCTATGGCAGGCAGCGCTGGTGAGGCGGGCCACCTGAGCAAGAGAGACAAGTACTGCTTTCACTACAACGAAAAGGAACGCGCTGTAAAGAACATGGCTCCATGGAACACTGAAAATGATATTGGCTGAATTGGACAGTTGTCGGACTTCGACTAGACAAATCCTCCTGGTTTATCTGGGCTGTGTTGGCTTAGCAAGATCGCCCTGGATTATTATTTGTGGGCTGCTCTTGGTCAAGTTATTTTGTGCGGGAGTAATTTTTTTATATCTAGTATAAATCATACCACAGCATATGTTGTTGTTAAGTTTACCTAGAGAATAGAAGTTGAGGAGAGAGTATCCTCGGCCATATCATGAAAACCACAGATTGATTGGCTGTTGCTACTGAGAGAGACATGATTAACCAGCTCATTGCTCTAGAAGTAAGACGCTCTAAGCCTTCTACTTCTAAGTACCTACCTCTTCGTGAATATTATCTACCGTAGAAGATGTATGGTCGTCCACCACAAATGTCCACCCTAACCGCTGTATTGTAGAATTTATTGTATGAATGTTAGCCCATCTGCTGTGATTTGGGCAGGACGTCACCGTCGAAAGATGCCTGTACAACACATTCTAAAAGCACTTCCAAAGTGCTCACTGCAATTTGAAGCAGGATAAACTAAGATTACCTTAACCTAGCCTTGCATTCATTGCATAATTAGTTTAGCATGGCTTGGTATATAGTGCCTTTTAAGTGCCTGGCATTGCAACAGAAGCCCTTTAGACAGAAGGCCTTGAGACATAATAGCACTAGTAGGACTGTACTCTAAGATGATGACCTGACTTCACTGACTTAATATTATTGATCCGCCCCACCCGGGTACCTTCTTCTATGCGTAGAATCACGATCCACGCGGACGTGAATTATCAGTGTCAGCGCGGTGCGCTGATGATGGGGTATGTCACGCCTACACCGACCCAATATCTGAAGTTCCTGAAACACCCCCGTCCACATGCGAGAGTCTCGGCGGTGCTAGCGTAGGCGACAAGGATGATGACGGTCTTACGAGCCCTTTGCTATATGGAGGCGAGGAAGGCTTGCAGGATGTTCCCCGATCAAAGGCACAGCCCAAATACAGGCATGCGTTCGAGAAAATCCCTCTACAGCTCGACCATTAAGCAGCTCATCATGCTACTTCGAGAAATATGAACGTCGATCTCAACATCTCCTGATCAAAGCCACCAGCTAAAAGAGGTAAGCAAGCGCAGCTTTAGACATAGAGGAGGAAGCAAGTAGCTCTTAAGCAAGGGCAAGGGCTAGATCTGAAGCTTCTAGTTCATTGCCCACTTCTCGCAGTGCTCAACCTTAATCGGCAGCTGAAAATGAGGTCTTACAGAACTTAGTGGATAGAGGGCTCGTGTGGAAGCAGATTGAGAGAGAGTTCGCTTAGATCTTCACTAAGAGGACTTTGAGATCACTGCAGCTGCATTAATCAAGAACCTAGAGCTTACAGCATTGCTAACCAGATGTTCAAAGCGCAACAGGTCTTTCCTGTCGTAATAATGCTGGCGTATAGCTGCACAAATTGGGCTGCGCGCAGGCCAGAAGGAGCAAGAACCTGCCTTTCAGGGTGCCTTGACCTACAGTTTATACAAAGTGGATGCCACTGGTTACCACCCGGCGTAGATACTCCTTTGCGCATTACTAACACAATGTAGGGATCCCTTCAGCAAGCATAAGCCTTTTGGCCAAGCTCCTGGTGTTAAACCATACTCACACCCTTAAAATTATCAAATGCCTAACACACTCTATCTGGGGCTACTCTATCTCAACAGCAGTATAATTCTCAAGATGCATACGTTACCAGCCAACGTGCATTGTGAATGATATTAGATATCGATGCTAGATGGCATTCAATATCGATACTAGACGGCATTCGATATTGATACTGGATGGTATACTAAATGGCATACAATATCTTTTAGTTAAGTTATAAGAGAATAATCATCTCTATTAGTAATCAGTATAAAAGCAGTGGTAACATAGATATATATGCACATTGACCTTTAATAACCTCTATAATTTAAGAATAATTCTTGACTACTACCTATTTAACCCTCTATATATTAAGTTAATATTTTAGATATGGATTAAAAAAACTATAATTACTATATATTTTATTTAAAAATATTAATTTTTGATAAGCATGCTGGATAGGCCTTAGGTAGATGGTATGGTATGTATAGTCGCAGCAGCATTAGTGTGATGATCCAATATCAATATTGAATGCCATCCAGTATGGCATCTAGTATCGATATCAAATGATATCTAGTATGCCATTTAGTATCAATATCGAATGCCATCTAGTATCGATATTGAATGCCTTCTAGTAGGAACATCAAATATAATTCTATTTAATCATCCATCATGTACCTAGATATCTACCAGGCTTACCTGACTGAGCCACCTGGCATTTAGTTACGAATTAAAGCATTTTAGTTGAATATCTGCTTACCTCCATGAGAAGTTTTAATATTGCTATACTAGGGATGCTGCAGTGCGTGCAACTGTAGGGAGGGGGAGTGTGGTGCGATGTAATCATTGTAAAAAAACCAAAATCCCTTTTGCACAAATAGTCCGCCGTATACGCGGTGTAGCTAGATTAATCTAACCTTCTTGGGTGTTTTAAGTACCTTTTTACCTCCCACTGTAAGCGGCGATTGAGACCAGACTTTTATGATGAAAAAACAAACGATCAACACAAATCTAGCCAAAGCTTAAGTATACGAGGTCCCACACAGTCCTAAGATATTCCATTCTTAAAATCGCTCTTTGTGTTCTGCAAACGATGTTCCGTTTATGCGAGATCAGCGTAAAATATACCCAAACTGCTTATCGCAAATAGTCGTACTGTTGCCGAATACTAGTACCCATCAAGGCAAAACCTCTAGACAGCATTTCGCCCCAAAGGCATTTCTGTTCAGACCACGTTACCCTAAGTGGTGGTTGTATAATTTACATTGTTCCTGAATACGAGACATTAGATCCCGATATTCAGAGACCTGCTAAGAAGATAAGTGTTAAGCTGGCGCTTTCGGTAATCCTTGCCAGAGCTTCACGCCCATACAAATCTGGTAGGGCCAACAGCCCCTGCTCCTCGCTCTAGGGCTCCAAGCCGGAACAAAGAGGTCCGAAATGGCGGTCAAGATAGGCCTTAAATAGAGTCATTTTAATCGCTAGTGTTAGATGAATTCAAGTTCTCGCTACAGTCCACATTTAGCGGTATCACACGCAGTATTACCGACGGCAGCACATTGACAATAAGAGCTTCATTTATTACAATCCTACAGAGAGAATTTGACCATTTAATAAATATATTAGCTAATAGTTGTATGGGTTATCGTTGCCTGATGATGCATTGACTCCATGCACATGTAAGGAGACAAATTTGTGTCATTATCCTTGCTTAATTCAGTTCTGGATCTCATATAACCACACCGATGATCCAGCTATTAATACCTATTTTCCCCTTCTGCCATTCCTATTTCTAGCTTGCACCATTAACTTAACTCTCCTTTTACCTCGATTCTCAAGCATAGTAGGTTTGTTGCAATCCTCTTGTTCATGAAGCTCAGGCACCTGTATCAGCAAGAACAATGTCGAGTGCGTTATGTCAAGAGCGCAAGCCTGTGAACTCTCTTACTCCTGTTGACCGACTTTTTGGATGTGCATACACCCGCTGCCAGCTTGCTTTCCATACTACCGAAGCAAGTGGATGCCTAACGGTTCTACGAAGGGGGTTCAAATGCCTGTTGGCCAAGATACCCTTCTTATCTCAGGAAATCGTTATACCAGTGGGCTGTGATAATCTAGACAACGTCAAGTTCCAATCAACTAGTTCAACCAATCTTGATCAGCTCCTGAAGATAAAAGAACATGGCGAGTCTATGCGAGAAGCTTTGGCGGAAGCAGGCAAAGACAGGGCTAGATTTGAAGAGAAATTCATGCCGATAGGACTGGTACCTGACGTAACGGAGCCTTGTCCTATACTAGTTGTCCAAGCGAATCTGCATCCGGACGGGGTGCTGCTATCTGTCGCTGCAAACCACATGGTTATGGACGCAACTGGAATGGGAACTGCGATAGTAATGTTCGCTGATTGCTGTCGTCAAGTGGAACAGGGCAAGGACATCGATATGTCAGTTTATGCTGCTGAGCAAGACATTGGCAAAGAAATGCTCCTGTATCGCTTGCCAGCTTATATTGGCGAAAGAGAATTCTCCGAATACCGGGTACACAAGGACCTTTATGCCAAATGGGAGAAGATGACACAGAATGTACAGAATGATTCTTTCTCCATCCGCACGAAGAACTTCAATATCGCGGCAAAGGATGTTAATGCACTAAAAGGCTGCTGCAATGAGCTCCTCCCGCATTTACTTGTTGATGAGGGCCACAGCGTTGGAGAGGAGGAATCTCATGACAGGCCGTGGGTTTCCAGCAGCGACGTGGTGATCGCTCTGGTCTGGCTGTCACTGACCCGTGCACGATATCCTGGGCTGACGGCGGATAATTGCAACTCTCATTCGAAGCGTCAAGCAGGAGAACCCGCATATGTTGGCGTCGGGGTGCCTGTCGACATTCGTCATCGCGTCACACCTCCACTTCCTACGTCATATCTGGGCAACGCAGCCATCCTTATGTTGGTCAACCAACCTCTCCAAACCTTTGCTTCCCACGAATGGATGAGAACACTCTGCCGTGTGGCGTATGGTATTCGCTGTGGGCTTAGTCGTATGGACAATGATTACATCCGGAGCCTTCTTCATTATGTCCAAAACGAAAAGTCTCCTGTCATTTTCTCATTCGACGTAGCCAATTTCTATGTGAGTAACTGGCGGGACATGAACTTCTACAACGCCGACTTTGGATCGAAGATGGGGAGGCCTCAGCAGGTCAGGAATCCTGACTCCGCCACTGATGGAGTTGTCTTCATTATGCCTAAACGCCCCAATTCAGAATCCCCGTGGGAGGTTCAGGTATCTTTTAATGATGAGGTACTACAGCGGCTAGAGCGCGATAGTATGTGGACGAAGTACATGCTTCAGGACTCATACTGGCCATGATCACTCTCTATGGTATACGTTACAGGGCTTATCTACCATAGTTTAGCCGGATGACCCAGCGTGATTCAGCAAGCTTTCGTTGGCTTGGGGAAAATCAACAGGACTATAACTCTAGGTAGATCCATCACGTTCAAGTTTGCTTTGTTTTTTTACTAACATTTTCATTTCATTTTGGCAACGAACACGATTCTACGTAGCTACTGCTGTAAATCGAAGCTCAAAAGTAGGCACCAGAGTTTTATATTCGGAGTGAATTCCTACGGGCTCAAGTTTCTTAAAAAGAAGTGTGTGTGTCTATTTTGTAAATGCACTATCCAGTTTTGAGATGGAAATATTGATGGACAGCCCTGGGCTACCAATCTCTGCGGTGAGTGTCAATGTGGCGGTCTCGGACTTCATCCTATAGATGGCAATCCCTCTTCTAAATGGTGTTCAGATCAGTTCCATGTTTAGCGACTCATGAAGCGAGTCGCGTAGCAGAGTAGTTGTATGTTTCTAAATACGGCGCGCTGTCGGGCTATCTTGATCCCGTCAGATGCGGTGAGCCACCAAGGGTGGTGCCAAGCCGCGGACCAGTACGGAGTACAGTACAACATTGGGGGGTTTCAGGCACGCTGCCTCACACTGCTTCAATAGTAACATAAGTTTGTAGGCAATTTGTGGGTTTTGTTCTCTATTATCCCTTACGATTTTCACCGCTACTTCTCCTTTGGTTGCTCTCCCGAGGGCGAGCACTGTATTCAATCTACGTCATGCATATTGGTACGCCCTCTCTCGACTTTTTGTAGTGCCATTATCAACGCCACCTCTTACACTGAGATCTGGCTTTGGGTCAGATCAATGAAATATACCGGATAACGCAAGACTTCATCAAGATCCTCCGACGGAAGAAGCGCCATCATCCGTAAGTACCGAGGTAGGTACAGGGACTGACATGATGATCCATAGTTCACTGAAAGTCCAAATTCGCAAATACTGATCACTGCAAACACTAAGGTTCCAAGCATTTAAACGGTATGTATTTGACGTGGAAATTATCTAAAAATCCTACCTTCCAGTCCAAGCCGAGGCACCTTTCTTGTCTCATTCCAATCTATTGTCAGGGTAGACGCCCAGAACCTCTTTTCTTCCAGCCTAGTATCGTGTATACTCGACCTACCAGTGGTAATATATGGACAAGTAGGGACCCTTCTGAGCCGTGTAAGAGAACGACAGCCAGGCCTGTTTCCGAGTGGCATTGCTGAGATCACAGTCGGTGCTAGAATCGAGCTTTAGCAAAGATCGAAGGACTCAGCACGTAAGTACTTACTAGTAGGATTTCAAATTCTCGGTGAAGGTGCGTGCTTGATCCTGCATGCCATGCTTGTCGAAGAAGGCCGTCAATGCGCTTGCAACTTGCATTTCTGGAATCCCAGTCAATGGCATGTATAGCTGAGGTTTCAGACTATGGTCGCCAGGCTTCATCTCATAATTATACATCAGAGGCAACAAGCTCGAGGGGTCGCCATGTTTTGCCGAGGTGCCTGGGGGATTCCGTCTTCCTTCGATAATGCCAAGTCCCATCCATAGCTCGCGAAAAATTTCGAGTCCGCGGGCAATGTCGTCTCCTTGAAGCTTCCCACCCAGAGTCCAGTGGTTCTCCGCCCTTGACAACACGACGTCCGAGTCATGTATATAGACCTTGTACCGCGTAGCTGACGGGTCCACCAAGTCACAAGCAAGGAAAGCTGCCGGTGTCTCACTTTGCTCAATGTGGTCTTCAATCAGTTGACACAAATTGCTCAATGATGGGTCGGATGTGGAATTGCGAACAGCGTCCAAGCAAATTCTGGCGACGGATTGGCCCGTCACGAGCGATTTCACGATCGGTAAGAAGTATTCCTTTGCAATGATGCCTGACTTTGTGAAATCCAACGCAATTAAATTTTGTGTTCTGACCTCAAATTTCGCAAGATCTTCCGGTGTGAGCTGCTCCTCCTCTGCGTCAGTCAACGTCAACTGATTGTTGAGGGAATGATGGAGGTAGAGGTTAACGGCCGATGCGTCAAGCAGCTTCAGGTTGGACAAAAACACATGCACAGCTTGTCGGTTACAGATATCTGCTCCCATGCTGGCAGCATGACTGGTCGGCTCGAACGCAATCCGTACAGTTGACCCCGATGCCTGAAAGTTCTGGCTTAGCTCAACTGGTCCATAACCGCCAAGGGTGCACTTATAAAAGTCACTATCATTCCCACTGGTTGTAAAAGGTCCAAGAGAGGGAACCACAAGCTGAGAGTAGAGACATAGGTATCGATATTGTAGGTCGATGTTGTACTTTCCGTCACTCAACATACGACAAAACATAGGGGCGACACGATGCCAATAGCGATGCTGGTCTGTATTCTGGAAAAGTATTGCCTTGCTAAGGGCCTGGTATGGTGCGTCCCACGATTCAACGGTCCTCGAGGCAGTACTACTCTTGACCTCAGGGTTGGTAATATCTTTGCGGGCGGAAGAAGTGAATGTCATGATGTTGGCACTTCTGTTAAGGCTTGTTGTGCGTACTTCGAGAGAGGACGTGTTGGAATGGAGGGCAATGTATATGGTTGTCAACATGAGACTGATACGTCGAGTTGGGGGTTATGTACTTTAATAATCTCTCACCTCACCATTCCACCAAATGAATCGGCAATCCAGTCAGAGTGGTGTACTCTTATTGGGGAAAGAAAGATATGCAGTCAAGTAGAGAATCGAAGTTACCAGTTCCAGGACATGTCTAGGAATGTTTTAGTCCTTGCATATATGTAAATCATTTCTTCATCGTTCCATTTCAATGCGTCCTGGAAGGGAATACAAACTTCCTGACCATATTATAAGCGGCCCTGCTTCCATTCCTTTGCGTGATGTTGACACTATTGACCACTAGGTTTTAGAATGTATTGATACACTTTCTACACTGAAGACCTTTCGGGATAGGCAATAGATGAAAAGCACACCACTCCACCTCCACGGTCCTCATTGTCATGTCTACATGTATGAGTCCAGGAGTTTTCTAACCTCTGCCATACCAACCTGTTGGGTCCATGACATACATGTTTCTCCGCGTATATGGCCCTTCCATCACCGCTGTGCCGTGGAAAATGAGTTCCAGATGGCGTGCGCGCTGCCGATGGCTGCACACTTGGAGCAACATTGGTCACAGTTCTGCTTAATCTAATGCTGTCCCTTACCGACGGCAGCAGGCGCAGTCGAAGAGCAGGTGGTGTTTTTTTTTCACCTCACATGACTTTCTCAATTCGAGTGGTAAAAAGTCGGTCAAACTACATTTACATTACAATCGTTTGGCTGGGGACAAGGAATCCAAACGTGGCTGCATAATGCCTGCAAGGGAGAGTGGGACGAATAGGTCTACTTGAAGAGCTTTGCCAAGAGGACGTAAAGTAGATCCTTTAATCAACGACGCAATTTGCAACATTCACGCTCCAATACAGAAGACAAGGAAGAAAAATTGAATCGAACACACTAATAAGATTATAGAGATATACATATAATACAAAAGAAAATGCTTTCAACTCGAGGATAGAGGATTAAAAAGGTTTATGAAAGCATAGGCCATCGAAAAGGTTGTTGCGATTCTGGTGTTGTTTTGGCTTGTTATACCAACCTTCGCCAATCCTACGAGCTCCAGGAGCAGGTTTCGGTACTCCGGAGTATCGTACGTAATGTGGGACTCCCGAGTTCGCAAGTAAAGATGTGCGGGACATGCAAGATTCAATGATGCGTACAGTTGACAAAGCTCATAGGTTGGGCACGGTTATCGCTGTTGTTCGAGTTGCAGCCGAGACAGATTTGGGAAGAATGTAGAGGACATTTATTGACTCAATTTTGGTCTAACCCTATTTTTTATGTCAAGGATAATTTCCCTCGTGGGTTGATATGGGGAATGTGTCGGAAAGATTATGATCAGCATGGAGAACCCCATTTAAACCACGGAAAGAGGAAATCATCTAAGGAACAGCCTTCTAAACCAAGAAATAGCCAAAATTGGGGGTCTGTTGTCCCTTTTGATCATAATGAAAGTAGTCAGTAAGGGGTATCCCAGGGATATTCCCAAATGGTTTTTGAAATTGATTCGTTTATTGCCTTCTATTCGATCCACACAGGGGCGAGAATGGGCCAATTGGGCATGTGCCTAGGTTGAACTGGAAGGATGTAAGGAAGAATAAACATGCCCCTTGCCAGAAGATCACCTTCCAGAGTTGGAACATGGCAGAACAAGCACGTGTAAATAAAATCACTCAAAGCTCCCTATCTGATAGGACATTATGCATGGCATCCCTTGATTCTAGCCTTTGCCAACCATGCGAACGACCCTTAACCAGATTCTAGGCCTCCATTTTAGTATTGATGGTAAAATGAGACCTACAGGTAGACCACCAGTGAAAGGGAATCGAAAGCCCATCCTATAAATAAGATTGCCCAGTTGTACTGTACCCGAAACTTCGCTGCTGTGCTTGAAAATCGACTACTACCTGAAAGCATATTTCACATCTGCTCACGCAATGATGGTCATCCACGAGCAAACCTCCCCACACACGCGCTCACATAATGCGGAATTCGCCTGCTTGTTCCCACGATTGAGCGAAGACACGAAAGTCAAGGAAACGTACCAGTCCATTGAACTTGATGCCACGGCCGGTCAGTTGGTGCGAAGCTGTTGCAGGCTATATGGATCAAAGCCTACGATGGTGCTCGCTACGATCTGGACTGTCACGCTCCATAGTTTTACGGAGGGAGAGCGCGTGAAATTCGCACTGTTGCATAAAGTACCTGTACACGGCGTACGCTGTGCCGAAGGAGGAAAGGAATATGTTCGAGCAGAGACATATGCCACGCTCATCGACCGCGAAACACCGGCGAGGGAGCTGATGAAACAGGAAAATTGGGAGATTCTCCCGCACGTCGGCGGTGATCAGCTGCTTAATACTGGGCTGTATATGGGTGGCGAGACTGAGGAGGAGTTCTCAACAATTCTTAAGGTAGCGTGATCAGATCCTAAGAAGCAATTATCATACTATATCAAGATCAGTTCTAATCGAGTGTACATCTCCAGGGCCTCGACATATGCATAGTTTGTAGCCCAGTATCTCTCGAAATGAAGTTAATATTCAGCTCGAAAGCTCTACCCCAGACGTTTGCGTGGGCAATTGCAAGTGCCATCCCACAAGGACTGCAACAGATCATGAGACACCAGACAACATCAATAGGAGAAATCAACTTGTTCTCCCAGATGCAAGAGGAACTTGTAAAATCATGGCAAGGTAGCGAACCACCCCAAACACTGTCTTGTTTTCTGTTCGATTTCCTGTCTCGACAAGCAGTCGAACAGCCAGGTGCTGTGGCCATCGATGCCTGGGATGGTCAATGGACCTATCAAGAACTTGATGAAATCTCCACAACCCTCGCATCCCACCTCCAAACATGTGGAGTACAGAGTGGGACGCTGGTCATCGCGTGTTTCGAGAAGACCTCTTGGGCGGTGGTAGCTCTTCTGGCAGTCAATAAAGCCGGGGGAGGCTTTGTTCCCTGTGACCCTACGTATCCAGCAGAGAGGAGAGAGAAAATCCTTCAACAGGCTGGCTCGCCACTTATTATCACGTCGGCAGAATGCGCGGGTCTCTTCGCAGGCCTGAAAAATCCTTCTGTCATGATCATCTCACCCACTACTTTTTTGAATCTAGAGAGAGCGTCCTATCGACGGCCTACGAACGGAGAAGCACCTGCGTATGTGTTATTCACATCCGGCAGTACAGGAGAACCAAAAGGATGCGAAATTTCACACAAGGCATTTGCCAGTATTTCGAACCATGTCAAGGCGCTCCATCTGGGTCCCGCCAGCCGTGTACTGCAGTTCGCTTCTTTCTCTTTTGGGATGGCAATCATCGAGATATTCTGCACCCTGGCGGCTGGCGGCACAGTGTGTATGTTGTCCGATGAGCAACGGCTGAACTCATTAGCGGCAACCATGACAAAGATGAAAATCAACTGGGCTCTTACGACCCCGACAGTCCTTGGCTCGCTACAGCCGCATGACCTCCCCTATTTAAAGTGCCTTGTAGTTGCTGGAGAGGGGCTAAACGAGGCCCAAATTCAGATATGGAGCGCTGCCCTCGACATTTTCCAGGCCTATGGCCTTACAGAATGGACCGGAATCTTCGCAGTCTCCCACAGAATCACGAGCATACAGCAACGGCGGATGATAGGCGTTCCTGTGAATGGTCAGGCATGGCTTATTGATCCAAGTGATCACCATAAGCTTGTGCCTGTTGGGGCGGCTGGCGAATTGGTGATCCGCGGGCCTGGTTTGGCCGCAGGTTATTATCGGGCTACTGAGAGGACCAAGGCTTCGTTTTTCTCCCCTAAGTGGCTAACTCGGTGGACGTACCACGGCGAAAGCATGGTATACAGGACCGGGGATATAATGCGTTACAACGCAGATGGATCTCTGTCATATGTTCGACGGGGGGACAACCAAGTCAAAATCCGCGGCATGAGGGTGGAACTGAATGAGGTGGAATACAATCTAATGCAGCTAATGCCGGAAGCCAGAAGAGTTGTTGCCATGTTGTGGAAGCCGCAGGAACGTGATGGACAACAGGTTCTGTTGGCCCTGATCCACATGCCACCGTCCGACTCGAAGCCCGCAGTTTTGAACAGCACCGATGGTGAATTGCTATTTCTCCAGCCCACTACAGAAAGGCGGCGCACAATAGACAATGCTCTAGAGGCGCTCCACTCGCGTCTGCCAGAGTATATGATTCCGCAGTACTTGTTGGCTTTGGCTGCCTTCCCAACCACTGTCACTGGAAAAGTTGACCGTCAGAAGTTGGTAAGCTTGACGAATGGAATGACAACTGACGATCTTCAACGTTTAGCAGGTCGACAAGCTGAACATCAAGCACCAACCACGGAGAGCGAACGACAAGTATACGACTTGACATGTACCATATTGGGAGTCAAGTCTGTGAGCATGAACGACAACTTCTTTGATCTTGCAGGCGACTCAGTAGCAGCGATGAAAATGGCCGGATTAGCCCGCCGGCGTAAAATCCAACTGACAGTGGCAGATGTTTTTAATCGCCCCGTGTTGAAAGACCTAGCATCAGCCGTTCGCCAGCTCAATAACTCAACGACATCGCAAAGGGCGCCCTTTGGTCTTCTGGACGCTGCCGTTAGACAAAAAGTCATTCACGAAGCGGCCAACCATATGGACGCCGCTCAAATCGCGGATATCTATCCGTGCACGCCCCTCCAGGAGGGTATCTGGGCACTTTCTATGCGAAACCCTACTCTTTATAAAGCACGAGTGATCTGCCATCTTCGGCCGGATGTGGACCTCGATAGATTCAGAACGGCATGGGAACGCGTGTTCGGACTCAATGACATTCTTCGGACACGTCTTTTCCCCTCTCACTCTGGAGTGTTTCAGGCGGCCCTACGAGAATCATTCGAGTGGGACGCTGCTGAGGAACTCCAGTCCTACCTTGATAGGGTTGACCGGGAACATATGGGCGTTGGAAGTAGGCTGGTCCGAGCGTGTCTGTTGGCCAACGATAATCAAGCCACATTCGTTCTCACAATCCATCACGCCTTGTGTGACAGGTGGTCCCTAAGATTGCTACTCGAGCAGATTGAGAAGCAGTTGTCGCCGGTTCCCCCATCAACGAACTACTCATTCTCACCGTTTATCGAACACCTGGTCAATATTGCACCGCAGCTCGAGAAATTTTGGGTTGACCAATTTCAAGGCCTAGAGGCTTCGCCGTTTCCCGCACTCCCGTCTCCGGATTATACACCTACTGCGCACCAAATTTCCAGGTTCAATCTCTGCCTGCCAAGGCGTGTCCTTCGCGAAAAGACTCTAGCGAGCCACCTTCGGCTGGCATGGTCTCTCGTCATTTCACACAATACTTGCTCGGACGACATTGTTTTCGGGTCTACTGTCACTGGACGAGGCTCGAATGTGAATGGGATCGAGGCCTTATCTGGTCCGACTATTGCAACGGTGCCTTTTCGGACATCATTAAATCCCGACGGAACCATCGCCAGAGCGTTAGCTGCTGTACAGGAACAATCTATTTCGATGATACCGTTTGAGCAAGCTGGACTACAGAAGATCCAGAGATGTAGTCCAGAAGCCGAGTCGGCCTGTATGTTCCAGAGCACGTTGACCGTCCAGCCTGCCTGGCCTGATTCCCTAACACTGTTCAAGGATTGTCAGGAAGGGGCAGCGACAGCCGGGGGCTTTGCCTCTTATGCCCTGTGTATTGAGTGCTACCCGAACACGGAGGAGACCCAAATGGAGATCCAAGTCGCATATGACGCAAATGTGTTGCCCCCTACCCGCATGGGGCGCTTGATAGACCACTTTGAGTTTGTGCTGCACGAGATAATGAAGGGTCCTAACAAAACGATACGCGAGATCCAACATATCAGTCCGTCTGACCTGATTCAGCTAGGAAGGTGGAATGAGACGATTCCCTTTCAGCCACAACAGACCGTTCACAGCATTGTTCAGAGTCAAGCGAAAAAGACGCCCCATGCTCCAGCAATATCTTCGTTAGATGGTGAACTCACTTACCAAGAGCTCGACAGATACTCCACGCAACTAGCAGGCGAGCTACTGCTACTTGGAGCGAGACCGGGCATGCTAATACCTGTGCTATTTGAGAAGAGCCGCTGGGCAATTGTGGCAATGATGGCAGTCTTGAAAGCAGGGGGTGGTATCGTTGCATTAGATCCATCATATCCCGTCGACAGAATGCGCGCAATTTGTGGCCAGGTGGAATCACCCTTGGGTATCTGTTCAGAGAGATATGCTGCGACTCTGCAGCAGATTGGACCTAAGCCGATCATTGCATCGGAGTCCTCTGGCGCTTGGCGTCGACCTGTTGAGGACCTGAACCTCCCGGTCGTCGGTGCGGATTCCACGATGTATCTCATCTTCACTTCCGGGTCCACGGGGATGCCGAAGGGGGTGGTTGTCAATCATGACTGTTTCGCGTCGTCAACTTTGGCATACCGAGCGGAGATTAACCTTGACTCATACTCCCGCTTGTTGCAGTTCTGCTCGTTTGCCTTCGACGTCTGCTTTGCGGAGATCTTCGGCACGTTGATGGCCGGGGCTTGTCTTTGCATCCCATCTGACGCCGACCGCATGAATGATATACACCACCCAATGAGGGCGCTCCGTGTTACCCATGCATTCTTCACGCCTTCATATGCTCGCTTGGTCCAACCGGAGCAGGTCCCGTCCCTGAGGGTAGTCATGTTGGCTGGTGAGCCCGTAAAAGCCTCGGATGTGGAGCATTGGGCTCCTCATGTACATCTCGTGAACGGCTATGGGCCATCGGAATGTGCTCCCATTTCAGCTACTCAATGCCTTGATGGAAGTGTCAATGTACAGTCCCAGGACATAGGTTATCCTCGGGGTTGTGTGGCGTGGATCTGTGATCCCCGAAATCATGACACTCTCCTTCCCATCGGTGCTATCGGAGAGCTGGTCATAGAGGGTCCGAATGTCGGTCCGGGCTATTTCCAGAACGCTTCGGATACGATGAAAGCATTTATGGAGGCTCCCCGATGGCTTCAAGGCTTTCGCGGGCACACAAGTAAGCGGGTCTATAAGACGAAAGACCTCGTGCATTACACTGAAGATGGCCGTCTGCGCTATGTCGGCAGAATAGGGCAACAGGTCAAACTAAGGGGGCAGAGGCTTGAACCATCTCATGTGGAACACCATCTCTTACAATCGTTCGATGGTGCAGCGGAGGTGGCTGCCATTGTTGCCACGCCAAAAGACGCCGACGGGAGGGCAACTCTCGTTGGATTTGTGCTTTCCGAGAATGCTAAGGCAAGGCCAGGAGGGGATATATGCTTGCCGCCTAGTGAGGAATTTTGCCTACTCACTGCCACTGCGCGTTCTAAATTGCAACAATCACTCCCAGAGTTCATGGTTCCCTCTCTAATAATATCAGTCTCATCAATGCCACGGACACCGTCAGGGAAACTTGATCGGCAACGGTTGACACGAGAGATCACAAGCCGGACCTGGGACCAGCTCATGGAGTTTGAGGCATTGGCAATGCCCTCTCATGTTTCCGCTTCCGACACGGAGAAGGAGTTGCAAACAATTTGGTCTCGAGTACTGAACCTCCCTGTCAGTGCGATCGGTACCAACAAAAGCTTCTTCCAACTTGGTGGAGACTCGATCACGGCCATGCTGGTGGTTGCCCAGGCTCGCGCTGGCCGATCCAGACTACAATTAACAGTGGAGGACATCTTTCGCTTGCGAACTATATCCCAAATCGTGACACACGCTACAAATTCATCCGACCGCCTAATGTTAGCCAACCACGATACATTAGACACGCCTTTCGATCTGTCTCCAATTCAGCAACTCTTCTTTGATACCAACCGGCTGCAACAGCAGAACCGATTCAATCATAACCTCCTCCTCCACCTCAAGAAGCCCGTATCTTTTGACCAGCTAAGATTGGCCATGCAAGAAATTGCGGAGGAGCATCCGCTACTACGTGCCCGGTTCTTACTGAACGCTGATGGCCAGTGGAAACAGCTCATTCCCAGTGAGATTGAGGGTTCATATGGTTGCAGGCACCATCAGCTGACCTCTGCGGACATGGTGAAAAAAGTACTTATGGAGAGTCGGCGAGCACTCGACATATCGGCCGGTCCCGTATTCTCTGCAGATTTGATCGATATTGATGGGAATCAGAGCATATTTCTCCTTGCGCACCACCTTGTGATCGATATGGTTTCATGGACCGTGCTGCTTGCTGACCTTGAGACCCTGCTACATGGACGATCAATTCCAACAGGACAGTCGACTTCGTTCCAGACCTGGTGTACCTTATTGGCTGCGTACGGACACGAGTCGCTCTCCGTTCCCCAAGGGCCACTGCATTATAGTACACCCGAAGATTTCTGGGGGACATCCGAATGTCTGAATACGATAGGAGGGACCCACGAGACGGTCATACAGATTGATACTCCGACCACGGAAGCATTACTTGGAGAAGCCAACAATGCCTTTGGAACGCAGCCTGTGGAGTTGCTCCACGCTGCTCTTCTGTTCGCCTTCACCACGACATTTTCAGATCGTCCTGCCCCAGTCATTTTCTCCGAAGGGCATGGTCGGGAACCATGGGATTCTGCCATCGACTTGACTCGGACGGTGGGATGGTTTACTACCATTGCTCCGGTCCACGTCGAGGTGGATGCGGCTCATGATATTGCCACGGTTGTGCGCCAAGTGAAGGATACCCGCCGCAGGCTCTGCAGAAATGGATTGGAGGCATTCACAGCGAACTATTTCAATACAAGAAACCAGAAGGCTAGCCCGGCTGGCAAGATGGAGATCGTTTTCAATTACGCAGGACGATACCATCAACAGCTGGGTCAGGCCGGCTCCTTGTTCGAAGTGGAGTCTCTCCAAAATATGAGCATTTTCGACGCTGCAGATGACGCGAGGCGATGGTCTATGGTCGACATCAATGCTTTTGTGCAAGATGGCCAGTTAGCTTTCACCTTTACATACCCGCAGGGATGCAACCCGTCTCAGGTCCTTCAGCCGTGGACAGCTAGCTTGCGCAAGGCTTTGAATTTGATAGCATCAGAGTTCAAGACGCATCCGAGGAGCTACACGCTCGCTGACTTCCCTATGTTGGATCTGGATTATTCCCAATTGGACTGTCTTTTGGAGACATTGCAGCATGCCAATATAAGACCGGAAGATGTTGAGGAAATATACCCATGCTCCCCTATGCAACGGGGTATACTCTTGTCTCAGGCGAAGGATCCATCTTGCTATCAAGTGGTCATAACATGGGAGATCGTCCCTGGAGAGAAGAGGCCTGCTTCTGCTGAGAGGGCAAAAGCTGCTATAGAGCAAGTCATGGCTCGTCATGCATCTCTACGTACATGTTTCATTGAGACAACCTCTGAGGTTGCAGCTTTCGATCAAGTCGTCCTATGCAAACCCCACCATCAGATTGTCATTTACAACAGTGGAGAAAAAGATGCACAGGCACTGCTACAGAGTGGCCAATTCCAGGCCAGCCCTCACTCCCCACTACGCTTCTTAATTTTCGTGTCCTGTGACCAGAAGGTCTACATCCGCCTGGACATAAGTCATGCTCTGACTGATGCCAAGTCAATTGACCTTTTGAAACGGGACATTTGCCTTGCATATGACAACCAGCTGAGTAGTCCAGTGGGACCGCTCTTTTCCAACTACATCAGCTTTATTCAGACACGAGATCCCATCGCCGACGCAGAGTTTTGGGATACATACCTGGATGGGATTCAACCTTGTCAATTTCCAGCCCTCACGAAACAAGCCAACACCGAAAGCGGTGTTACAAATGACTACGTCTTTGATGTTGCTGGAGTTGATGGAATCGAGCTTTATTGTCGGAATCGCAACGTCACTGCACCAAACGTCTTTGGCCTCGCTTGGGCCTTGGTCCTGGGATCTTACACTGGCTCGTATGATGTTTGTTTTGGCAACCTCAACTCAGGAAGAGAAATGCCGTTTGATGGGGCGCCGGAGGTCGTGGGCCCACTTATCAACATGCTCACGATGCGTGTGAAGTTCAAAAACGCCACTATTGAACAGCTCGTTCAGCAGGTCCACGCCGACTACGCCGCTGGGTTAGCCCATCAAACGTACCCCGTTGCCGATATTTTTCACCGAAAGGGGCTCAGCGGACGATCCTTGTTCAACACTGGAATATCTGTCGAACGAGTTGACGGCCCACAACATGCTAAATTCTCTACTGACTTACGCCTTGTGCATCGGGTGGATCCCACGGAATATGATATTGTCCTCAACGTGGAGATCGAAAAGTCTCGGACTATTGTCCATCTCAGATATTGGTCATCATGTTTGTCCGATAGCCAAGCGCCGTTGATTGCTGCTTGCTTTGATCAGGCGGTCACAATGATTATCAATGATGACCAGGCTCCGGCGTCGAGCCTGAACCTCTTCTGCCAAGCTCACCATAACTTGATCTGGCACTGGAATAAAGAGTTATCCAGTTACCACGACTGTCGTGTGCATGATGTCGTCCAGAAGCGCGCAACCGAATGCCCCGATGCCCCTGCTGTATGTAGCTCCGGGCGTACGCTCACATATAGGGAACTAGATGTCCATTCGACCGCACTCGCCCATTATCTATCACAACATGGGGTTGGGACGGAAATGTTTGTTCCACTCTGCTTTGAGAAAGGCATGTGGACAGCCGTGGCCATATTGGCTGTGCTCAAGACTGGGGCGGCTTTTGTCCTTCTTGATTCCGGCCATCCTGACCAACGAATAGAGACCATCTGTCAAGATGTCGGTGGCCCGCTTCTGCTTTCATCACCAGCCCAGGCAGAGCGATGCGCACTATTTTCCAGTACTGTTGTAGTAGTGGGGGGAACACAAGATCTTTGGCGTTGTCTACTCCCAGCGCCGTCAAGCCAGTTGTTTTCCGCCGCCATGCAAACAGGGCCGACCAATGCCGCCTACGCTGTCTATACGTCCGGTTCTACCGGCAAGCCAAAGGGGATTATAATCGAGCATGGGTCCTTCTGTTCAATGGTCCATGCGCAGGCTCCCATATTGAACATGAATGCTTCAGCCCGCGTGTTACAGTTTTCATCTTACGCATTTGACGTTAGTATCTTTGAGATGCTCATGCCGTTAATGACAGGTGGCTGTGTATGTGTCCTGTCCGAGGTGGAGAGAAGAGACCGTTTCGTGGAGACAATGGGAACTCTCCGAATTTCGCATGCTCTCCTCACTCCGTCATTCTCCCGTCTTGTATCGCCCGCTGCGCTGCCAGACCTTCGGGTCCTCGTCTGTGGTGGAGAAGCGATGACTCACCACGACATGGAGCGCTGGCTTGATCATGTCATTCTTATCAACCATTACGGTCCCGCCGAGTGTTCCGTGTGCTCGGTTGTCCAACCGAATATCAATACAACTTCACGCGTCGGAGAGATCGGCTGGGGCGTCGGTTGTGCAACTTGGGTCGTCGATCCAGATGATCACGAGCGCTTGGTTCCGATTGGAGTTGTCGGCGAACTGGTTATTGAAGGGCCAATTGTTGGCCGCGGGTATCTAAACAATCCGACTGCGACTCAAACCGCATTCATTGAGCCTCCGCGATGGTTGCGCAACATGCGATCCTCGCTTGGACGAAATAACCGGCTGTACAAAACGGGTGATCTTGTGCGATATGGCTCTGATGGCAGGCTGTACATCCATGGGCGCAAGGACACTCAAATCAAGGTTAGAGGACAGCGTCTGGAACTTCAGGAGCTGGAGTACCACATTCACAGATGCTTTGAATCTGCTGGGAATGTGGTTGTAGAGCTGGTTCGGAACGGTTCCGATGGCAGCCCGAGACTTTTTGCATTCATTGCCTCAACAAAGGAAGTATCCAGTCAGTTTGACGGGTTTAGCGCCGTTGGGAAGGAGTTCCGTGATCGTGCTGCGGCTGCCAGTACAAAGCTGTTTGAGAGCCTGCCCTCCTACATGGTCCCAACCTATTTTGTCCCCTCGGTTACACTGCCTTTGAATTCATCTGGCAAGGTGGATCGCAAGCAACTGCAGTCTTGGGCCTCGGCTTTGTCTTCTGACCAACTAAAGGATTACCGCCCCTCGGCAGGTGGCCAGTGTAAGCCCTCATCTCCAGAAGAAAAGCTCCTCCATGCTATCTGGGTCGATGTTCTGCGCATCAAGCCGGAAACAATCGGCGCTGAAGACCATTTCTTCCAGGTTGGGGGTGATTCGGTCACTGCGATGAGAGTTGCCGCATCTGCACGAAAACAGGGACTGAACATAGTAGTTGCAGATATCTTTGCTCATCCCCGGCTTGCGGCACTAGCTAAAGCCGGAACTAACAGCAATATCGAACAGTTTGTTCTAAAACCGTTCTCGCTCTGCCCTGTGACTGACCGCGAACTTTTCTCCATGCTGCTTCGCGTGCGGCGCACAATCCCATCGGACTGCCATATTGTGGACATCCTACCTACATCGGCCACTCAATCCTTCTTTATGACCACGCCCACTCTACACCACTTCACGTTTGATATTGACGGGCCTCTAGACATTCGCCGACTGCGCGATGCCTGTGACAAAGTTTTCAACATGTTCGCTATCTTGCGTACCGTTTTTGTCCCATACGCAAAACAGATATTGCAAGTGATTCTTGACAAAGTCAATACCCCATTCCACCACTTTGTGGTAGATGAGCCTATCCCGGATGTCAGGAGGCGCCTTCAGACTGCTGACCGTGAGCATATCCCACTTAAGGGACCGCTGGTCTTCGCCTTTGTGCTTATATCCCATTCCGATGGATCACGGCATTCGCTGAGCTTCCGTGTCTCACATGCGCAATGGGACGGGCTGTCTATAGCGGAATTGTTTAGCAGCGTACAGGAGGCATATCATGCAAGGCCGTTGACCCCCAGTACACCCTTGTCGACCTATATCTATTACCGGGCGCTGCGTGATAAGACGCCTTCCCTACAGTTCTGGAAAGACTACCTCCAGGGCTCGAAAATCACTCGGATCACCGAGCCTCCTAGTGCATTCGCCGATCTCACCCAAGGAGACACCATCTGGGAGAACACTAACCTGCAACCGGCCCCCGAGCCACCACTGGGTATTACGATGGCCAGTGTGGTCAGGTCTGCCTGGAGCTTGGTTTTGGGCCTGGAAACAGGGGCGAGGGACATCGTCTTCGGCCAAACGGTGAACAGCCGCAGCTGCCCGTTGCCTGATATTGACCGGATTCTGGGCTGCTGTTTGAATTTTATCCCTGCACGCATCCAGCTCCAACAGTCATGGACAGGCCGTGACCTCCTCCAGCACGCGCAGACACAATACCAAAAAACCGTTAAACATGATGACATTGAGCTGCAAGAGATCATTGATCATTGCACGGCCTGGCCGAACGGGACCGACTTCAACACCATTGTCCAGCATCAAAATATCCCTCTAAACCATACGATGCTACTGGGGGATCTTCAAACCACCTTTTCGCCAAATGGATATTTCCGCCCTGGTCGTGAGCTCTTCATTTTCACTGAGCCTTTCGGTGATCTGTTGAGCGTTCAACTATGTGTGAATCCCAATGTGATGGATTTGCCTCGGGCTCGGTCTTTGCATCATAGACTTGTAAAGTTGATTGTGGATCTGTGCTGCTCTCCTGATGAACCGATCTCATGTTTCCTTGAGTAACTTTTGTATCTACAGTACAGTTCGTTGTGATGCCAGTGATCGTTCTGGTTGCAATATAGGAGACTCTTCCATATAGCTCCCCATTATTCTACTGTTACTTATTACCTGTCTGAAAGTTAGTACCCGAACCCCGAGAAGATTTGGTATAATATATCTTTACAGACCAAAGTGATGGCTTCTCGGTTCATCATTTTTCTAATTAATGCGTAGTAGTTAATCAAGGAACAGAACTCAAATTGCTTGTTAGGATCCCCAAACCATGCCTATCTCATTTTAGGTGGGCTGTTCTAACTGTGATATTCGAGAAGCGACCTTGGGGTAGAAAAGGACAGTACATAGAAGGCCAACACTTCTACATTCTCTCTAGGCCCAGAATGAGCTCTTTGTAAAAATATCCCCTCTTAAATGATTGAAAACTGTTGGAAGTTGCTACGTTCGCAGCTCGCCGGCTACAGATAAGACAGCTTAAATTCTGCCATCGCCTTGACTGATCCATTGTTCTCTAGACTAAATCTAACCCAGACCGCCAGTCTGACTTTGATGGTTTGGACATTGGCCTGTGTTCGCATTCTCTCTATGGTGGACTCGTCGTACATTGAATGATAATTCCAACCCCAAACGAAGAACATGACAGCTCCAGTAAGAAGTCTCTGGCTCCCCCTATTTGAGCGGTTGGTTGGATTTCAGGCCCATCTCTGCGCCTAGCTCATTGAAGCCGACTCTCCATAGACCAAACGGCGTAAGAGGGTCGACAGATCGCCATGCAACCATTTTCTGCGCCAAAGGAGTCATGCTGTCAATGATCTCACGCGGGATGTTATACGGTGCTTCAGCCGGTGTCAAGTATGCTGCTTGGAAGGTCACCGAGAGACCACGCCGGTAGCTATCCTTTGTTGAGTTACAGCCTCCAGCGTGCAGCAACTTACCGGTGAACACAAACACGTCACCTGGTTGCATTTCGGCGGGAACCGTTTGATCGAGGTGTCCCGGCACTGTGAAGTCAGGCCATTTATGGCTACCGGGGATTGCGCGCGTGGCGCCGTTCTCATCCTTAAACTCGTTAAGGGCGACGAAGAAATTGAGCATGGCCTCCGGTGCATTGACCCCCATGCGCTTAAACATGGGAAAGGTTCCCACGGAATCTCGGTGGACAGGCTGGGCTTTCTCCCCGGGTCCGATCTCGATGATGGTCGCTGTAGTTAACCAGTAGTCTCCGGATTCTTCCCGGAACGTTCCCTCGCAAATGCCATGGATGAGTGGCTGGTTGAGGATCTCGTCGCGGAAGGATTTGCTGTGGATTGTCAGGCTATTCAGGTATCTTGTCTTCACACCGTGGCCCTCTTTGATCAAGTCGTCGTCTCGTTGGCCACCGCCCTTCTCAAGCTGGGGCTCCACTTCCTGGTTGAGACGTTGGATCACCTCGAGAGGGAGGACATCCCGAATGATCACGCAGCCGTCTTCCCTCAAGATACGGAGGATTGCCTCGGGCCCCTCGCTTGCGTCAATACGACGAATTACTGGAGTAGGGGAGTTTTTCGTAATCGTCATCTTTGCTGACCGTGCTTGCAAAGGATAATGCACTAGGAAGTAGTTGATAATAGTAAGAGAGGTAGCTCACAACAGGTTTGTACTTAGCTCAAAGATAGGGTATCTTTCACATGGACAGCGATGATATTCTTGTACCTCCTCTTTTTATTCTTTAGAAAGGGTACATTGCCGGTCATAATACAACTCAGCATACCGGTGAGTTGGACTATGCAAGGCGGCCTCACCGCCATTAACTTGCAGTCAAGCTATGTCAATTGCCTGGCCTGAACTCCAAGGATGGTGGTATTGAAGGTTATAATCAACGTGCATGTTTAGCCCCTTACTTTCCGAGACTAGTACTACGATCAAAGCCAAATCAGGCAGCAATGCTTCAGCTGGCTCCTTGCCGAGCATAAAGTCTCTTTATTTTGGTATGTTTATTGAGTTCTACTGGATTACCTGCCAGCTCGTGAAACAGAACCTGCTCTACTTCCACTAGCAGTTGGTAAGACATTAATACATGCTGCATAGAACACGCATGGCGGGCAGGACAATCCTCGAGTGATCCATCTCTTCATAAATACTCGTGACCTCTGCCGAGGCCCGTAGGCCCAAGTGCAATATGCATATGCAACTCATAGGAAGGGAGGAATTGAACGCATTTTGCTTAGAGTCGATTGGTTTGGCTGAATTCCTGGCTTTCCTGTGCATTCATGTAGCTGACGTGCGTCCGATAATCTATAAACTACCACCCCTATTGTATTTCACCTGATCCCCAGTTTTGTACAGACGTTAGTCTCCAGGAATTCCGAACTCAGCAGCCCATTTCAGGCTTTTTAACGAAAGCTGCGGCACTCTCCTTGGGTCGCTCAATATAACCACGTCCAATGATCAGTCCTCCAATTACAAGTTCTCCGACCACTCCAATGGGCACGAGCTGATTATGATCACTTAGGTGAGCTACCCAACATGAGCCATTTAACAGGTATCCTATGTTCGATGGCCCGGGGTCCACTTGTTCAAGGCGGTCCATTGTGGTAAGAAGAGTGCATTCGGCAGGACTGTATCCAACATACAGTGACACTGCGCTCGAATAAGTTGTGATGTCACTGGCGAGAACAGCCTCGACCACCAGGATCATGGTGTGTATGGATGGAATCTCGGATAGAGTCAAGGTTCTCCCGATTGATGGAGTAAGAACGAGGAAATCAACACCCATCTGTCTTATTGCCCTGGACAAATTACTGAATTGGTCGTCTTCTGACGGAACGCATAGACAACCCGCCGCATGCATGAACAAATAATACTTCTATTACCGCACTGTCGAAGGCCGGGGATGAGAAAAATAGACTGCGGTACCCTGGAGGAGGCGAGCACACTTTTTAGAACGCGGCAAACGTATGATAAAGCATTCCATGCTCAATAATGGCGCCTTTGGGCGTTCCTAAAGAACCAGAAGTAAATGCGACGTATGCCGCAGTATAAGACCCGCCTGAACACCCGCCGTACGTGGTTCTCTCCCACAGCTGCACAGTCTGTTCGCTAAGTATAGTGGTACTCCTTCTTAGGCTAGAGCACTTTTCCGACATGTGTTGGGAGGCAACTATAATCTTCACTTTTACGTTGCTGCATATCCTCTGTAGACGATCCACGGGTAAGTTCATATCCAGATGGACAAAGACTGCTCCCGTTAGCAATACTCCCAACACAGCAACGGGGTACCATTTGGATTTCTCCATGCAAACACCGATGTAGGTCTCGGGACAAGCGCCAAGGTGGCGTAGAAGGCTAGCGAGCGCACGCGAAACCTCAAGTTGACCAAACGACCAATGAGCCGTCCCATGCATGAACAGCCCTCTGCTATCAAGACACGATGGTGGGAACGAGAAATAGAGATGTATTAGGCGAGTTCTCAGATCTGAAGTACTCATATTTAGAGTTTCCTGTATCTAGAGTCGATAGTGAAAATAGTGGGAAGGCCGAATATATCAAATTTACGTCCCTAAGAAGAAGGACTTATGTGGCACATATTATGTGATGGCGTCATAAAGGACGTCTGTACTGAGTAAGACGGGAAGCAGCACGAACGAAGGCAATGTATTGAATTATCTATATATATCTGGCGAAAATGATCGCGATGGGAAGATTAACATATGGAGACGACAGCGTTGCACATGGACGAGGGACTCAATCACCATCATTATAGATTGATGGTAATTGGCTCGCATTTAATAGATAAGATACCTGGAACACAGATATGGAAATGCGTGCAGACTAGGATTTTGGCGTCTGAATATGAGTGAAACGAGGAGAGTTGCCTGCTCCGCCATCAACCTTGTACAGCATGTCTCTCATAACTCGAGGCTCTATCGCGAAAGCGATCCCAGAATGGCCCAAATGAACGACAAACTCATCAATAGCAATTTCCCCGTACATTGGAGTATCGACAGAGCTCCATAGTCCTGCGCTTTGGTCCATAATCCGGTGTTGGCCAGTCGGCTCATTCGTGTCTTTCTCAAAAATCGCTCGGTATGCCACGCGACGAGACCTAACATCGTTGCCTTGACTATTTGGCGAATATCCTAGATTCGTCGCCTGCAGGATCACTTTAATGGGCGGGCTGCCGGTCTGAGAAGCATAAGCCTGTATAACTGCCTGAAAGTTGACACCGCGATTGATCCACCGCTCCACCCGGAGACCATTCCTGTCCACGGACACGGTAAGACTCGAGTTTTTACTCCGATCGGACGACTCATAAGTTCCGCACAAGGCCTTGCATGCTTCGTGAAGAGTTTGATTCTCCAGAGTCGGGATCAAAGACTGCAGGACAATTTCGGAAGCAGCTTCAACAACCGCCGCGCTGCTTGGACCGGCTGCCATTATCGAAAGCGCAGCGCCATAGTCCGGGGAGATAATCAGAAGCGAGTTGTACTGACCGATACTCCCAGACTTAGTGTACAGGTCAATAGTGCGGCCGTGGGATATCTGACTCTTGGTCCTCAGGATCTCCCAGGGGCTTCCCACGGATAAAGAAAGACTTGAGGTATGGGAGCTCGGCTTCATCCAGCGTCTAGTGGCGACCGGAGAAAGCTGCCTGTTGAGCAGAATATCACGGCCAAACTTGCCAAATCAGACGACGAAGAGTACATCCCTGCTGTACTTGATATCGACACAATTTAGAAGAGGTCGGTGACACGGAAGTTCCCAGGAATACTTACGGTGTCTCGTCACCCGTGTCCTGATACCACCCACTCTCACCGTTTGGAATTACCCACGAGCCTTCGCCCGTAGGAATCGCAGAAGTGGTGGTTGTCAGATTCAAAGGTCGAAGGACTGAAGACTGTAGCAGTTCATTGAACTGAGTACCACAGATTGCTTCCAAGATGTATCCGAGCATTCGGTAGGCAGTGTTTGAATAGACAGGTGTCGTTTGCGGTGCAAAAACTGGAGCTCTTCGAAGTAGACCCCGGAAATATTCTAGAAAGAGAAACGATGAGTATGAATATTGAGAGATGTGGATAACAAGCACGATACCGTTGCGATCACATGGTGACATGCTAGCATTGCCACCGCATTGGGGAACATCTTCTGGTGACAGTGAAGGTAGTCCAGCTTCTGACCAAGAGACATCAATATTGGCCAAGTCTCCATAGGAATCTTCGTTACATATTAGCTTTTGCTCTCTCGCCACGTTTTCATATGAAACTCACAATCCCTGCCGATACCAGATAGCTGTGAGGCAAGATCTCCGATCGTGATCTTGCTCCAGTCAATATGCGCAACCGAAGTATCATCATCAAGATTAGCAGCGCCTTGAAGTTCAGGAAGATACTTCGTAATGCTGTCATCCCAATGCTCCCAACCGTAATTGACCAAAAGTGTATACACAGTGAAGAGCTTGGAAATGCTACCGATCCTGTACAAGGAGGTACTGGTCACGTTTTCAGTACTACCAGCCGACTGGTTCACAAAAGGCGATGAGAAATGGAAATCGAAAAAGGGAGAGTTCTGATCATCCTGGGTGGACAATGCCGTGATGGAGATTGAGGACGAATTGGCAGTGAAGTCTCCATAGCTACTATGGCCCTGATAAGTGGCCTCAATTAAGGATGTAGACAGATTCGCAGTAACAGCTCTCACGTTGGGGGAACTCAAGAGCCCCGACGGTGGCTGAAAAATAGGGCCAAGAAGGAAGCCAGCCATTTTGACTAGATAACAAGATCGACCAGCTTTCAATCGAAACTGATAACCCAGTAGCTGGAAGAAACTGGAATAGGAGTCTGACGGCTGAGAGACCGTATAAATGCCTGAACCATGTCTCGAACTCGAGTACCTTGGATTCGCGGAGACGGAAGTTGGACGGGATCATCGCGGAGACGGAAGTTCGACGGGATCATCGCGGTACCTTTTCGGCGGGTACTGAGGTTCATAACCAAGCTGAACGTTATGGGCTCAAGATTGTTCAACCCACGCCTTCAAAGCATTTAGCTGCTAAGATACCTGGCGAAAGATCAACCAGGGAGTACCGATTCTGCACTTTTATGGGGTTGCCTGTGGTCCTTGACAGTCTCCTTGTATTGTAGAGTCTGAAAATTTTGGTTCGCTGCTTTTTAACGTCTCGTATCCAATACGAAGTTCAAGCGGCTCGCCCTCACCAGATGCACGTTCTTGAATGCCAACCTCCGGACATCTCTCAACTTCCATGTAGCAATTAAGCTCCAACAGCGAGATCACTGTTCGGTGCAGCAAATTCGTGTTCATTGTGTTCGAGGGACGGCTATATCCTTCCCGCTCCGCAGGATCAGAGTTGATATTTCCTGTAAACCGTAGCCGCGACGGACATGAATCTTGCCCCCACTTTGAGAGCTGCTCATAGAGGTTTTCCACATCCTGGAGTTTAGCTCCCTTGCGTTTCGCTCCAGGACTGCAGATTGTGCGTGCTATTCTTCAGCCAATAGTGGCTAATGAAAGCATAGTGCCAAGATAACTCCTCGTTCCAGTAAAGCTTTCGGAACGTTTGACATCCTCAATGTCTTCTTATTGTATCCAAGACATGACTCCATGATCAAGACAGTAGAACGCATCCAGTCCGTATCGGTGCCACAGTAGAAGCGCTTTGCGCTTCGCTGCTCTTTCCAGCGTTGGGGGGGCAGAATATCTAGTACTACTACGCCATTAAGACAAGAGATTGGTGCGTCCAGGAACAAGGCGCCGAGTTTCTGATTCGTAAGCAAAGCCAAACATGAGTGCCAGCGCTTCAAGATCATCAGTCTAATGGTTTGCTTAGATGCTACATTGTTTTGCACTTCCAGAAATGCCAGCCTAAAGCCAAAAGCAAATTACTGCTGCAAGTTCCACATGTCCGAAACGGGAATGAAGGGGCAACCTCGACATGCCCCTGCAAAAATGAGAGCAGAGCTACTTCGATGGGTCTCATAGTCTGCCATCAAGGCATCTCTGTGAATGATGGACAGAACTAGAGATGCAAAATCAAAGTACGCAGTGAGAGCTGTCTCTAGGGTGCTGAAGTCGATTCCTTGGATCTCGTAAGGACTCTGATTTGCAATCGTCCCTTCCATAATATCGTTTGCATTCTGTAGGCTGGTTGGCAATTGATTCCGAGGGAGCAAACCCTGGCATGAACACCTCATTCAGAAACGAAATGCTTTCGGGGCTGAGTTCAAGATCCAGGTCTGTCCACAGCGACTCGCTGGTTGAAGCAGGTGAAGGAGAGTCGGTATTGGTATCTGGGTTTAATGTTGCAACGATAGTCGTTTGGGGTGATAGTGGTAACGAGGTATTCCCGCCTAGAGGCGGAGTAAATCTGCCCCGGTCGTTCAAGGATGACTCGAGGAGAGTCGAGACTAGGCTGCTTCCCTCCGAGTCCGCATTATTGGGGCTTATCTTGCGGCGCCGGTGGATTCGGACATCATCAGAGTCCAAGGTGCATGGCCACTGCCGTAGATCACATTGAGAACATGAGTCATGGCCCTCTCTTGCGCGAGATGCCCGATCGCATTTGATTTTGCGCCGAAAGCAAACATCACACGACTCATACTCCAGCCCTCGTTTCAACGACATTGGGGTCGAATGGCAAGAAGCCCTATACATACAGACATCCAGTCGCCGAGTCGACAAGAGCAGACCCTCGAGGCGGAATTTGGGCCGGTGGAATTGGCGAAAAACGTGGAGAGGTTGAGTTTCGGGCGCTTGTCTGCCACGGGAGTACTGTGGGACCTTCGCGGTCAGAGCCAGATTGCAGGGTGTGATGTAAATACCTCTGAATATCTCTTAATATCTCTGAATATCTCTGAATATCTCTGAATATCTCTGAATATCTCTGAATATC